GGTGTTTGATGAACAGCAGCAAAACTCTGCACAATAACCCCTGAACCATCAGCAATATTGCAGTGCTGATATTTCAGATGAGGTTTGGAGACGAGTCATGTTTCCAGCTTTTTCTTTGCCAGAACTGGAAGCCAGCTGAGACAGGAAGCAAGCAAACAAGCAAACACACACACACACACACACACACACACACACACACTAGGCCAGTGGAGGGGAGTGGGGGGGGGAGTCATTGACCCTTCTGCCCAGTAACTCTTCAGATTTCAGCATGAACACACTCTCAGCTACCCAGAATGCCTTGCATCGGTACACAAGCCTCAGACAAGCCTGAGCAGCAGGTTGGGCCAGGCAGCCTGTAATTCCTCTGCTTGACAGAGTCTGTTTCACTCGGCAGCCATGGAGACAACCGGCTTGGTCTTGGTGATTCAGCTGCTATAGCCAACTGTCACAGCTGACTCTGTTGACTTTGCAGTTAACTGGGACTTTCCAGCCATAATAGGCTTGTTTGCTGCATTAATGCCTCATTAAAAGTTATAACTATCTTTAAATGCCCCCTCCGAAAGCAGGTACTCGGTGAAATTCAGTCAGTGGACTATTTACTTGTTCACAATAGCAGCAAATTGCCAGGAGCTAAATCACATTAATGATGATAATAATAACTTTCATTTATTGCATTATATCCCACCTTTTTCTCCAAGGAGCTCATGGTGTACACCAGACATCCCCAAACTCAGCCCTCCAGCTGTTTTGGGACTACAATTCCCATCATCCCCGACCACTGGTCCTGTTAGCTAGGGATGATGGGAGTTGTAGTCCCAAAACAGCTAGAGGACCGAGCTTGGGGATGCCTGATGTACACGGTCCTTCACTCCCTCATATAATCCCCACAACAACCCTGTGAGGTAAATTGGACTGAGAGGCAGTGATTGTGTGACCCAAGGTCACCCTTTGAGCTTCGTGGCCAAGTGGTCTCCCAGGTCACAGTCTGACACCCTAACCACCGAAAAAGAATAATATTGAAGACCTGATTGGCTTCCACAACTATTTTTTTAGAAACAAACAACCCTCTAGATTTGGGGGGGGGGGGGAGTATAGATTTGCAGTTTTTAAGCTTTCTGAGCTGGGACAAGCTTTTGAAAGGAGAAATGAAACAGTCCAAGAGTCCTGGGATACACTCAATATGTAATCCTGTGCATGTTTCCTCAGAAATATATATTCAAATATATAAAAGGATGTCACATAGAGGAGGGAGAAAGGTTGTTTTCTGCTGCTCCAGAGAAGCGGACACGGAGCAATGGATCCAAACTACAAGAAAGAAGATTCTACCTAAACATTAGGAAGAACTTCCTGACAGTAAGAGCTGTTCGACAGTGGAATTTGCTGCCAAGGAGTGTGGTGGAGTCTCCTTCTTTGGAGGTCTTTAAGCAGAGGCTTGACAACCATACGTCAGGAATGCTCTGATGGTGTTTCCTGCTTGGCAGGGGGTTGGACTCGATGGCCCTTGTGGTCTCTTCCAACTCTATGATTCTATGATTCTAGAAGGATGTCCCATAGTATACAGTACAGATTACTCACAGGTAAGCACGCATAGGGTTGCGCCCTATAGATTTTCTCAGAAAACAGGACATGGCCTGTATATTCATCCATCCACCACAGAATCGAAAAGGTTTAGCTTTTGCTTACTGTTAGAAGTTTCACTTCAAGCTTGTCCTTGCCCTTGTGTACATTCCAGATAAACAGAAAGAAAAACAAAAATAGGGACCAGAAATCTGCCTTTAGTTTTACTGCATTTCCCCTACATAGAGCTGCAGATGTGAGCTGATGTCATAGGAATATTTAGACATTACAAAACACATTTAGATTACTGAACAAACATATAACAGCGAATTAGAATAATTATATATTTTGTGCTGAGGAAAGAAATTTGGGGAGGCTATCCAGTTACTAATTTGAATTTCAGTGTGTTCTGATTACATATTGTTTTATTCATTAAAATGAGTTATTCTCATCAATTGGGGGTGCTGGAATTTGATAGCATAATGAGGGCTCGGTCAAATGCTTTTTCCAGTTGACCTGCTGAAATCCATTTTTGGGATCTACATATTTGCCCAGCCTTTCTTAACCAGTCAGTATTTTACTTCAGGTTACCGACTCCGCTAACCCAGAAATAGTACCTTGGGTTAAGAACTTTGCTTCAAGATGAGAACAGAAATTGTGTGGCGGCAGCACGGAGGCAGAGAGAGGCCCCATTAGCTAAAGTGGTACCTCAGGTTAAGAACAGTTTCAGGTTAAGAACGGACCTCCAGAATGAATTAAGTTCTTAACCCGAGGTACCACTGTATGATCGCCGCTTTGGCAAAGCAGAGTTTGCTCATAGTGAACTCTTGGTTTTCCGTTCTGTCATTTGTTGCTCTGAGCGATTGCTGCTGCTCCGTGCCAAGCCATTGTCTGTGATATTGAAGTAGCAAATGATTTCCATAACTAAATGTACCCTATGGAATGGCGTCACCTTGTGATGCTTCAATTCCATTGACTTCAGTCAGCTTTATGGCTTAAAACTGTAAGCAGTCTAATCGTGTGCAGTGTTGTAGCATTTATATTTCATGGCTAGTTTATTACTCTCTTGTGTGGCTATTTAGGCATGATATATCTTGGGTCTTTTCTTTTCTTTTAAGAGCTGTTGGCAATCAAACAGGGGTTTTACAGGGGACTGAAATTTTCGAGGAAGAATATTGTTTAGAGCAGGGGATGTTTTCAGGAAGTGTCTGAAAAGGGAGAGATGCGGGGAGCAGTAGGCAGACAGGGAGGAGGACATTGTTCCTGGAGGTTGTTTTCCCCATATTACTGGAATGGCAAGATATCTTTGGAATACACAGGATATAGCCTGAGTGGGAAGCAGAGAACACTGTGCTTGTTTTTGCAGAAAGAAACTTGTTCCGGAGAACTTCAGAAGGAGAGAAATTGTTGGCTTGTTGTGAAAGATTTTTGGACTAGGGGGAGGTTGAGGTTTTGTTTATTTTTTATTATTGGTTAATGAATGGTTCTGATGATTGCTTTCCTAACAGTAAGGTAAAGGGACCCCGACCATTAGGTCCAGTCGTGGCTGACTCTGGGGTTGCGGTGCTCATCTCGCTTTACTGGCCAAGGGAGCTGGCGTACAGCTTCTGGGTCATGTGGCCAGCATGACTAAGCCGCTTCTGGCGAACCAGAGCAGCGCATGGAAAAGCCATTTACCTTCCCACTGGAGCGGTACCTATTTATCTACTTGCATTTTGACGTGCTAGGTTGCATTTTGACGTGCTATGTTTGAACTACTAGGTTGGCAGGAGCAGGGACCGAGCAACGGGAGCTCATCCCGTCACGGAGATTCGAACCGCTGACCTTCTGATCGGCAAGTCCTAGGCTCTGTGGTCAACCCACAGCACCACCCGCGTCCCTTCCTAACAGTAAGGCCAGACTATTTTTGTGATAAGGAAGGACACAGAACCTAAACCCACACGAGAAACTTGGTTTAGTGAAAAGGTCTCAGCGGCTCACCTGAAGCTTAAGGGAGAAATGGAGTCAACTGAACCTCTTCTAGGGAGGGAGTCCCACAACTTGGGCCTCTCGCATGAACAGACCTTGGCTCTTGCTTCTTCACCTGAAGGGCAATGAGCTCCGCCACCTGAGGCAAGAGCAATGTTGACCAAAGAGAGGATATTTTTGGTTGTAGCACCACATCTGTGGAATGCCCTCTGCAGAAAAGATCTCCTGGCACCAACTCTGCTGCTCTTTAGGCCCCAACAACTTTATTATGCCCAAATTTTCTGCGTGTTTCATAACAGACTTTAGCTTTACAGCATAGCTGTGGAGGATTCTATTGGTTTTGTGGCAAATGTTTTTTTGGGGGGGGGCGGTATCTTCATTCTATGCACATTTTTGTCCTAACTTGTGGTTTGTCTATTGTTGATTTTTAGTTGTACGTTTTATACAGCCTAGAAATAAATAGCGCCCTCTCTCTCTCTCTCTCTCTCTCTCTCTCTCTCACACACACACACACATACAAACCAAGTCAGCATTCCATACAAAACAATGTGCATCCTCTCTACTATGGATTTCTTCACCACCCAGCCCCATAAAAATCCCCTCCTTCTATAATGCTTTTTTTTTTTTTAAAGAACCAGCAGTTCAATTTTTTTTGGCTAAGTCTTTTATCAGCAAGGAGAACACAGTCAACACCAGGGGTCAGCAAACTTTTTCAGCTGTGGGCCGGTCCACCGTTCCTCAGACCTTGTGGGGGGCCGGACTATATTTTTTTGGGGGGGGGGGGAATGAACGAATTCCTATGCCCCACAAATAACCCAGAGATGCATTTTAAATTAAAGCACATATTCTACTCATGTAAAAACACCAGGCAGGCCCACAAATAACCCAAGATGCATTTCAAATAAAAGGACACATTCTACTCATGTAAAAACATGCTGATTCCTGGACTGTCTGCGGGCCGAATTGAGAAGGCGATTGGGCTGCATCTGGCCCACAGGCCTTAGGTTGCCTTCTCCTGGTCAACACTATCTACAGACACTGCTTTATTCTCCCTGCCTGGCCTCTTAATTGTTTTGCCAACCAGGAAAAGCTGGATGTTGCATTCCTACCTAATGCATTTCATGTAAAGGAAAAGCAAGAAATTGCAGTAGAAATGGCACAGGGGGCCGAGGGGAGGGGAGCTCGTTTTTGAACTACCAGGACCAACAGATTGTTTTCCTGGTGCAAGGAAGGAGCGGGTCAGAAATGCTATTAAGAGGAAACACAATTAAAAAAATAGGATGATAAAGATGTCCCTTTCCGAGGTGGAGAAGACCAATCTGCCAGTGCTTTATCTTTGACAGGCCAGCTCTGCTAAGATAAATTGGAAAGCAACACAGAACGGTACAACCAGCTGCATGAAATGGGAATACAAATAGTTATTTTGGTAAACAGGAAGGTTTGGAGACACCAGATTTTTTCTTCTCTTTTTTAATGCTGAACATAGTCTCCACATTGGAGAGTTAAAACACCACACCCTCTGCATTTCAACACAGTGCTAACCAAACTCCTCCCCCTCAGACCACTTGAAAACTGCTGAGGGTCTTGGTGGACCACATAATGATTTTTCTGCCTGTTGTATCAATTGTAGTGCGCCACGCTAGATGCTGCATGATTTATTAATTCATATGCTTATTGCTTCTTTCGTTTCTCTTATCGTAACTTGAATTCCGTAGAGTTCAAATTACAATATGGAATAATAAAAGAAGCGATAAAAATACAATTGCCAATCAGTGTGGATATTTAGTGCAGACACAACATGAACCGCCTAAAATGAAGCTCACAGTCCACAGACCTCTCCGTTCAGAAGTGCTGTTAATGTGGTGGTGCTGATCTTCAAGCTGATTAAATTTAAAGTTACATTTAAAAGGGGCCCCACTGTACTGAAAGAAGCAGTTCGGCAACATTACTGAATAGAAGTAGAAGCTCACTGTTCAAAGCTCAATCTCTTTACATTCAGCCTCTGCTTTCCTCACACTTGAACTCTCAGTTCCTCCCTTCACAGCTAAGCTCGCTTCTCAAGGCACAGCAAGCACAAGGCAGCGATGGGTCCATGAAAATAGTTTACATTTGGCCTCTTCTTTATCAATTGGGCTTGACAGAGACAAGTACTTCTTCACAAAGCATATAGTTATACCCAGTGCTTTGTTTCTTAAAAAAATAATGTTTAGGGGTACTCTCATTTTGACTCAAGAAAACCACCATTTTATAGTTCAAATTGGGAAAAATACAGTAAATGGACAAAAGTACAAAGATTCACAAAATGTTTAGGGGTATGCATCCCCCTGCGTCCCCCCAGGAAAAAAAACCACTGGTATCGTATGGAATTCGTCACCACAGGGACATAGGGCAGCAACGACGACCGCCTCACAGAGAGCTTTTGGCAAACTATTCTGGAGGGAACTAAAACATAACGAGGGCCATGTTCACACTATACATTTACAGCACTGTAATGCCACTCTGAACAGCCATGGCCTCCCTTAAAGAATTCTGGGAGCTGTAGTTAATTTTTGGGCCTCATGCGTTGTTAAGAGACCCTTATTCCCCTTCCTGAGCTGTAATTCCCGGAGCAGTTTCACAGTCAACCCCTCTTCACAGGGGACTCTGGGAATTGTGGCTTTGGGAGGGGGAATAGTAACTGCAAGGCATTCTTGACCAGGTCAAAAAATGTAGCACCTTAAGGACTAACCAATGTATTATGGCATGCGTCTTCATGGGTTAGAATTGAAACACAGATAAAGATATAATGAATAACGACACCTTCCAAGAAACATGGACTCCTTTTATTTCTGTTAATGAACAAAATCAAGGCCTTCTTATACCAACCGGTCAACATTCTCAGTGGAGGGGTTACGTTAAATAATATGTTTGAATGTGGAATGTGTAAGTGTATGTTTAGAGACGATGGATAAAACAAACACCATTAGATGTGCTGCTGGATAAGTGCTTAATGGCTATTGTAGTTGTTTAAAAGCCAAGAAAATAATTGTTAAAAAAACAAATAAATGTATGCCTAAAAGTATGTACAAAACTGGACGTGTTCATGTATATGTACACATACACACAGACAAGTTCTGAAATGTACCTATTCTGCACCCACTGAAACCCCCCAAGAAGACATATGCAGTTTGAAGTGAAGTAATGCAAGCCTTCCACAGTTCTGTAATAAGGGCTTGTCAATAATGATCAATGAAGGGCGCTTGGCCATTGTTTTTGGAATTACTCGGGGGGAGCAGACCAAGGCAGATGTTTGCGCCTGAATGGTGGCTTTGTTGCTGACACACAGCAATGAAAGGTAGAAGACGAGGCAAGCTATCGATTTATTTGGCCATCTCCCACTGTTTCTCTGTAAGCTGTGCTGCATGCAAGAGAACAGAAGAAGGAGGGTGTTTTAAAATAAGTCACGTATCCTGTAATAACAACCCTTCAATTTGCTTCGCCATCCTTTTCTTCTCCTTTAGAAAAAAACAACAACACTACGCCATGAGGGACTACTTCTGGAGATTGAGCCATAAAGCAAGCTGAAAATAAAGACGAGTTTATGGATAATCACGTTCTTCCCCAACGGTCTATTGTCTTTTCAGGGTAACTCTCTGTGGAACTAGTTCTAAAGTCAATACCTCAAAGGGGCCTCAGGGCACAAACGGCATGGATTATACACTAAGGCTGCGCACTGGGCAAGGTTTCAGACATTGATGTAGGCCTCAGTTATCATTGCCAGATGGTACTTTCTGCTGCCCCCTTCTTCCACCAGCCATAAGGCTGCCTAGGATTTAGCTGTGCCACGGCTGCCATTGCCCTTGGGCCACTACCATTTAAAGCATAATATGTGTCGTAAAGTGAGCCAGAGAAGGAGAGATAATACTGTTGAGGCAAGGGGAAGCAGAGATGGAGAACCTCAGGGGTCTTGAGTGTTTCAGGGCAGTGTTGGAGGGTATAGTTTCAGGCAGGAGACAATTGCCACACGACACACATTTGCAGAACCTTTCTCTTTTCTTCATTCAGTATAAGAGAATTGTATTGAGGAAGATGAGCCTGCAGTCAGGAGAATAACTGAGGTATGGTCACAGCTATGGTGAAATAACTATCCACAAAATGAAAATTCTTATAACAGAAACAAGGCTGCTTCCGAGTCTATCCTATGGATCCAAAAGCTGTGCCAAAAAGTGAGTACAAAGCTGTCTAAATGGTGCTCATTAAAGATGGGGGAAGGAAACAAATTGCCCGCCTCATTGCTGTCATGAAAATATAGTCAATCTGATATATTTTAATCAGATCCTTTTCAATTCTCAGTGCTGGGGGAAAAGTGTTTTGCAAAGTAATTTGAGCCAAGTTTTTTCTCTCTCTCTTCCTTTCAAGAGACCACATTAGCACAGATCCAGCTAACTTTGCAGCTCTCCTTTGTCTTACACTACATCCAATACAGATTGGTGGCATATACCTCCCACTGGTGGGAAATCTTAAATGCGGCCTCATTTCTCAGTCTTCTGAAAAGTTGGCCGCATAACAGTGCAAATCTTTGGCAGAAATGGGCTTATTGTTCTCTGCAACAGCTAACACCCTAGTTTTCAAGGGACCGAGAGCATTGAAACCGAGACTGGCTAGTGCCCCATCTCATCTCTCAGGTCATCTTGGAAATGCATCATCTGAGAAACTTCAGAAATGCCTGGTTAAGCAAATAAAAGCGTCAACAGCAGCTGCCGAGCCATCCTTGCGACCTCTGGTAGTTCGTGCTGGCTGTTGCCAACACATCACAGGACAGTGGAAGTGCTGAGTAAAAATGGAAAGCCATGCTTAAAATTCCTACTTTGCTGTGAAGCATGATGAAGCATTATCTAGGGAAATAAGGAAACAGAAAAAGAGGGATTATCTGGCCAGCTCCATTATTAGAAAGCATCAGATCATAAGAACCAAATAAGTGAATTATGGGCAAGGGAAGCAGGAGAGTTGAAAAACAAAGAAGGGGGGGGGAGCAGAGAAAGAGAACCCATCTCTCTGCTTTTGATCACATTCTGTTTTTCAGAGACTCCAAACTGAAACACACTTCTTTTTCTTTTTTAAAAGGACAGCAAAAAAAATTTGTATTTTAGGCATGTCTTTTCTATGGTTCCTTTTCGGAAAAAGAGCGCTCAGAAAGGTCTAATCCTGGATTCCTATTGCAAAAGTTTAACAGTGCGTCTAATCCTATGCATGAAGTTTTTAATGCTTTTTTAAAAAGTGATAAGCACAAATACAATATTTAATTAGAGACTGCATTTGGAATTCCAGTTTCCCCAGAAGCCCTGTCCATTGCACAGATCCACTTGCAAGGTGATGAGGCTGCTGTCTTGTCAAGACAGCAAGGAAAGAAGGAAGGAAAGAAAGAAAGAAAGAAAGAAAGAAAGAGGGGGGATTTTGTTTACGTAATGCTTAGCTCTGACCAGAGTGCCCTAGACCAAAGCCTTCTTTCGTCTTCCGCACCCATTTATTTGAATACAGTTGCGACCTCTTTCCCCCCTTATTCCATCAGTTCAGATTCTGTTAGCATATGCTCCAAAAGCCAAATCCGACCTTGGGAAGTCAGGGATTGAACCTGGGACCTTCTGTATGCCAAGCATGTGCTCTGCCCCTGAGCTACATTGAGCCAAGCTCTGCACCAGGCATGAACTCCCACTCTCTTTGTTTATCAGCTCTTGGGATTGCACAAGTGACTCTTGCAGGAGTTAGCAAGTGGCATGCTTTTCCTTTGTGAACTGGAAAGTCCACCAGGGGAGGCTCACTGGGACTGATCCTCCTTGGAGGCAGCCCCCCCCTCCAATGCCACCTCTACAGTGTCCCCTTGGAGAAGAGGAGAAGTTGCTGGTTTCCTCCCATCTTTGTTCCCAGTGTAAATCATTATTCCCCCTCTTGTACCTGTTGTAGATTTTCATTTTCCCCCTTCTTTCCTGGAGTGTGTGTGTGTGTGTGTGTGTGTGTGTGTGTGTGTACAGCATTTTGTGGTTTGCTTCAGGTGCCAAAATGTCTTGGGACAGCCCTCTACCCAGCACTAGGTTCATGCTACTAAATTAGAAATATAATGTTTATGTAGCATGCCTCCACCTTTTCTGGAGATGAATCCTCATATCAGGGCTAAGTCTCTATTTCTCTGCCTATGCAGGACTGCTTCAAGCATATGACATAGATTTATCTGTTAAAATCATAAAGGCTAACTCAAAAGAACCAGAATCACAAAAGTTTCCAGCTTCCTGGGAATCTGAAAGCGAACATCAGTCTTCCATAATTTTTGCATGTTCTGTGTTTATTTAGGGGGGGTGTTGTTGCTTTTTTAGCAGACTGCAATTTTGCACCAGGTAGATTAAAGATATTGTAACTGGCCATTCTTTCTCAACACCTTGCTTGGAATGTTAAGCATTCCTGTCTGTGGACAGTTAAGAGTCACTACAGAGAGAAACTCAGCCTACCATAAAAGTTCAACGAAAGAGATATGTTAGGAGTACATTCCTTGAGCAGGAAATGACCTATTGGCCAAGAATGCATTTCACATTTGCCAACTCATCTCACATTAGTCTCTTTGGTCTATATTTCTCTGGACTGTGACAACATACAGCAGCTGGAATAAGAAACCGCAGGACCCATTTCTTGGATATAATAAGAAAAATGCTAATGATATCCCCATGAAGTGTAGACATGGAAAAATAAATTGAAATGCAGTGTGTTCCCATTGTATGAGCAGACAATCATAATCCACTGTTCAGTACTAATCCGTAGACCTAATTAACTGAAGTATATAATAATTTTCTGCACTGGAGGAAATGGATAAATATTTAAACAAGGGTGAATCAGATTTACAGCCATAGTTGTTCTTATCAAGCGCAGAGCTACACGTAAGTCATATCAAATCCTTTCCTGAATGTGGAGTCTTGGGTGGAGACAGAGTTAAGAAACATCAAGTGACTATTGTGAGCAGTATTTAATTCAGTTTTAGCCCTGGCTTTTCGATGCTGCACTCAAGAACCCTGCTTTTTACCTTCCCATGACATTTTTAAGTAAATGCCCCACTGAAACTCTAGAAAGAATTGAGGTGCTGAGATCCCCAGAAACAAGATGGCATACTTTCATCAGGATGTTGCCAAAATTGTTTTAGGACACAGAAGTTCTTCTGGGAAATGAGATGTTTCCTACCAGCCATATGCACATCTATGACACATTCCAGATTCCGAGGGTGTTTTCCGGCTGGAACACAACCACATAATCCCAAGGGTTTCAGGGCTGCTTCAGAGTACTCAGCTACACATAAGAAAACAAGTATCCATGATATTTTGAAGCTGCATATGCGTTGCCTTCCTGCCTCATCATTTACATATATAAGCACATGGCAATAAGATTGCTTAGGCGTATTACAGAATATGAATCATTCCTCATATTCTTTGAAAAGTTTTGAACAACATGCTAGTTCTCCTTCTGGAAGTAAGAGTTCTGCTATACCAAGTTTCATGTTTCTCTGGGATTACCTAGGAAGGTAAGTGTTTCTTCCTACTGCAGCTCATAATAGAGGGCTGCTGTTGGGCATCCATATTTGGGAGAAATTTGGAGAGTGTGCGGCTGAGTCATATAATCCTAACAGTGTACCAAGGAAGAAACTGATCTCCTTGCTTCTTTAGCTGCATTGACCCATCAAAAGCAGAGCATCCTCATACCTAAACTTCTGTATAATAAGGCAGTAGCTCATTCTGGTCTTCCTGGTCTTTTTTTCTCCTTGCACACTGGGTCTTGTGTGCTTTGCTGTTCTTCAATAAGCCAGCATTTCCCTTTTCCTGTGTATGCCCTCTCTTATTTTCCTTTCCTTCTCTGAATCCAGTATCTCTGAAGGCACAGAGAGTGAGAAACATAGTTCTAATATACATTTTCAAGGTAAATAAGTTTCTGAGATAGGGCAAATTAAGCAGATGATGAGTAACAGGGCGAGGGCAATTAACATATGCATGAGGTGTGCAGTGAAGCAGGAAGCAAAACCAATTGCTTCCATTGTACGCAAGACACAGGGTTAATTAGCAATTGATACATGGGTCTAGAGTTGCCCACTGCGATTGTAAGTGGGTGTTTTAAAATATAATTACCACCATTTTATGCAAGTTGGCAGTGTATTCATTGTGCAGTGCTGCTCAGGCACACCTGGCTTGTGATCCAATCCCTAGCAGCTCTGAAATAATCAACTGTGGCTGAAAATACACACAGTGTAAAAACCAAATAAGCAATTCATATTATTTCAGGAGAGGGAGGTCACTTCCAGAAAACCTCTTAACTGAGCATTCGTCCTGACTTGCTTTGCACAAAATTTGTAGAGAGGTTATACAGTGCCTGCTACTTGTTGGGCATTTATTCCAATTGATTTGCCGGGAAATTATATGACCTTGTTATCCCACACTTCCCAGTGCATTTTCGTATCACATTCCTTACCGTTAAAAATTATTGGTTCGTAACGAGGGTTGCTTCTGTTCATTATACTATTTAAAAATTAACCACCCCACCCCCACAGAATTTCTAAAGAATATTTGTGACTAGATACTTTTCTCATCCTCTTTGTTTGGGTCTTAGATAGAAGATAGCTTCTGTAAACCCAACAGCATTTTATTTAAAACCAACTTCTCTACTCATAGCAGCAACCAATAAAACATTTTTTAAAAAACAAAACAAAACACACACTATTTTGAACCCTAATTCACTTAAAATTGGCTGGGACTTGTCCCACTGAAAGCAACAGGCCATTTGACTTCACGATTAACTTGCTCCACTGGTTTCACATTAGATCCCCACCCCCATGTATATTGTCAGTTTCAGTTAAAGTAATTGGGGGGGGGGACTTTAGGCCTTTTAACATCCCATCTAGCAAGCATGCCAACCCTCTTGTAGCCTATCTAGATGCCTTTACAAATAAACACCTTCCCCACCACTACCTCAAGGGCAAGAGAGATGTGAATTTATACACGTAGCAGTCATCCCACAGCCCTAGGGCTGGAGTTGTAAAAGACTGACTCCTTGCCGCTGCTGCTGTTTTAATCTCTCATAAAGATGGAAGGCATAGCGGCACCCCTAACAGATTATCTCAATGCCAGAATTTACGCAAAGAAACATGCTTTAAAGTTTGCTACACTCCAGGCTGCAAAGGGTGTTAAAAGATCAGAATCAGTACTTTCAGTGGGTCAGAGGTTAACCAGACAGCAGCTGCAAAGTTGGCTGCATGTGGCTGCATCTTTCCCTATGAGGAAAATGGCAGCAGTCTGAGGCATGGGTGGCTTCCAAACCAAGGCCAAGCACTTGAATCATCGAATTGTAGACTTGGAAGGGGCCACAGGGGTCATCTAGTTCCTGCAATGCAAAAATCTTTCACCCACAAGCCTGGGATTAAGAGTCATACTCTGCCGACTGAGCTATTTTAGTATGCCTCTGAATACCAGTTGCTGGGAATCACAGGTGGAGAGACCCTACCTGCCCAGAAATCGTCTCACCAGAGTGGTGCATGCTCTGGTTATCTCCTGCTTGGATTACTGCAATGCGCTCTACATGGGACTACTTTTGAAGGCAACTCAGAAACTACAACTAACCCAAAATGTGGCAGCTAGACTGGCAGTGGTCGTCGAAACCATATAACACTGGTCCTAAAGGATCTTCACTGGCTCCCAGTATGTTTCCGAGCACAATTCAAAGTGTTGGCACTGACCTTTAAAGCCCTAAACGGCCTCGGCCCAGTATACCTGAAGAAGCGTCTCCACCTCCATCATTCAGCCCAGACACAGAGGTCCTCCTCCGAGGGTCTTCTGGCGGTTCACACACTGCAAGAAGTAAAGTTACAGCGAACCAGGCAGAGGGCCTTCTCGGCAGTAGCGCCCACCCTGTGGAACGCCCTCCCATCAGATGTGAAGGAAATAAACAACTATCTGACTTTTAGAAGACATCAGGGAAGTTTTTAATGACATTCGCTAGATATAGATAGATAGATAGATAGATAGATAGATAGATAGATAGATATTGCTGGAAGCTGCCCAGAGTGGCTGGGGAAACCCAAGCAGATAGGTGGGATATTAATAATAATAATAATAATAATAATAATAATAATAATAGCAGCAGCACTAATGGTGCTGCCTGAGGGCTTTCCTCAGGCATCCAGTTGGCCACTGTGAGAAGCAGATGCTGGACTAGATAGGCCTTTGATTTGATCCAGGCACTTCTTTCATTCTTAAGCAAGCCATTGAGTCAAAACTACACATCTAAATCTCCATGATGTGTCAACTGACCCGTTTCCCAAGTTCAATCAACACAAGCTACCGATCCCTCCGAAACACATGAGAACCTGGCCGAAATGCAGCAGCGGCATCATTACAAATGATACACCTGAAGCAGGCATGCTGAAATCATGAATTTTTATTACCCGGGGGTTTTGCCATGTCAAGCCAGGATTTCCCTATGAAAACAAAAAGCGGCTTCTCCCCTTTTAGAAGTAAGTTGTGCAAATTGAACGACAGCTGTAGGTATTTAAGGGTCAATGGACACGTCCTTCTTTTGCTTCGGCAAAATGCAGCTGCTACAAGCAAGGCTTGCTGCTCTTAAAGGAGCTTTGCTGAGTCTTGGCTTCCCTGGATCACAAAAACTGGTTGAGCAAGCAGGCGAGTTTTCTTTGGAGCCAATGTAGTGGTTAGGGCAGGTGCTGCCCATTGCTGGAATACAACTCCCAGGATCCCTCATCACTGGCCATACTGGTTAGGGCTGATGGGAGGGGGGGAGGGAGTCCAGCAACTTCTGGAGGCTCCCAAGTCCCTCCCCACTTTGGTTAGTAGGACAAGGGAGACATAGGTTCAAATCTCCAGTTGCGCCCTGGTCTCTCAGCCAGCCTTCCTCATGGACCACTGCAGTGCTAAGAGAGGGAGATAACTATGGATACTCCTTGGAGGAATGGCAGGATACAAAACATAGTAAAATAAAATAATATGAAACCGTTGTTGGGTGAAAACGCATGAAGCCTCGGGGAATGGCTACAACTGATGCTAGCCTAAAGGTGGGAAGTATTTTTTCAGGGGAGCAGGGACAAAGTAGAACACTGAAGGGGGACAGGGAGATTATGGAGAATAGTACCTGTTCATTTTGTCTCATATTTCAGGCTCTACATGTTAGAAACTTGTTCTTTCTTCTATGTGAAAGTTGAGAATCTGGTGATTATGGCTCATTGGAAGGGGTGGGTGCAGATGCCCTTGATGGGAAGTGTAGAAAACAAGTTCAGCCCAGTCTCTCTCTTTAAAGTGATCAGAATTACTCACAATGTATAATATACTCCCCTGGTGGTGTGACAGGCCCTTTTGATCTACATTTGCACTAGTGTGTGTGTGTGTGTGTGTGTGTGTGTGTATATATATATATATATATATACACACACACACACACACACACACACACACACACCTATTTTGCATTTTTTAATATGTGAAACTGGCTCAAATAATCTGAATATAAAGATATATCAAGAAATGCACATAAATTTGATGAGTGGCATAGAAATAATTCAGCCAGAGATTTTCTTCCTGGGGCATGCCCTTTGAATATATGTTAATTATTAGCCCCAAAATCTTATCATCTAGCTACTTTATCAGTTCCTTGGTGAGACACGCTGCCAATAACCATTAAAGCACATGGGGAGGATTTTATTGTGTGTTGTCCAATCCTAGCTCTCAAATTACCAATCCAGTGTTCCAAGAGAAAGACTGAAAGGTGGGCCTCCTTCCTCTGTCTGAAACATATTTAGAAAATAAAATGCCTCTTTTCTCATATGAATTTCTGTTTTACCTGAACACATGTAACACTAACACATACTTCACACCACTCGTTTTTGTTCTTTCGCAGCAGGATAGGGGGAAATTGGTAGGGGTCCTGCTGGCTGTTCTTTCCAACATGGCTTTCATACACTGTGGTCTAACAATCCAGTTTTCCTTTTTTTAAGAAACCCAAAAGGGACACAAATAAGCACTTATTGTGAGAAAACAGTGATCGCATAGCCAAACCCTTTCTGTGAGCTGTAAGGGAAGGATAATTTCTCATTTCCACAGGCCGAACAGCGTCCCTTAAATTATCATTATGTTGGAAGAGAAACGAGACCCTTTCTCTGCTTCAATAGTCGCTTCACCTACCTGTACCTTCAAGAAATTGTGTGATTTTTACAGTCAGGCCATGGAGGGATCAGATAGGGACACAGAAAGATGGAAAAGAGACAGTTACCCCTATTTCGTTTTGATCTGTGGAACCCATGAAATGCAAAATTCAAGTATAGAATCAATGGTTGCAAACACCAATGGTTGTAAACACCATCGTATACAGTACTCTGCCTTGAGAAACATAAAGCAAAACATTTACAATAAAATTACATGATTTAAAAAAAAAAATTAAGGGGACAAGTTTGCACAATACAGAACGTCTTAAAGAGCAATCTTGGCCATTCATGAGGACATGGGGGAAATGTAATGTGCCAAGCGCAGACAACAGATGTCATCAGTAATATTTCCTGCAGTGAAGCCAATCCATTTTTCCAGATTCAGAGGCCACAGGAATTGTTGGCAGTTCACATATTAGATTTTTGTGTGCTCCAAGGTCACTCCCATGGGGAAGGGGAATATAAAAACTATTGAGAGAAGTGGCTACACATTTTAGTTCACTTCCAAGCAACCTAAGGTCTATTTACATGAACACCATGTCAAGTTTCATAAACCTTTCTGGAATTATTAACAACCCAGTAATGTAAAGTTTCTCTGAAAGTCTTAAAGCACTTGGAAGACTTCAGAAACCAACCTGTTTCCAACCTTCTTCTTTTAAAAAAAAATTAACTTCAGTGTGTCAGAACTTGAGCAGCTGGGAAAGTTTACTCAGCTGAGCAAATATTTCTGCAGCCTGTTTGAGCACCTCTCAACTTCCAAGCTTCTGCAAGATGGCATTTAACTTAATTTGACCAGGATATCTTCATATTCACAAGGAGAAGGGGACGACAGAGAATGAGATGGTTGGATGGTGTTCTCGAAGCTACCAGCATGAGTTTGATCAAACTGCGGGAGGCAGTGGAGGACAGAAGTGCCTGGCGTGCTCTGGTCCATGGGGTCACGAAGAGTCGGACACGACTAAACGACTAAACAACAACAAATCTTCATATTCAGGCTGATCTTACACTATGAGTTTGGGGTGGGGTAGGCTGTAGGCCTGAGTGATGCAAGCTAGAAGTTGGATGCAAAAGTATCGGGCTGGAAAGGCAGAGAGAGAGAGAAAGAGAGAGAGAGGCCTAATTTCTGCTGGGATCCAAGGCTGTGGCTATGGGAAAAGTCAGGCCTTTTTGGGGTGTTAAAGTTTGAGCCCCTCTATCCTAGGCTCAGGTTGTATATATGTGTAAACAAACCATATATCATAAGACCCCACAGTCATTCCCTCATTCTCAAAGGAAACACAAACCCTGGACCCTTCGGATCTTACACAGCTTGGAGATTGAGGTGGCGTGCAACACCTACATGGCATCACAGTCAGGTGGGTGGGGAAGAAGTACATTTTGCACCATTTGCCAAAATGGAACACAGTGTCTATAGCTTTTATAACCCACAATAGATTTGAGTCTTTTTTACCATTCCCTTCAGAGTCTTAAAAATTGACTTTTTCCCCTCTGGAACACTATTTGCAGAGACCAGGCTGCTTGCTCAAGAAGCATTCCCTGCCAGCAAAAGAACAGGCGGTTCTGAGAACTTAATACTGTACACACCAGAGCTGGATTCCAAAAACGCAGACGTCAGTTAATATGCAACAATGAAAGAGATACCTCTTTCATATCCGAATGCAACTTTGCATGTGAGCCACTAGTGGTTCTAGAACCCATAGATTCTTCCTTCTGAGGTTTTAAATATGTTTGGCAGCCTTCAAACCAGTATTTCCCCAAAACTATGCGCCACGTGGGCACAGAGCTGTAACTAGGTCATCTTGTGCCCCTGGCAGAACCGTCCAGATTGCGCCCCCTAGCCACAGACAAATTAGCTCTTCTTTCCGTATCTCCTCCAACCCACCCACCCACCCAATTCCTCATGCACTTCACCTCACACATATCAAATAAAGACCCTCTATTAAAAACCTTTCATTATGAGGCAATAATCAATATTTTTATTTATAGACATATTTTGCAGGGAGGGCCCCCTCGCCTGTGCCCCTGGCAGGAGCCTTCCTCACCACCCCCTAGCTACAGCCCTGTGTGGGCAAGGACATTAAGTTACTGACACATTGCAATGCTACACATGTCTATTCAAAAGTAAGCCTTCCGAGTAAGCAAGTGGGGCTTACTTACTTCCTGGTTAGGCTGCAAACAGCTATCCACAATGCGTCACCTACTCCAAGGGCAAGCAATTCCATTGTTTCCATTGTTTGCAAATGACCAGATCATTCAATTGCTCATGAATGAGACAGAAGAATTACTCACAGTCAAAGGAGGATTGCCTTTCACAGAGATGCAGCAGCCACAGGTTGTGGGCTTGCCTCCTTCCAGTCAAGGAGACTCTCAGAACGGGGACTTGGTGCAGAACCATCTGTAAAGCAGACCTTTTAGGTGCAAGAATGAAGTGATGAGGAACACGTTACACAGGAGGAAATAGAAGTGTGCATTGGTTATCAGAAGTTTCTGAAAGCCGAATGTATGATGTGCTTGTCATGCCTGCCTCTGCAGCAATACACCCTTTTCTGTGCATTTGCAGTGTTTGCACAGAGCACTGTCCCTGGGTGAAGCCAAAAAGCAGGAATGACTAAATATAGACTGCATAGATGGATGCATGCCTATATCATGCGGAAGACACAGATGTCAAACTACAACAAGACATCTCTACAGATAAAATTACATGTAGGGAAACCACAATCCAGAGAGGAGCCTCAGGCACATAAAAATTTTAAGGGCCCAGATGTCCTAGCTCAGGGATGGGGAACCCACAGGTGCTGGTGGAGCACAACATTTATTGTTGTTGTTGTTGTTTAGTCGTTTAGTCGTGCCCGACTCTTCGTGACCCCATGGACCAGAGCACGCCAGGCACTCCTGTCTTCCACTGCCTCCCGCAGTTTGGTCGAACTCATGCTGGTAGCTTCGAGAACACTGTCCAACCATCTCGTCCTCTGTCGTCCCTTTCTCCTTGTGCCCTCCATCTTTCCCAACATCAGGGTCTTTTCCAGGGAGTCTTCTCTTCTCATGAGGTGGCCAAAGTACTGGAGCCTCAGCTTCAGGATCTGTCCTTCCAGTGAGCACTCAGGGCTGATTTCCTTAAAAATGGATGCGTTTGATCTTCTTGCAGTCCGTGGGACTCTCAAGAGTCTCCTCCAGCACCATAATTCAAAAGCATCAATTCTTCGGCAATCAGCCTTCTTTATGGTCCAGCTCTCACTTCCATACATCACTACTGGGAAAACCATGGTTTTAACTATACAGACCTTTGTTGGCAAGGTGATGTTGGCAAGGATCATCTAGTCAATTATTAACCACTCTCAATTCCACCCTGATAATTGCCACCTGCCTGGATTTTAACTTATCTGAATTAATTTTAAGATGTATTTTAACTAATTAATGTCTGTTTTTAGGCTTATTGTGTTGTTTTTATTATGTTAGCTGTGGGATACAAATAAAATTATTATTATTATTATTATTATTATTAGTCCAACCCCCTGCAATGCAGGAATATGCAGCTGTCCCATATGGGAATTGAACCTGCAACCCTTGCGTTTTCAGCACTGCGCTCTAATCAACTGAGCTATCCAGGCCCTCATCTGGAAGGCTTCAGGTTCCCCACCACCCTGGTCTAGCTCTTTACTTGGGACGGCCAAAGCTGTGATGAGAAGGGAAGCTTGACAAGATTCCACATGCAAAAGCTGACAAAGGAGGCCATGGCCTGTTGTTTTGAATAAAAGCCACCCAGGGATGATGCGTTGCTTATTTTTCCGAAGTTTAATAGACGCAAAAGTGAGTCCATTTTTAACTTAAGACTACACCGGTTCCATTCTATTGCATTTCCCTTGCAGAAGTGTACATAATAAGAGTAAACAGTTTTGTGGTGTTAAAATCAAAAACAAGAGTGTGAGAGAGATCTTGTTACATAGAAGCAGCAGAAGCAGCAGTGTGTGTGTGTTTTTGTGTGTGTGTTTGTGCGCGTGTAGGGGAAGGGGGAGAGGAACAGGGGAATTATCAAGAGCAGCTAACATTTCATAGGTAATAAATACATTCCGAAGTGTTGCATTTCATTTCCCCCCCAAGTCCACTGAAAAAGCACTCGCCAAGGTTGCTTCTCTCGTGTTAAGTAGCTTTGTGACTTTTGGTCAGACTAGCCCGTGGAGGGCTTTTTACTAAGCAGTCCAGGTGCTTGTTATAACTTTCACAGATTATGAGCTGCGGGCCAGTCCGAAAACTCATCCTGCTGCCACGAGCACGGAAACCTTAAGATTCTCCCAGGGAAGTGTGTGTCAGGATGTTTACAGACTTTGTGAAACTCTAGGACAGCTGTGGTCTTATCTTCTGTTACCTTGAAGAAAGTGAAAAAGGGAGAGGTTACTGAAAGTGGCACTGCGCACTCAAACCAGAATTGTCACCAGAAATGTACACACAGCCACCGGTCCAAATATAGCGCGGGACTTCACAGTCTAAATTGGTCGCAGCAAACTTGAGAGAAGGCACAGGGACTCTACGAAGCTGCTCAGTCTAAAGGAAGAACCATAGCTAAACGAAAAACCACACACTACAGTGGGTTGTGGGTGGGACGTGGGTGGCGCTGTGGGTTAAACCACAGAGCCTAGGACTTGCCGATCAGAAGGTCTGCGGTTCGAATCCCCGTGACGGGGTGAGCTCCTATTGCTCGGTCCCTGCTCCTGCCAACCTAGCAATTCGAAAGCACGTCAAAGTGCAAGTAGATAAATAGGTACCGCTCCGGCGGGAAGGTAAACGGCATTTCCGTGCGCTGCTCTGGTTCGCCAGAAGTAGCTTAGTCATGCTGGCGACATGACCCAGAAGCTGTATGCCGGCTCCCTCGGCCAATAAAGTGAGATGAGCGCCACAACCCCAGAGTCGGTCACGACTGGACCTAGTGGTCAGGGGTCCGTTTACCTTTACAGTTTTTTTGTATTTAAAAAAAGAATAACAACAATCTGACTAATCAAATTTGCTCACGCACATTTTGCTAAACCATGTTTTGGTGTTGGGGAGCTTGCAGCTCTTCAGATACTGCTGGGACTCCCAGCTCTCATCAGTACCAGCTAGCATGGTCAATGATGATGGGATTTGTAGTCCAGCAATCTCTGAAGAGCCACAGGTGCCTCTTCCCTGGTTTAGTGTGACACATGAACACAGGCCTTCTGCTCTTTGCATGTATTACTTCAGATTTTGTTATACATCTGCAAACATGCTTGAAGATCCGTCTGTCAATCCAGCCCTATGATAGACATGACTTTGGCCTGTCCCTGTCCCATGATGCAGTCCCTCAAAAACTCTCCCCTCCCTCTCTGCTTACACTGGTAAGTTCACACATATTTCTTCCTGTCATTCATTTTTATATCGGGGTAGGCAATCTTGTGCCATTCAAATATTACTGGACTACAATTTCCAACAGTCCCCATGGCCAAGCGGTCTGAGGCGGAAGGGAACTGCAGACCCAACAATATCCGGAGGAGGCCAGATCGTCTATCCCCCATTTGAAGATTTGTTTTACTGAGCAATGCTGAGCATGTTTTGCAGCACACCACATCACAGATAAGGCTGCAGTCACATACCTACTTTCCTAGGAGAAACCCCTACTGAATTCAACGGGACTTATTTTTGAGTAGACTGATACAGAATTGTGCTGCTTGTTAGGAACGGAAGAAAATGCACATAACATACTTTATAAAATATTAAATACTTTGGAATTTTAAAGCATAACCAGCTTGAGAAACAGGGAGGGAGAGCTGACAAGATCCATTTCCGGAAAGAATTTACACTGTAGAGCAATAGAGATTTCTTATTTCTCGAGAATTTCACAAAAAGGAAGCAGTAGCAGCACGCGCATTGAAGTAAGTTATGGTAATCCTCACATGGAATATCAGCTTGTGCTGGCAACTGAAAAGAAGCCTTCAAAACACTTAGGATGAAGTTACCTTAATAGTGGAATAATTCTTGCCAGACACACCTGCTGTTTTAGAAATGGAATTAAATTTGTCAAAATGTTAAAAAAATTGAAAACATTTCAAGCATTTGATGGTTGAGAGATACTGTTCCTGGCAACTTTGAAATTGCTGGCTGTAAGAGCATGTGATTATTTTACATGATTTTAATTGTTTTTAGATGTTCTTATTTTATTTTTAATTGTATTGTTTAATCACTGCTGTGTTTGCCACCCTGAGCTCTTTTGGGAGGAAGTGGGGGGGGGGGGAATAGAAATTAAAAAAATAAAATAATAACAATGTACTCCTTTTAGAACCAGTGGCCACTGAATTTTCATTTTGCCTTTCGTTGTTGCTGAGGTTGTCCAGTGTCCAACCACAAAACATCTGTATCTCTTAAGAGATGATTTTAGAGATGTTTGGATCTGTTTGAACATTTTGTCTTAAATGATTTTAACCCACCCTGAGACTGAATGATGAATAATTGATGAATAAATGTACTAGTGATTATGTAACTTTCCCCAGCTTTTCAACATCTACAGAAGTTTAATAAATAACTCTACATTTTTTGATGCCTTAAGTAAAGAGGTTTCTTCCTGAAACAAGTGCCTCTTTCATAAATCCACAGAGATGGATCGAGTCCAAATATTACAATCAAAAGCTAAAGACCATTGTTTTTGACAACAAAAGAACAATTTTGGGTGACCATATTCTTGGAGACAAGCCCTGCGGCTGCAAGATACACCAGATAACACCACTTCTAAAAAGAAAAAGAAATCTAGCCCCAGAGTTCATGATTCATTTCAGTTTATAATAAAAAAAAACCCAAGAAAAGAATAATTACATTACTAAATCAGGGACTGGCAGAAGGTAGATTTGCAGTAAGTGAGCTAACTCCCAGTTCTTAAAGCAACAACAAAAAGGATCCCACTCTCTAAATTAGACTGCTGAAACAACGAAATCTTAGGAGAAAAAGAGGAGTGGGTTTTCTGTGTCAAAGGACTGCAAGTTCCATTCTGGTGCCGAAAACAAGTTTCCTGGGCTGAACTCAGAGGAATCCTATTCCTTGATTCCAAATGCTGAGCTGCTCTGGTTAGTGAACCTTGGGTTTGTAGTGAAACAACCACCACCAAGAACGAAGAAGATCCAACAAGCTTGGAGCACATCAACTGCACTTGCACCGTAAATCACACAAAATACTTATTGAGTTCTGGACCAAATACATAAAGAAAAACTGTGGCCACAGAGAACATACAAGTCACATGAGACTCTCCAAGGCTAGCTGTGTTTAGCAATATGTACCTACGCTTCAGAGCTTGGTTTTCTAAACTGTTTCCCAGAGAACCCAATGGCTTCTTGGAAACTTATCAGGTTCCTCAGTGAGAAGGACCAGCGATAGCAGAGAAACGTCTTTGGCTGACAGCTTGCTTACTTTTACCAATCTTTTCCTGCAATGAGCTACAGCAGAGCTAGACTGCTAGATGCACTCTAGTTCATACTCTCCAAGCTGCCCAGCATGCTCCAGTTCAAACCACAAGGGTTCCTTGGATGTTGCTCACTGATGGGTTCCTTGGATGTTTTTAAGCAGAGGCTGGATGGCCATCTCTTATGGATGCTGTAGCTGAGATTCCTGCACTACAGGGGGTTGGACTAGATGAGGAGAGAGTGGTGGTGCTGTGGTATAAACCACTGAACCTCTTGGACTTGCCGATCAGAAGGTCGGCAGTTCGAATCCCCGCAATGGGGTGAGCTCCTGTTGTTCTGTCCCAGCTCCTGCCAACCTAGGAGTTCAAGAGCACGTCAGTGCAAGTAGAAAGATAGGTACCACTGTGGTGGGAAGGTAAACTGCATTTCTGTGTGTTCTGGTTTCCATCATGGTGTTACATTGTGCCAGAAGTGGTTTAGTCATGCTGGCCACATGACCCAGAAAGCGGCCTGTGGACAAACGCCGGCTCCCTTGGCCTGAAAACGAGATGAGCGCCGCAACCCCATAGTCGCCTTTGACTGGACTTAACCGTCCTTTATCTTTACTAGATGACCCACTGTCAAGGGACAATGACAGTATCTCTCTTCAACAATTCCCATTATTTTTGTTTCTTAATGAACTTCAGCATGGGCATTTGTAACCCCCCAACTACCCACCCAATAAAGCCAAGATCACTGATTTATCTCCTCAAGGAAACCAGGCTTTTGGTCTTGACAACTTCAATTTCACTCATCTCACTTGTATTATACTTCTCACGATCCCAAAAGCTAGACAGGAGTAGCACTGCTTAAAAAAAAAAAAAAAGACAACCCAAACTAAGAACATTTCTGAGAGTACAATCCTATAATACCTACTTAGAAGTAGGCCCCACTGAGTTCAATTGGACTTGCCCCCATGTGAGCTAGTATAGGGTTCTATCCTCAGAAATATGGAAACAGGACAAAAGCTCCACCAGCACAGAGACCATCGTATGTTGGTGTCATATTGGCGACGCTACAGAGCACCAAAAGGGAAGGAGGGGGGAAATCATAGGGCTATAATAAAAGAAAGCTTGCACTTCTCGCAAGCATTTTATTCAGTGACTGCAGATCTGTGACCAAGACTGCAAAAACAAAAACCAAACGCCGAAACAGTCGACCATAAATTTTGTTTGGCCACCTGCTAAAACACTAATTGGCCTTTCTTCGTTATGCAGCCCTGCATTCTTATTCGCCGCTGCATTCTTATTAGCCTCTGACAGTTACACATTACACTTAGTGGCTGCTTAACAGCAGGGCTCCACACTACCAGAGTGCAGCTGGTCATCATAGATTATCTATTTCTAGGTCAGATAACTGCAGTTATTACCCTGACATCCCACTAAGCATTTTCTTTCCAGTCTTATCGCTTGAAAACCAGTTTGAAAAGACTGCATCTGATCCCCTACAACAATAGCCCTCTACAGGGGGGAAAATGATAAAAAAACCAAATTACATTAGCACTTTTATTTCAGCACTATTACTGCCTGCAGTTAGAGAAAATCCCTTAGAATTAAGATATGTGGTCAGAGGCCCAGCCTTCGCTGAGAAGCCCTTCAATTTACATGAAGTGATCTTCTCCGGAACTTCCTCAATTTCCTTGCATTCATCCAGCAGAATTGTTCATTCCCCCCTTTCACGCAGACACTTATTTTCTCCATCCAACTCTCGGTCATCTTCGGTAGCCCTTGAAACAACTTCTGAGGGAATGGTTTTTGCTGAATTGACTGGTTTGGCTGAACAAAACAGTTGACCAGCAAAGTTTTACGGATCTGAGATAACTGAAACTAGAGAACAAAAGGAGGAGATTATTTTTCTGGGTGGGGTGGGGGGCAGGGGGAGGCACAGCGGATGATGAAGTTGGGGTCTTTGGTTGCGTTCAAAGACTGAAAGAGAGAAAGCTGCTAGAGAGGTGGTTATCTTCTTCAGACAAAGCCCAAATACCAAAGCATAACAGATTAACTGCTGTTCAGAAGCTGAAGCTCCTCCAAAGTGAAGCCATCCCATCTAAAGCAGGTTTCACAGCAATGCTTTCCCTTCTCCACTTCCTTCAGGAGCTGCTGTGGTTGTGGATAAATTTGATTTTCTTTTTAAAGAAAAAAAAATCAATGGTGACTTTCACCTGGAAGCTAGTGGAAGAAAGCTCACTGAGCAAAGTGGGAGTTACATCAGAGTCAACCTGCGCAGAATCAGGCTGCTTACAGGATAACTTCAGCAGGGATGTGTGAGAACAACCATGTGGATGGGACGATTGCACCCTGCCCACATACTTGCATCACCCACACAATTTCTCTCTCCATAGGGTGGGGGTGAGAATCGTGTTGGAAACTGAGATATGAAAGCTAGCAGCTAAACGGCACCTTAAACCTAGGTTATGGGCACCACAACCAAGTGCCTAGGCACACTTTTTTATAACAAGAATACAAAGCTGAAAATGAATGAACTGCAGCTAACATCCTATGTTCATTTTTCACATGGTCTAGTCCTCATCTGTAGACTGTAAAAAACAAAGACATGCACCCCCTCTGCCTTACCCCTCCTAATATTCTTATTAGGGTCCCTTCTCTAGTCTTCAGAAAGTGGGTCGAAGTAGGGACGCAGAAAAGTCTCCTCTTTTCCTTCCAGCAGTGGCAGTTTTAATCTGAAATCTTAGGCGCAGTATTGTGTCCAGAGCTCAGAAACTGCTCGCATTAATGAAATTCCCTGTTGTAAAACGCGCCTAGAACAATGGGAGTTTTGAACGCTGGGTGGGAAGCCAGGAGGTGGGGTTAAGTACCCCTTCTCCTACCTTATATTTATTTTCCCCAACCTGGAGTTTCCAGTTGTTACTGTTCCTACCTTGAGAAACCTGGTCTAACTCAGCAAGACACAGAAGGGGAAGGGGGAACTTTAACATGTACCTCAAATAAATTGGATTGCTTTCAGCAGAGAAATCCTTGCTAGACCACAGAGCCATATTCTTTATGCTGAGTAAGCTATGAAGAAAACTAGCCGACAGGATGAACCAGCTGATATCTGCCAGTTGCCTGGCAGCTAATGCACCAAGAGGCTGCAAAAGAGGGTCTGTGCATTAGGTGGAAGAGGAAGCAAGAGAGAAGTGCAGAGACCCACATGGCTCAAGAGCAACTTGCAACGACTATGGCTTAGAAATCAGTTTCCAGATGCCACAGGTGGGGGGGGGACCATAAATAGGCACAATCCGCAATTACTGCAGCAAAGCTTCAGCCATTTTGCACATTAGGTTAGATAGGCTGGTGGCAGGGGAATCCTCAAGTGTACTCAATGCTCACAGTGAATGTGCCGACCCAGACATATAATTTAATTACCAATATCCATTTTAAGAAGTTGCTGGTTTTACCTTTGCCTTTAAATGGATTGCAACAGTCCATATAAGTGGTGTACAAATAAAATTGAAAATATTTGTACACCACTTAAAGAAAAAAAAAATTTTTTAATCGAGCGGACTACATTTTCCTTAAGTTTATTCACTAAGTTTATTACTGAAAAAAAGTATTTTGGAAGATATGCTGAAAGAATGCGAAAAAAGAGAGAGGCTAAGAAGCTTCTCCAACAGGATGCATAATACATAAAAATCTCTTTCTGAGACAATTTTATAGAAATATTTCATAGCAGCCATTTAATGCTGGCAATTTAGCAAACATATGATGTAAGAGAATAAGGACACACACACATACACCATCCTTTTCTTTTTTAACAGATAATGTAGACTTGCAGAGCCTAATGACTGAAGTGAGAAATGATGAAAGAAAACAATATAGCATTCCCTGCAGCCCCTTGGTTAAGTAAGTTTGGAGCTAGAATATAAAATGGGTTAAGAAAAAAATGCATGAAAACCAAGCCCAAATTCTGCATTAATAATAATGCACCCCAGATAGGAATTCAGTTTGCAGAGACCTGCTTAGTTGGTTTGGAACAATTTCTTCTGAACTCACTACCTGAATTCTGGCGACAATGGACAGCTGCTGAAGAGAAATAACAAGCCATGGCAGCAGGATGAATACGAAGGTGGAGAGCAGGAAGACACCCAAGGGGGGAAAATAAGGGCATAGAAGTCCCTTCCAAACTGGCAGTTTGGTTTCCCAGAATCTGTTTTCATTACCAGGGTCAAGTCCTGTAGCACGTGAAGAAATGATGAAGAGGAATGCACTGAGCATGTGCCAACTCCCTGTCATTCTCCATGGAACTGACACCACTGGCTCTCACGTTTTAAGGCTTTATAAACAGGGTTTCCAGGATAGCTGGTCTTGTTTCTAAGCAGGCCTGGTCTCCAACACCTCATGTGAGAAATCAAGCATCGTGCAGGTCCTGCCAGCACATTCCAAATGTTGCATCTTTTAAACAAAGTTGGAGCTAACAGACAGCAGATTACACCCAAGATCGCCTGCATTTCTCAAACTGCAGAAAACAGAGACAATGTCATGCAATACTGATGGCCTACAAACATCCGGTATTCAGGTTTTCCCTACCTGGATTTCAAAAAAGGAGGGAAGTAACAAGCTCTGACAAGCTAAAGGATTAGCAATCCTTACTACAGCAAAGAATATAACAGAGGGCAGGAATGAGACAGGCAGGCAAGTGTCTACATGGAGGCATGAGCTGGGTGGGGGAGCACCATTAGTGCGTCCCCCCCAAGTGTGTGAGCACAATTTCATCAAGTTTTGAGGAAAAAGCTACCCAACAGAAAAATAGTTTATTGATGATGATGCCACAGAAATACAGGGTATCTAGATGGTACTTTCCATAACTTCATTCCCAGTTGTCATTGTTTAAAAAAGACCCCAAACTAAACACTCCAGGCCACACAGAGGAATTCCCTAAATTATATTTTCTATCATATGCATCTCATCAATGCAAAGCGATTTGTAGGGAGTGCTGTTGTGTGTTCAGGTTCTGCTTGCAGGCTTCCTGTCAGCATCTCATTGGCCAGTGTGAAAACAAGACGCCGCACTACAGAGGCCTCTGGCTGATCCGGGAAGTTTTTCTCAAGTTCTTATTTGTCATGAGGAACAACAAGACCCATATAAGACCAATTTACAGTTGTCTTTCTATAAGTGTATTTGGCAAGCTGTCTAACAAATGATGACTTAACACCCCTCCCCCCCCCAAAAAAGCTCTAACTCCAAACTTTCCAGTCACATTTCAAAAGATGGAAAAGATACTCTGGGGTGACTTGGTAATGACCAAGACTATGCCCTTAATATACCCAAACTTTTATATCACAGTGCAAGATACCCCCAAAATGCACACACTTTTAATAGTGTACTATACAGCCCCTTTGATTAATTCCCACTGAAGCAGTCCATCCCTCTCACTTTTAAAAACTCTGAAAAACAAACTCCAAGCACACAGGTGCTTAAATCAGCTTGTGTAATGCACGTGCCGTCTCCCAAATGCACTTACCTGCAACTGAAGCCAAAATTATGTTTCAAACTGCGTTAAGAGGTCTCTTATTTCTGGGGTCAGGTGTTCCACTGCCTTGGCAGCTTCTGTTATAGCTTTCCGATACATCCCTTTCTTCTTACGATTAAATCGCAGTTTGAAATATTCAGAGAAAGGGGAGAGTTTTGAGAGAGACAAGAAAGATGTCGTTGGAGAACCAAACCATGAAACTTTTGCTTCTTGCCAGGAAGGGTCTCCATTCTCCTTCTGGCTGACGTTTATGTCGAGCACACGGGCCGGCCACCAGGGGAAGCCATGGATTTTGCCCCAAACAATATCCCCGACTGAAATAGTCCTTCCATCTTCAGTGATACACTTTGCGACACTTTGCGTGTGCAGTCTAACTGTTAATGGGGGCACAATCTTTCGCTCATCTTTCGAGGACGAAGAGACGGACGCATCGTCACCAGGTAAAAAGTCACACATGTCTGGCGATGTTACTTCCGAGCTAGAAGATTTGGATTCGTCTAGGCTGTCATTGCTACACACCGATAAGCTAGAAGAATCCGCTTTCCTCTTACGGTAATTCATAAGGAAAGCCAAGTTATCGTGTCCATCTTTACCTTGGGGAAACCTTTTGAAGTCGTCGTCTTCACAGGAGCTCCCTGAAGACATCTCGGCTAAACTTCTATCCGCAGACTCATCGGTATAAAAAGAAGCAGCACGAGACTCTCTGTGACCGGGAAGGACATTCATCTGGTCGATAAGTTCCGCTTTGTAGATTGAAACATTGTCCCCTTCGTTGATCCGATGGGGTTTCAGCCTGATCTTGGGAGGTGGAACATCTGCACTGGAATGCACAGGCCTGGTTAACTTTAACTTTGGAATGGAAGCAAGCTGACCGCCCGCAGACTTATCCACAAAACATTTGGTTTCCCGATCCTCTTCCGAGTCTCTGGTCTCCTCTTGGTCCTCCCCTCTGCTCTGAGGACAAAACAGCTTCCCTGAGCCATGAACCCGGGAGGGGATTTTCACCACCTCCCCTTTACCTTGTGGGGTGCTGTAAGATATTTTTATAACCGGAGTCCGGTGCATCAACTCCCTAGGGAACTTCTCCTCCTCCCGTTTTTCTCTTTTGCCCCTTTTCTCTCCGTAGTCGGACTCGCTGTGCCTCTTTTGCTCCTTGTCCTCGATGCTCAGCTTCCTCCTGGTTTTTGTGTTCTGCCTGGCCTTGTTCCCCTCCTCTGGGCTCAGGGTGTTCTTGCACTTCTCACAGAGCACTCGCCTAGGTCTCAGCCTAATGGTGCTCATGATGAGCCGGCCAGGGTCTCTATTGCGGGACAAGCGTCGCTTTGTCCTTTTTATAGTCCTTGGAGGGGGCTGAGGCACCCACTGATTATATGAGCGCCTTAGCCACAACGGAGGGGGGAAGGGGGCTCCCTCAAAATAGGGAGGGTAAGGAAGAACATTGCCTGACGGTGGTGGAGGCAAGAGGGGGGGAACTTGTTCCTCGCCATTGACTTTGGAAGGCTTTTCGTCCAAAGGCCACTGCCCAGTCTCCAGCTGTATGGGCTGCCTGTCTTCAGACGTCCCGTTAGTGCAAGTTTTATCCAGAGGCTCATCTGTCTTTGGTAATGAAGCTGGCGGAACACAAAACAACCCAGACCTAGAGCAACGTGGGTAGGGAACAAAAGGTGGGGGAGGGGGAGAGAGAAACACAAGATCAGGGTCAATTTAACCATCCCTAAAAATTACAGAGAGAACAGTTTTAAAATATTTCTCCACAGCAGAATTTGAAAGCGTCCTTCTTATCTTACAACTCTGAAGAATATCACCTACCGCTTTAGAAAGGTAGTTTTGCTCTTTGTATGGAGTGCCTAAGCAAAGCTGTGCACTAAAGATTCCTCTCATGTGTGGCCAGTGTTAGAAACTCAGGTATATAAGCTAGGAGCCAAATGGTTCCTAGGTTATAGTCGCCAAAGTGGAATGTCTAGTTACCATTTTGGGGCTCGGCAGCTCTAAAGTTTTATTTTTCAAATGATGGACCAACTGTGATATCTGGCTAGTTCAGATGACAAGCTTGAGCTAGGTTAAGAGCTTTGAGAACTTAAAAGAAAAGTCACTTTATCCAGGGGCAGTCTACATATATGTCAGCCAATTCCTACCTTTTTTTTCTTAATGGTGACACGGACCATACATAACATTAAGAATATTCTTCACAACTGTGAGCAGGGCAGTGGGGTATGGTAAGTGAAGACAAGCTACAATAGTTAACTATAACATTTTTCACCGCTCCTGCTCAGGCTGCACAGAAAAAGCATTTTGGTTCCTGAAATTCACTCTTTGATTGTGCAGATAAAATATAAGTGATAGAATTCTACAGGATGGGGTATTAGCGTGTGAAAACAGCCAAGATCCAATTATCCCAAGGAATGCACCTCCAGATGGTGGAGGTGTCCGGGACCAATCTGGCACCCAGGCATCTTCACTTGGTTGAAAGTGGACAATAGTCAGGTGCAAAATGCGCCTGGCTAATTTCCAACACTACGTGTTGCACACTAAAAAGTTCCAATGAAAAGCAAGCACAATGCAGGAAGAGTGAATTGCGCATAGCTATCAGGTTCTCAAGATAGACTTTTATGCTGTGGGCCTCCCCCCCCCCAAAAAAAACACCTTAGAGTTGCTTGGGAACTCTCAAGGAAAAGTGGTCCTCTTTACACAGCAGTCATTACGGTGCCAGGTGACAAAGCTACTTCTTGTTAGTATTCCTGCTCCATGACTGCAGTTATGGGATTTTTGTCTATCACATGACGGTGTGTGTTTTGACTCCACAGAGTGGGAAGTGACGGAGACAGGATGTTTGTGTTACTGTGTTCCATGAAGTGGGACTATCGCCCTTTGTTCTTTTTCTCTTTGCTGTCTGATGCTAGAGAGAGAGGGAGCCATGTTGCAGTGCTCCGTGTGTGTTTATATGTAAATAAAGTAGATTAGCCAAAATGCTGAGTTGCTGAGGTCTGTCATGCAAGGTGCGCAAACTCTGCGGATCCCTAAGTGTGCCGGTGTCTGTTGGCATCAGTCGCTGTGATGTTCGGGCTGAAGAAAGCTTTTGAAGCTCCCGAACGATCGACCAGGAGGGAGAGAACATGCCAATCGGGCATGTGTCTCTGCCAGGGACCTACTCGAGTGTAGGGACAAACTGCATATGAATAATTCCAACCTGTGGTGAAGCATGCTCACACATACAAAAGAATGTGGAGAAAGAAGCAAGAGTGAAGAGTGAAGATTGTTGGGATTACATATATAGGTACAAAAAAAAAAAAAAACCATGAAGAAAAAAGCTTTTAAACTGAAGACAGCAAGGACTGTGACATCTTATTTATTGAGGCATTAATTTGATAATGGACTTCTGCACCAGACACAAAACTCATTACTCATTACACAAGCAGTTAACCAGTTGTTCTTCTAGGTGCCCCAGCATTTCTGAGTAACTGGTTCCCAAGGAACATACTGGCTCTTTTCCTGTTACTCAGCTCCCATGAGGAATCCTGAAGTTTGTAAATTATATTGCACCTGAAAGAAATGAACTAGCTGTTCTCAGGCCACGTAAGGGTGGAGCAGAAAGTTTTCTAGTGAACTCTCTGGCTCAAAAGGCGACAGGTAGATTGGGATGTTAGAGGAGGATCGGGGAGAAGACACGGAAATTGAACCTTACTTCTCTTTTCTGTGGCCTGTTTGTTGCTGCTGCTGCTGCCAGGACCACAGACCTGGTGTGATTTGCTGCCCTCACCAGTCTCGAGGGCAGTAAGCTCTGACTTCTGAAGCCAAATCAGAGCAAAGGCATTATATAGGCCAACCTCATTGGCTATGTGGCACCATCACAAAGCCAAATCTGAGTGACGGCAGTGTTCTCTCCCCACTATTTCAGCATCATGGGAGCAGCGAGGGGGTCATAAGTACCTCCTAAGAGGAATGGGTGTTCTCTCTTTGTAATTTATGAAGACAATGAGAAGTAAGGGCAACAGTCATTTCAGTTCATGCTCTACATTCCAGATACCCAGCCTTTTAAAATGCAATTCCTGTTTATATCATATCATTAATGAGTAAACTGAGGACGGACAAACATGGGTCCGTTTCATTAGAATGAAAAACATACCTTTGTCTATTTGATGTCGCTCACCTCCCCCACATTTAGACTAGATTAGCCCACAGGAAATAAACCCAGACTGTTGAAAATAAGGCTTATAAAATAAACCTTTTTTTGGTATTATCTTCTTTCAAGTAAAGCCCTTAATAGCAAGCAAAAGCTTGAAGCAACCGAGACTGCTGAATATTTGTTTAGAAGCAGGCTTTTGATGAAGGTCAGAAAAATGCTTAGAGATGAAAAATTTATTTTAAAGCAGCCGGTCAGTTATCTCATCCGCTTGAGGAGAAGGCAGGTTTTAAAGGCATCAAGGAGGATTAGGGTAAAAGTGTTTAATGATCAGTAGGTTGGTGGCAACTGTTGCCTGCAACTTGGATCTGAAGACCAAGTAAACTCCTCTTTCACCTCTCTCCTGTCCCCCTACAACCCACTCAAAGCCTCTCTGAATGGTCAAGAGTCCTTCCTGAACAGCACAGTGCCACAGCAGGGAGCAGGGGGCTTTGGGGGTATCAAATTGTGTCAAACTGCCCAAAAGGAACCTCTTGCCATCCCCAAAGCTGAAATGGCATGGATGTTAACAGCCACTACAATGATAAGTTAAAGGAGTTAAAGAAATGATATACTGAAAGTTAGGATTTTCAACAGCCTGGTGCAAACCCATATACAGTGGTACCTCGGGTTAAGTACTTAATTCGTTCCGGAGGTCCGTACTTAACCTGAAACTGTTCTTAACTTGAAGAACCACTTTAGCTAATGGGGCCTCCTGCTGCTGCCGCGCCACCGGAGCACGATTTCTGTTTTTATCCTGAAGCAGAGTTCTTAACCTGAAGCACTATTTCTGGGTTAGCGGAGGCTGTAACCTGAAGCGTATGTAACCTGAGGTACCACTGTACAGTCGTACCTTGCAAGTCGAAGGGCTTGACTCCCAAACCCCGCAAACCTAGAAGTGAGTGTTCCGGTTTGCAAACGTTCTTTGGAACCCGAAGATCTAATGCAGCTTACGCGGCTTCCGATTGGTTGCAGGAGCTTCCTATGGGCAGTCGGAAGCCGTGCCTTGGTTTCCGAATGTTTTGGAAGTCGAACAGACTTCCGGAATGGATTCGGCTTCCGAGGTACCACTGTACTCTATAATCTGTGCATGGCACAGATCTGAATATAACTTCTACTTTTGCCCTGAAGTTAAAAAAACAAAACAAATATATATATAATTATTCTGCCCATTAACCACCAAATTATTAATATACATAGGCCTACAAATGAGATTTAAGCAGCCAGAATGTGTGGCATTTCAAATTGCTCTAAACCCATTAATTTTCTCATTTGGCAACTCATCTTGCTCTAAAAGCTCCCACTTTGAAGGCCTTCCTGTTTCACGTTAAATGTCAAAGGTTTAGATGCAAAGGTAGGAGGGCAGGTGGGATGTTGTAAATATGGCCAAAGTACAATGTTCTTTAGTTTGGGATGTGGCCTAAATGTGACCAACTGACTAATCTTCTTTTAGAGATGGTGAGTCACCATCTAACCTTTTACTCAGAAGCTCCTCAACTCAACACCATGTACCATTTTCCTTCATGTTCCACCTTTGTCTCAAGTGGCTTCCAAAATGGCCGCCACTCTGGTTGTAATAAGTTAAAGGAATCATTTACTTCTTGCAATTTCTTCAGCTACCCAATAACTAACAATCTCTGAGCCATGCACAGTGCCATAGAAGATAAAATACAAAAACACTATTCTTAAAAGCAACGCAGAACAAAGAGAAAACTAAAGTCATGCTTTTATAATGCAACTGCAGTTCTCAGTGCTCTGCATAGTGGAAGAGGACAGGATCGTGTCAACCACGCAATCTACCTCTATTCCAGAGAGTAAACAGAGCTTAGACAGGATCGCCAGTAAATCCACAAGAACATTCAGGAATCCCATCAGAAGCCATTAGCCTCCAAGGGCAGATCACCTTCACAGGTCCTTTGGCCTTGCAGAGGGGAGAGGCCATCATGTGCCTAAATTTCTACAGGAAATTATCTGACCGGATCCAAAATACTCAAGTCAGGAGGTGGCCTGTTTGAAATTAATTTCATTTCACTATGTCTGGTGGAACTGCCCAAGGGTTCAAACCTACTGGCAGCAAGTCTCTTAGAGCCAAAGCCAACAAACACAGAGAGACAAGCCCCCAACTCTCAAACAGTGCAAAACATTGTTCAATTTAATACACAGCAATCTCAAAACAAATAGGGAATCAAGATCGCAATGGCTGTCCCTGCTCCTGGCTTCAGTTCGTTCTCCCAATTGTCTACACTAACCTGTGTGGGGTGTGTGTGTGCATGCATGTGTACAGCACTTGTACAGGCATGGCTCTCTCCGAATGACCTAGAACCCTAAGAAATTGCAGATTACTGATCACATGGAAATCTGTACATGTTGCAGGTGCTTAGGCTATGTACACATAATCAAATGAAATCATGGAACAAGGTTGAGATGGCATTTCCTGATCCAATCCTTTATTGTTCTTTTAATTCACTCTGCCACTCCTCCCGAATTCCAGTTTAACTGGAAAAGCTCTAAGCTTAAATCCCAGAATTAAAGAGCATGCTGTTTTCACTTGCTTCTGCTTAATTGATCAGTCAATTAATTGGGGGGGGGGCTTAATCCATGAAAAAGGTACATGGTTGCACGTAATCTTGGAGGGAAGCATTTTTATTTCTCACTCACAAAGGAGGGACTCTAAGATTTATTCTTTTCCTTACATTTACACACCACCTTTCCCCCAGAAGCTCAGGGTAGCATACGTTGTTCTCCACCCATTTTATCCCCATGTCAACTCTGTGAAGTAGGTCAGTATGAGCAGTGATGAACTAGCCAAGATCATCCAGGTGGCTAGACAACATAATAAGGATTTGAACCCAGGTCTGCCCAGTCCTAGCCAGACACTCAGCATGTGTACATCATTAAAAAAAGAAAAAAGCATTCCTCTTGTTTCAGAAATCTTGTTTCTACTCATTTTTGATAAATCTATATTTCAGAGAGCTATCAAAATGTCTTTGGTCCAGTTGCAGGCCTAAATCAAGTATTTACCATTCTCATTTATATTTCTACAATCAATCCATTTACAGTGGTACCTCGGGTTACATACGCTTCAGGTTACATACACTTCAGGTTATAGACTCCGCGAACCCAGAAATAGTACCTCGGGTTAAGAACTTTGCTTCAGGATGAGAACAGAAATCGCGTGGCGGCGGCGCAGCAGCAGCAGGAGGCCCCATTAGCTAAAGTGGTGCTTCAGGTTAAGAACAGTTTCAGGTTAAGAACGGACCACCAGAACGAATTAAGTACTTAACCCGAGGTATCACTGTATACAGAAAGTATATATATGTTACAGGAAAGAACTTCCGAGCTGTTGCAATAGCAGCAGGACACCAGAAAAAAGGCCAGCACGACATTTGGCTGACTGAAGTCTAGCGTAGAGGAGACTGAAGTAATATTGGCAGCCAGCTTTTGAAGACTCAGCTCTCTTGCGTGGGAGACTGCACCAACCACTTTGTACTCAGGTCTGCAATTTAGGGGTCAAATCCAGGCAGCAATAGCACTCCAGAGTGCCGTTTCTGTGCCTGGGGAAAAGATTTGCATGCAACATGGGTCACAGGTCTCCATAAAAGTGCCACCTGGAAATTAGTCTACTAAGATACATTATATGGCCTCAAGTGCAAGGTCATTTTTTTAAAAAAACAACAACCCACAAAAAGCCCTAATGTTGGCACTTGGGTTCTTTTTGAATCAATGATACCTGGCTTCCACAAACTCCCCAGGGATGCAAAGCTGCTTTTACAAAATTTCTAGTCAACCTTGATGGGCGCAAAGAAAAGTACGAAAGCAATGCAGAACCATCTTTTTGAAAGTTATCAAACCTTATTTGCCATCCAAAACTGCAGTCTAGTGCCTTGGCTATTTCAGGTAATTTTTTACTTCTGATTAGCAGGGTGCCATTCAATTCACGAGCTCAAATGCTTACAGAGATGCAAGCAAGCAGCTCCATTCATTTCAATGGAAGGGCATGGTCTGTGCATCTGTTCCTTGGCATTTATAAGCTGCTTCCATCCACCGAATGAAAAGGTTTTCCAGATAGGATCCTATTAGTGCCCTTGGACTAGGAACAAGTATACCAACTTCACCCAAAAGGTTCACTGAACCTATGGAATAATTCCACTTCATGAAGAGCTTAACTTTCATTTTCCAAAATATTTTTTTTTAAATGATCACTTTTCGAATCTTCACTGCAGCACAAAGCACAACCTGAAACATAACTTCAGTCTCTTCTTTCCCATATATTTAGTGTGTTCCCTGTCAAATCTTTCACTGGTCCCTTATTGGGGGGGGGGATATTTCCTTTGCAAAGCTTTCATTTGGCAAAATAAAAACTGAAGCCAGAACTGAGCAAATCTGATTTCTACAGTAGAGAATGTGTGTTTTCTTGGTTCAGAATCCCATTCATTATTCTCCCCCCCCTCCAGTGTTGCCATCTCTGGCTTTATATTTGGGGCAGCAAGTAAATGTTCAGAGACAGCAATTGTACTCCTTACAGCACTGGTCTACTTCTGAAAGTGTCAGTGGTATAAAAGAGGACAATACCCTCAATTGTTCCTCAGTATGCCCTGGGAGGGGGAGAGAAGAATACTTCAGCCAGAAGTATTTTAATCCCAAGAGGATATTATTGCCCCGATCTTAACAGAGATTTTTGAATTAAAGTGGTGCTTTGCAGAGAGGAGGCTGTTGCTGCTTCCTTCAAGAAAGTTGCCATTAACACACGTGTCAGAGCTGCTTCCAGATCCTAGCTCACAGAGGATCACGCTAGCCAGCGATCATTAAACAAAAGTCTTTATTGAGTTACAGTTTCCATTCTCAAACTGCTGCGTGCAACTCTACGTCTCATGGTTAGACCGGCGAAGCTCCGTCTGAGTCTCCGCCCCTTGTACACCAACTTAATATCCTAGCCCTGCTCCACCTTTTCCGCCTGACTGTTCTTCTCTGGGTCCCTCTGCCCCTGGGGTCTCTTCTTTCCGGGATTCCTCTGACGCTGACCCCCCTGCCTCTTCTCCCTCCTTTCGGCGGGCTTTAGGACCTGGCTCCCTTTCCGGGCTGCCTACTGTGCCACCTTCCTGTGCATTTGAACTTGCGCGCGCGCCCAACCTTCCACCTTCCGTCTGACCGTTTCTTCGCTCCCCGATGGAGGTGTGGCCACTCCTGACTCGTGCCCTCCCCCCTGTTGTGAGCTGCCAGCGCTTGATCCCTGGCTCCCTTCCTCTTCCCTGCTCTCTGGCGGTGACGCTGGTCCCGATTTCCAACTGCTCCCTTCTGAGTCCCCTCTGGCTCTATCTTCCTGGGGCGTCCCCTAGGCTCCCCCTTGCCCTGGCCACTGGTGCTCCTTTCTGTGAATCTTCTGATTCACTGGAAAGACTCGGAGATCTCGGGTCGTCGTCATCACTCATCTTTTCTTCTGCCTCCTCCCCTCGCTCTCTGTTTCCTCCCTTGCCCTTGCCTCTGCTCCTGAACCCCTGACATCCATCCCCCTCGAAGCCCCTCTTCCCCTCCCCTCCTTCCGGTGCGGGATCTGGGTGCTGCCGTGTCAGGGGACGAATGTCGGATACAGTTCGCTTCCCGTGGCGGGCCGCCATCTGAAGTCTTCCGGTTCTTCCTCCCTGCTCTCGTTGACGACGGTCACCTCCGCTTCCATCTCTGTGCCGCCGTGCTCGAAACCCGGGTCGTCCCCGAAACGTCCATGTCCGTCTCCCTCGTTACCTTCTGGAGACGTTGCTCGTCCTGGACCCTCCAGCCACCTTCTACGGAACTGCTCCTCTGGTCGATCATCCCACCAATACGAGGGTTCTGAAGCAGATCCCGAGGGTGACCCCTCCGGGAACGGGCGTCTCGTGTCGGTTCCTCGTCCGAGTCGAACCCCCGGAACGTGCTGGCTGAAAGTGTGGGCGTGAAAAGCCAGTCGTCGAAAAAGTCTGCTGGCATTGGCCTATGTGGGAAGAGGGCATGAAACTCTTCTTTGAGCAGAGGTTCGTCTAAAGCGTAGCCCGGCACCCAGCTGTTGGCACTGGCCGGGTGCCCTCCTTGGCGAGAAGGTATTCTACCCCCTCTTCCCCCCATCTGGAGTCCAAAATCTCCGTGACTTCGTTGATGCGCTCCTCCCGTGCCACTCCCCTTTGCCCGGTTCTCTCTCGGAGCGGACCCGGTGCCGTTCCTGGTTCCTGAAACCTGTGAGGTGCCTTGTATGGAGTGAGCACCGATCTGTGGAACACCGGATGCATTCTGGAACCCTCCGGAAGAGCCAGCCTGAAAGCCACCGGGTTGACCTGTTCTTCGACTTGGTAGGGCCCCAGTTGTTTATGCCCTAGTTTCTTCTTCGCCAACGACCTGGCCGGCACTGCGTGGGCTGCTAACCAGACCCAGTCTCCCACATGGATCTCTTCGCCAACCCTTCTGTGTTTGTCCGCTTGTACCTTGTATGCGTGCTTAGCCAGCTCCAGGTGCCGCCGCAGCTGATCGTGGACCTCCTGCAACTCCGACGCGAATGCATCTGCTGTCTGCGGCTCCCCCCTCCCCATTCTTTCCAGTCCCGGGAAGGTTCTGGGGTGCCTCCCGTTGTTGGCGAAGAACGGCGTGACCCCGTGGACACGTGCTTCGTGTTGTTGTAGGCGAACTCGGCGAGAGGCAGGTAATCCACCCACGTCGCAGGCTGTTGATTCGCATAACATCTCAGGTACTGCTGCATGATGGCATTGACCCGCTCCGCTTGCCCATTGGTCTGCGGGTGTCTAGCCGACGCCAGGTTGATCTTGACGTTCAGGAAGCCCATCAGCCTCTGCCAGAAGTTCGAGATGAACTGTCGCCCTCGGTCGGACAGAATAGACCGCGGCAGACCGTGAACCTTGAACACGTGGTCTATGAACAGTTTGGCGGTTTGTTCCGCCGTGGCCACCTTCGCACACGGAATGAAATGTGCCATCTTGGAGAACAAGTCCACCACCACCAGCACAGCCGTCTTGCCCCTCGAGCTGGGCAGATCCGTGACAAAGTCCAGGGCCACTCTCTCCCATGGTTCGAACGGAGTTTGCAGCGGTTCCAGCAATCCGGCCGGCGGTCTGTGCACTGGTTTGGCCCTCTGGCAGGTGTCACACCTCGCCACGTAGTCCGCGACTTCCCTCTCATTCCTGGCCACCAGAAGTCTCTGGCTACTAATTCCACCGTCTTCTCCTTGCCAAAGTGCCCGGCAGTGGGCGCGTCGTGCAGCTGCTGCAGTACCTTGGCGCGAAGTTCGTCTCCCGGCACGTAGATGGCCCCTTTACGGATGAGCAAACCATCTCGCAGCTGGAACTCGTCGGTCGCTGCCGTGCCCCTGTGCGCCTCTGCCATCTTTGCTTGCGCGAAGGAGTCATCCTGCAACGCTCGTCGCACCGCCTCCAGGTCAACTGTTGCCGCCGTGCACGCCCACACTGTCGGTGCGAAGATGTGCATGGCGGCCGCTGGCGTTGCCTCCTCCAGATACTGCGGCTTACGGGAGAGAGCATCCGCCATGATGTTGGTGTCCCCGGGACATACTCTATTCGGAAGTCGAAATTCGCAAAGAACTCAGCCCAACGTATCTGCCTCTGGTTCAGGAACTGTGCCGTGCGCCAGTGCTCTAGATTCTTGTGGTCCGTGCAGACCTGCACCGTGTGCTTGGCGCCGATCAGGAAGTGCCTCCACGCTTTGAACGCTGCATGAATGGCCAGCAACTCCCTGTCCCAGATGGTGTAGTTCTGTTCGGACTTGCTGAGCTTCCTTGAGTAAAACGCTCCCGGCCTCCAAACCCCATGCTGGTAAATCTGCAGCAGGACTGCTAACACGGCTCTGTCCGAAGAGTCTGTCTACACACTCATCTGCCTGATTGGGATGACATGAAGCAGTTGCCCTTCCGACGCGAAGAGACGCTTGAGTGCCTGAAAGGACTGCTCCGCCTGCTCTGTCCAGATGAACTTCTTTTCTTGGAGCTGAGCGTGTCCGTGATGGCCGCTGTCTGCATGGCAAAGCCTTTGATAAACTTGCGATAGAAGTTCGCAAAGCCGACAAACCGTTGGACCTCCTTCCGGTTGCGTGGGCTTTTCCAATCCAACACTGCTCGGACCTTGGCGCTGTCCATGGCGAGCCCTTTATCAGACAACTTGTAGCCCAGGAAATCCACCTCCGTCACGTCGAATTGGCACTTCTCCAGCTTGGCGTAAAGCCTATGTTGCTGTAGCCTGCTCAGCACTTCCTTGACGTGTCTGTCATGCTCCTGCTGCGATTCCGAAAAGATCAGGATGTCATCCAAGAAACAGACGCACGTCTTGTAGAGGAGCCCCGCCAACACGTGATGCATGAAAGCTTGAAAACGTGGGAACCATTTTGCAATCCAAAAGGCATAACTCTATATTCGTAGGTGCCCAGGGGCGTGAACATGGCTGTCTTCCACTCATCTCCTTCCCGCATGCGAATGAGGTTGTACGCCCCTCGCAGGTCCAACTTAGTGAAGACGCTGCCCTTCCGTACCTTTGCGAGGAGGTCGTCGATTCGGGGCATGGGGAAGTCCGATGGCTTGGTCACGCTGTTCAAAATGCGATAGTCCACTACAAGTCTTTTCTGGGGCGTGTCCCGCTTCTTAACAAAGAATACCGGACTGCCCCCGCTGCCTTGGACTCTCGGATGAAACCGCGCTCCAAATTATGATCTATGAACTCTTTGAGTTCCTGCAGTTCGTCCTCAGACATGGAATACAGCTTCCCTTTGGGCAGCGCCGCCCCCGGCAGCAGGTCAATTTTGCAGTCATATGGTCTGTGGGGGGGGTAGCCTGTCTGCCTCCTTCTCGCAGAAAACCTCCAAAAATTCTGCGTACTTGTGGGGAACCGCTTGCAGCGTGCCTAGCTGCAGCTGTGACTCCTCTTCCTCTCCTTCCTGCCGGGGCACGATGCAGTGTTCGGCGGCGAAGGAAGAGCCGAAGGTCAGCTGCCTCTGGTACCAAGCCAGCGTCGGGCTGTGCTTGTCCAGCCAACTCATGCCCAATACAATGGGCGTGTCCGATAGTTGAGTGACATTGAAGCTGATGATTTCCCTGTGATTCCCAAGCCGCATCACCATTGGTGGCGTCTGCTTCACCACTTGCCCCCCTAGCAGCTCCCTGCCATCCACCGTGACAACCTGCAGGGGCAGCGTGGCAGGCAGCAACTGTATAGCGTGCCGGTCGACAAAGTCCTGCCCTATAAAGTCCGCATTGCTTCCGGAGTCAATGGTGATTGGCACGTCCATGGTGATTCCATTGGGCAGCTGGAGCGACGCGGTGAGCCTCACTACTGGTTTGGGCGGGAGGGGGTCCATGGGCTGTAAAATCTCTGGGGACTGCTTCACTGACACGTCTGGCTGGGCCCCAGTGCCTCTTCCTCCAACCAGACTCCGTCGTTTCCCTGCTGTGGTTCTCCTTGCTGCGTTGCTGCAGTTACCATTGCTGAAGCTGCAGTGTGCTTGTGGAGCCTCTGGGGACACTCTTTCGCCATATGCTGTGGAGCATCGCAGATGTAACACTTCCTGTTCCCTCTAGGAGGCTTCGCTTCACTGCTGCCGGTGCTAGGGCTCTGGCTGCTGACTGAGCCCTTGCACCTCCAACCTCCATAGGTTCCGCTCCTCCTCCTGGCGGAGGCGTGGATTGCGCACGCGCTGCTTCTCTGGGAAGGAAGGAGGAGCCCCTGGCTGGTTCGCGCCCTCCACGCCCTTCGTCCCTGCTCCACGGACGTTCTTCCAGCCGCACCCCCACCGCCAGCGCCCTCTGAACGATCTCCTGCGTGGTCCGGGTCTCTCCCCTCGCAATTTCATCTTTAACCGAGCCGTGCAATCCCTCCCAAAACAGGTCTCTTACAGGAGCCGAATCTCTGTCCCATTCCAGAGCACTGACCACAGCGAAAACGCGGGCATGGTACTGCCTTACGCTGGCCCTCCCTTGCTTCAGTCCATGTATCTGCTGCCGAGCAAGATCCACGTCAATGCTTGATAAAAGCACCCATCCATCGCTTTAATAAAGGCATCCGCATTTTGGAGCGCCGGATCCTTATCTCTCCACAAATTGCGCAGCCATGCTTTAGCATCTCCATGCAAATGGGACATGATGAATCCCACCTTCTCTTGCTCATCTCTAAAGTCTTTGTCCAGCAGTTGCAGTGCACACATTACATCTGCTCTAAAGTTGGGGTACTGTTGCAAATTCCCATCGAAGTGAGAGACCAGACCGCCTGTTCGTCTCCCCAACCCAATCCCCTCCGGTTTGGGTGTCAGTTGCCCTTGCTTCGTAAGCACTTCCAACCTGACCTGGAGATCCCTGTAGGCGGCAGCTGCGTCCTCCTCTCTCTTCCTGGATGCAAGAGCCTCGGCATTCAGTCGTGACACTGCTTCTCTGAGTTCCGCTATCTGCTGTTCGGCCGTCATGTTGTCTGCCTTTCGTGAGCTCGCTAGTAGGCACCCGCGTTCTCTCCTCTCCGGGAGGCCGTAGATGCCCACAATTTAAAGAGACGGAGCTTACTGTCAGAGCTGCTTCCAGATCCTAGCTCACAGAGGATCACGCTAGCCAGCGATCGTTAAACAAAAGTCTTTATTGAGTTACAGTTTCCATTCTCAAACTGCTGCGTGCAACTCTACGTCTCATGGTTAGACCGGCGAAGCTCCGTCTGAGTCTCCGCCCCTTGTACACCAACTTAATATCCTAGCCCTGCTCCACCTTTTCCGCCTGACTGTTCTTCTCTGGGTCCCTCTGCCCCCTGGGGTCTCTTCTTTCCGGGATTCCTCTGACGCTGACCCCCCTGCCTCTTCTCCCTCCTTTCGGCGGGCTTTAGGACCTGGCTCCCTTCCGGGCTGCCTACTGTGCCACCTTCCTGTGCATTTGAACTTGGCGCGCGCGCCCAACCTTCCACCTTCCGTCTGACCGTTTCTTCGCTCCCCGATGGAGGTGTGGCCACTCCTGACTCGTGCCCTTCCCTGCTCTCTGGCGGTGACGCTGGTCCCGATTTCCAACTGCTCCCCTCTGAGTCCCCTCTGGCTCTATCTTCCTGGGGCGTCCCCTAGGCTCCCCCTTGCCCTGGCCACTGGTGCTCCTTTCTGTGAATCTTCTGATTCACTGGAAAGACTCGGAGATCTCGGGTCGTCGTCATCACTCATCTTTTCTTCTGCCTCCTCCCCCTCGCTCTCTGTTTCCTCCCTTGCCCTTGCCTCTGCTCCTGAACCCCTGACAACACGTAACCAAAACAATATCTCCTTGCTGTTGAGAAGGCATCTCCTTAAAACTTCTGGGTAAACATAGACCTGCCAAGCCTCCTTTCCCATCAAATATGAAGATGTTCAACATCTACTATTCCTTCTCTATGCTCAGAGGAGCCAGTTACCAGAATGGGCATGCTATACTGCAGCCAGGACAGGCCACACACATCCGTAAAATCTTATTTGTGTGTGACTGAGTACTGACTGACAAAACCCCAAGCACTCAAGCTTTACAAAGACCAATTTGCACAATCCAAATTGGAAGTAGGATGAGACAGTCTTCCAGAGCACCTGATGTCCTCCAGCTGTTTTAGGCCACAGTTACCATCAGCCCCTAGCAGCGTGGACAGAGGTCAGGAATCATGGGAGTTGTAGGTCAACAACATGGGGACAGCCTGGGTTATATGGGGTAAGGGATAGGGCACTCACCTCACACACATTCCCAGCAGGGAGACAAACACACTCAATCAGCGGCAGCCAGACAGCTGACTGGGAGTGGCCGCCGAGACCATATAACACCGGTCCTGAAAGACCTACCTTGGCTCCCAGTACGTTTCCAAGCACAACTCAAAGTGTTGGTGCTGACCTCTAAAGCCCTAAACGGCCTCGGCCCAGTTTACCTGAAGGAGCGTCTCCACCCCCATCATTCAGCCCAGACACTGAGGTCCAGCTCCAAGGGCATTCTGGAGGTTCCCTCCCTGCGAGAAGTGAGGTTACAGGGAACCAGGCAGAGGGCCTTCTCGGTAGTGGCGCCTGCCTTGTGAAACGCCCTCCCATCAGATGTCAAGGAAATAAACAACTATCTGACTTTTAGAAGACATCTGAAGGCAACCCTGTTTAGGGAAGTTTTTAATGTTTGATGTTTTATCGTGTTTCTAATATTCTGTTGGGAGCCGCCCAGAGTGGCTGGGAAAACCCAGCCAGATGGGCGAGGTATAAATTATATTTTTTTATTATAATAATTATAATCAGAACCTCCTACCTCAAAAAAGAAATTAATAAGTAGCATGCTCACTGGCTTGATATTTCACTTCATTAGACAGATTGTTCTAATGAACCTTTCGGCAGGGAAATATTTTATTTTATTTTAAAGGAAAGTTGAGACTAAAATATCTGAAGGGCTGTCACATGGAAGATGGCGCAAGCTTGCTTTCTGCTGCTCTGGTGACTAAAATTACAAAAAAGGAGATTCTGAATAAACATGAGGAAGAACTTTCCAGAAGACATATGAGGGCAGCCCTGTTTAGGGAAGTTTTTAATGTTTGATATTTTATTGCTTTTTTATTCTGTTGGGAGCCACCCAGAGTGCCTGGGGAAACCCAGTCAGATGGGCGGGGTATAAATAATAAATTATTATCATCATCATCATTTCTGATGTTAAGAGGTGTTTCAACAGCAGAGTGGACTCCCTCGCAAGGAGGTGGGCTCTCCTTCACTGGAGGTTTTTAAACAGAAGTTGGGTAGGCATCTATCAGGAATTCTTTATCTAGGATTCCTGCATTGTAAGGGGTTGATCATTGGGGTCCCTTTCCAACTCCACAATTCTATTAGAACACAAATCAAGAAGGAGAACACCAGGGCATTCCGATACATTATACAAAATACTGGATGCTACGGATAGAGGCCAATTTCCATCAAAGCCACAACCATGCGTTATCAGCTGTGCCTTGGTATATATGCGCAAAACGCATGCAGTTTAGTTTATGCAAAATTCATGAAGGTGTGCCCATTCTATGCAGCCAAGAAATACCTTAGTCAGCTGAGGCCCAGCATCAAAACAACATTTTCCATTAGGCCCTTAGAGCTGAACAAATACGCCCTGGTATTTAACACGCCTCCAGCTGCCTGATCCTAATGCTGAGGCAAAGCTGTGCTGGGCTGAGCATCAGAATCCCAGGACAAGCAATGCTCAGTCCTCTTCCACTGACAGTGGAATCAGTGTCTGGAATAAGTCAGAGAGCATCATCTGTGACGGTGGCTGGGCAAGTGTGGGTGGGTAGATGTGTTTAAGGAGCAGAATAAGGGTGGGAGAATATGGTTAAAAATAGACGTGTAAAATGAGACATTTAGCTCATTGCGATTTTAAGTTTCCACTCGAACCTAGCTTTTTTGTTATAAAAACAAACAAACATGAAAAGCAGTTTGCCATCACAACGAGGACACTATTTCCCCAATTCTGTATCGTGTTTACCTAGAAGATAGCGATATTGGGAAACAAAGCCAATTAATTTACACACCAGAAAGAGAAAGAGAGACCATATAAATAATTTACATGGTATCTGAAGAAGTGTGCATGCACATGAAAGCTTATACCAAGAACAAACTAAGTTGGTCTCTAAGGTGCTACTGGACAATTTTTAATTTTTTTTATACATATAAATAATGTAACCTCAGATGACATCATTAGATACAGAGTGAAACTTAGTTGCCTTTTATCAGGCAAATGCCACAAAATGAGCGTCAACCTGGGAGACAACGATACAAAAAGATCTGTGGCGAAACATTCATTTCAGTGCAAGTGCGACCCCAAGTTACTCCACAGCCCTCCTCAAGGCTGGAACCTACACAATTTGCCACACTGACACTATGAATTTGAGATACTTTTCCAGCTCTGTTTCAGAGTCCTTTATTTAGTACATCTTACACAGCCTTGAATTAACAGCCTCATTTTTCTCATCGAAGTATACACGCCATATATTGAAATCTAGGGGCACAGAGTATATAGGGTTTCCAATGATGTGTTATCCTATACATTCGCAGGGGAGAGTTGTCTGGTGGAAGAAGAGGCCTTAGCCTTTACATCAACTGCTGATTCTCCCTCGCAAAGGCGGTTTTTATTTGTTCAGTCCTTAAGTTGGTGGTAACAGGTGGTAAATCCAGTGGGATGGGGGACAAGCACCACCAAACACAAATGTATCTCATGAAAGAACTGGTGGGCAGAGAGTTCAGTATCTTTCTCATAAATTCTCCTGTACAAATGCCCCTCCCCCCAATATCTGAGAGACTGCAGAGACTTTATCTTGTGATGGAGTCAATATTATTCTTCCAAACGTTAGCTGCCAAGGGGTGGCAGAGGGCAAAGGCAAATCCCTGCAAAGCTAAATAGCTACAGGAAAGACTTGAACAAGGGCACATCTGAACTCCTACCTGCCAGATGACTAAGCCTTCTAAATAACAAAGCCCAGACTTTCCAAAGGGCACTTCCCTCTGCTCCATGAATAACACAAGCATGGGCACTGCTAAGCATGACAATTCAATAAGCAGCTGTTAACTACCTCTTTAAAATAGCAGGCTTTCACTTTCCTAACACCTGCTCCCTTCTTCTTGGCCTGGCCTCCATTTTGCGTTTTGTTCGGTGCACTTAATGTCAAAATAAAGATGTTCCAGAGACCAAGCTGGCTTGGAACAAGACACCCTTTAACTGGGAAAGAATCCCATACTCAGATTCATTCTCCTCATTGGAGCAAGTGCTTCAGACTGGTCCCTGGAAATTCAAAACAGTTGGGCCTTGGCTCTCCTCTCTTTCTTTCTCTCAACCATCCATTCTTAGCGCTATGTGCTGGTCCCGGGGGGAGGTTACCGTGGGGTGAGGTCCAGGACCTGAGTCGAGGGTCGGCAGACAGTCCTCCACGGGCGAAGCAGGGTCCAAAGCGAGGAGCCAGGCAAGGACAGAAACTCTGGAGGAACAGGACTGGGTGCTGGCCGAAACAGCTCTTCAACGACATTGCTCCTACAACCTGGGACCGGGCTGACTGGCCTTTATCTTCTCTGAGGCCAGGGGTGGTCCCGGCCCCCAGGTGACCCGCCTCTTCTGGCCTTAAGGCGAGCACTCCTCCTGGGAGAAACCAGTTCCCTCCGCCTCTCTGCCCTGAGCCTCTGCAGCTCAGGAGAGGCTGGAGGGTTACTGGACCCAGGGGGAGACTCGCCTTCCCCTGACAGGGCTGGGAGAGGCGCACCTGTAGGCAATGTGTCCTCAATCCCCTCCGGAGCCAGAGTAGATTCACCTGGTGTCTGCTCCTGAGGATCCGGCACAGGTGCAGGTGCCTCAGAGTCAAGGCCCTGCCCCAGCTCAGCTGGCCCTGGAGGCAGGGACTCTTGTGCAGGCTGGAGTTCCTCCAATTCGGCTTCCGAATCAGATTCCCAGGCCATCACACGCTAACAGAGAGGGATGAAACCTTGAAAGCCCTTAAGACCACCTGCCGATCTTCTCCCAACACAGTTCTTCAATGATGGAAGTATCTGCTGAAACAGCACAGAAGGCTGTTGTTGTTGTTTAGTCGTTTAGTCGTGTCCGATTCTTCGTGACCCCATGGACCAGAGCACGCCAAGCACTTCGGTCTTTCATGCCTCCCACAGTTTAGTCAAACTCATGCTGGTAGCTTTGAGAACACTATCCAACCATCTCGTCCTCTGTTATCCCTTTCTCCTTGTGCCCTCCATCTTTCCAAACATCAGGGTCTCTACATATTGGAAATACCCAGTTGCCTTTCTGGGCCAATATGCTCACACCCTGGAGATCACCAAAGCGAGCAGAATGTGTTGGGTTTGGGGCACATCAGTCCCTGTGTTAATATGTACACTTGCAATGCTTGCATTACAGAGATGTTGTACTGGGCTTATGTTAAACAGGGGGTAGATTTTTGGCATTTAAGAGAAGAGCAGCTTGCCAGTGGAACCAGTTACTTTGAGGACTGGTGAGTTTTCCCCATCACGCAAGGCCTTCAACCAGAGGCTGAACGGACGGAGGGCTGGATCCTGAATTTCTTGCACTGAACATGGGGAGACGGAGCAGGAGGCCTACAAGGCTCCCTCCAACTCTAGGATGGAGCCTTCTAGCAACTGGTAGATTCATATGCACAGCATCTATACTTGTGTGCCGTATAAACCTATTTACCACATTTGCATCCTTAAATACAGCCTGGAAGGAGCAATGAGATTTATTTCATCTTTGCAACAACTTCATTGGAGCAGAGGTGAGTGAGTTAGGAAGATGTACCTTCATCAGCTTCTAAACAGCTCCATTCAACTCTTGAGTACCTGCTCCCAAGAATCCCTTTCAACTGGCAGAATCCCTTTCTGCCATTCCAAACCCTCAGGGCTTTTTCTCCTACTATAGTATGTTATCCATGTCTCATCTGTCCTGTTGCTACCCTCCTCCCCATTCTCACTCCACCTCACTCGGTTCTCTGCAACCTAAGTTGCTACATTTCACAAAACACTGATAGCGCCCCAATAAAGCTACAGTCTTATGCAAACTGACTAGGACAGTACGTCCTACAGAACCCAGTAATACTTCCTTCCAAGAAAAGGCACACAGGATCAGTCTGCAAGTTTATTCACAATACTTACTTGCTGAGATGCAAAATGAAGTAAACAAACTGGATAGATCAATCGATCAATAGATAGATACAGTCATACCTTGATGGTCGAACGCCTTGGTACTCATCCATTTTGGTTCTTGAACGCCGCAAACCCAGAAGTGAGTGTTCTGGTTTGCGAACGTTCTTTGGAAGCCTTTATTTCCGAATGTTTTGGAAGCTGAACGGACTTCCGGAACGGATTCTGTTCAACTTCCGAGGTACCACTGTAGATGGCAGGAGGGAAGGGGAGGGGAGGCAGAAGTATTTACAATCTGTGGTTTCATAGAGATGGAGAGCAACAAAAAATTGTAACTTAGTAGTTGGTCAAAAAATTGCAGAACCTTTTTTTAGAAAAATAAATAAATAAACAATTGGGAACCAGAAAAAAGCCCTCCCTGTTATCATATTATTCCTGCCCAAAGCAAATACTTGTCAAAACAAGGCTAAAGAAAGGGATGGGCAGCACACCTACTTTTATCCAAAATTTAACCCCATAGGCAGAATATTTACTGTTGCAGGTGGGTGAAGGGCAAAGCAGCTGGGTGCATTGTAAAACGGGCTCAACATGCCTCTGTGTGGACAACCAATGTTCAAGCGACTGCAAATCCATTCAACAGCTTGCCAGGGGATGCGTCCCCAGCTTTCTGTTGAGCAGGACAGAGAGCAGCACACAGATATCCTCCACAGAGATTCCATTTGCTGTGCTGCTTGGAGAATATAAGAAACGCCAGGAGTCTCTTCCACACAGGAGAAACCTCTCCTTTCTTACCTTCCTCAGCAGCACAAATGAGAGACACCCCCCCCTTTGTTTTCTCTATGTGCCAAGAGAGGGATGGGGGACCTCAGAACAATAACAAAGTGGTAAGCCAACCCCATCATTTGTGGATACTTAGCTGCAATATAAGCAGAGTTTCATTTCTTTAAAAAATTACTGTAAAACATTCAGATACTGAATCTAACAATGTAGGAAAACAGCAAAAGGACATGCAGATTTGTCTGCCACAATAAATCAGGAAGTCAAATGGTTGAGCTGGAAGTCGAGCTGCTTTCTGAGGTCCCCTCCCCTCCCCCTTTCGATTTCAACCTCTTGATAAGTGCAAATTAGAAACTCCAGCGCACATCAGTCATTTGCAAAGAGAAGCCGCTCTTCTCTTTCCCAACCCTCATGAAGCAGCATTCAGGCCATACCTTCTCTGTGCAGAGACGAGGGCTTCCTTCCCTCTCCCAGATCTGTTCTTTAAAGTCATATTTGTGCATCCTTCCTTGGGCGTTTAATTCTTCTAGTATCTTGTTACATCTTTTACACAGCTTTGGCTACTCTTACCGTTTCCAATCGCATTGATTTCCACATGCAATTCTTTTCCTTCGTCTCTCACCTATCCTTTTTGCTCTCTAGTCTAGCAAGATACTGCGGCTTTTACTTATTTTGGGTTCTTTCCTTACTCAGCCATTCTGCACTCCTATGCACATTTACTTGGGAGTAATGCCTACTGAACTCCATGGGGCTTACTTCTGAGTGGACATGGGTAGGAGGACTGCACTGTCAATATCTTACGCTCTTCTCCAGGATGCCCCTTCAAAGAAATCTTTCAGGTAACAACTTTAAAGCTCTTGGTTTGACCAGGGAGTGTATGAAAAGGGCAATTATGTTAAACCGGTCAAATAAATCAACCTGCAACAGATGGCAAGGCAATTCTGGAAGCATTTTAGATAGCTGGAAAGAAGTATATCAAGCTGAATATGAAGTATCTTAGTCCTATTGAAAAGAAAGAGTAGAAAGAGGTTAAACAAACCAGGAGGAGGAAAAGGAGGACAAGGAAGAGGGTGGGGGATGGGGCCAGGAACTGTGCTCCAAATGGATAGGCACCAAGCTTTTGAACTGCCTGGGAGGTTTGGAAAAGAAAACAATAGATAAGCTATTTAAGCCTTGCATTAAAAAGCAACCCAAAACGGCTGGTTTACATTGCCTTTACCCAGGAAAGTCTGCTAAGGGAAAACTGTCATCTAGCCAAGGCAAGAAAATTACAGAGACCCCTCGATCTTGCCCTGTTATTTTGGGGAAGACATTTATTTATATCGAATAAGCTCAAGCAAGCAAGCAGATGCAACACGGAGGAGTTAAAAAGACTGAAAAGATTATAACAAAGGCACCTGGCTTGAGAAGTGTGGCAAGTCAGACAACAGTACACTGCACCAGGTACATACACCAATAGCCAGGCTTTGATTTATTGCCATTTCATATACATATAAGTATATGAAGCCCATAAAATATGGGTTGAATGTAGCCTTTAGCACAAGGATAGGGAATGTTGGGATGTGGGTGGCGCTGTGGGTTGGAATCCCCGCAACGGGGTGAGCTCCCGTTGCTCGGTCCCTGCTCCTGCCAACTTAGCAGTTCGAAAGCACGCAGTGCAAGTAGATAAATAGGCACCGCTCCAGCAGGAAGGTAAACGGCGTTTCCGTGCGCTGCTCTGGTTTGCCAGAAGTGGCTTAGTCATGCTGGCCACATGACCAGGAAGCTGTACGCCGGCTCCCTCAGCCAATAAAACAAGATGAGTGCCGCAACCCCAGAGTCGTCCGTGACTGGCCCTAACAGTCAGGGGTCCCTTTACCTTTTTAGGGAATGTTATTCAGTCTGAGGGCCAAATTCTGTGCAGGAGGGGCACATGCCACTGGTGTGCAGGGCCAAAGGCAGAGCAGTGAACATGAATACAGTGGTACCTCTAGATACAAACTTAATTAGTTCCGGAGGTCGTTTCTTAACCTGAAACTGTTCTTAACTAGAGACGTGCTTTCGCTAATGAGGCCTCTCGCTGCTGCTGCACCACCTGCACATGATTTCCGTTCTCATCCTGGAGCAAAGTTCTCAACTTGAGGTAACTCTTCCAGGTTAGCGGAGTTTGTAACCTGAAGCGTTTGCAACATGAGGCATTTGTAACTCGAGGTACCACTGTATTAGCTTTGTACATTAAGCTGGTTTCTACAAACGGACATCCGTCTCTGACCTCCAACCATCCAAGCAAGTAGCATGATCACAGCACAAGGACACATCCCAGCTAGGCAAGAACACTCAAGGAGGGTGCAAAGCAGAACGAGTTAAGGGGTGTGGCCTTGGGAAAGTCCCATGAGCCAGAAGAAGGGCTGGAGGGCAATCAAGAGCCCACAGGCCCCGGGTACAGGGGATGCAATGCTATCAAACTATTTAGCCTTAATTCTGCACCAAGTTAAATAGCAAGCTTAAACTGAGTGGGTTACAGTAGTGTGCTTTGTGCTAAAAAAAAAAAAGTTTTTGAAAAAGGGAGGTGGTGTAACGTGAAATAATGCAACAGCCAGGAGAGAAAAAGAGTGAATCTCAGAAACCAACATTCAAAGGGCTGGAACTGCCTATATAGAGGAGGAGGCAGAATGGCAGAGAAGCAACACAATGTACAAACAAACATGAAAACTGCTCATTTGGTTGTCTGGTGGAAACTCAAGGGGCTTTGGTGAGAGAGCCCCTGCCTTCCAATGTGTTCCAAGAGGGATTGCACGCAAAAAAAATCCCAGTGCACTGTGGCCCATGTTAATTTGCTTCAGAGTCTCAGGTGCCAGGAAGAAATCAATACAGCTGCAGCAATGGCTGGACACATAATGCAAGCATTTCTGTGGCTAGTTTGACAATATCAGAAGCAGTAACTTAGCTACCTGGACAATGAGAAAGGTGGGGGAGTGGGGAGAAGAGCCACAGAAACCCACCATTAGACTGAATATAGTGTCTCCCGATGAAGCAAATTTTACATTGTTTGGTCATGGAGTGCATGTTTACATGCTGAAAATAATGAAAAATATTCACTGCGGGGGTGGGGTGGAATGCACATGAAGCCGTATGTTAAAATCACATGCCATTTCTATTAATGGCTGCTGGCATATCTAATTATGAGATAACGCCTGCAGGATAATTGTCAAAGGCTAATGGCTGCACACTGCCTGTGGGTGGGGGAACTGCGAAGCTGTCACCAAGATCAAGTCCTTATTACAGAAAATGAATTTGGGGCCTCCAGAAGTGGCAGGTGTTTATTTACAATTTCTCATCAGAAAACAGAATGGCCCATATTTGAGGAGTGCCCTGTGATCCCTGCTGTAGAGACTCTCGATTTGCAGTTTGGGGTAGTGGGTGTATTCCAAAGAGGTTTTGGCTATTTTAGGACAAAAGAATGTGTGCACAAGGGAGAGAGAATCAGTGCCATTTCAGGTTATTTAGAAAGGAGTGTTTCAATAACATGGTTAAGCTCAATTTTCTATCATCGGTTGCTTTTCCAGCTTTGGTTTGGTCAAGACAAGACTCCTTTATTAGAGGACCTTATATGTGGACTTTAACAAACCATTAGGAGCTTTATTTATTATGCACATGAAATTCTTTCATTTTTGATAATCCTGCAAAGCAGGCAATTTTATACATACTACATGTGGATAACATTATTCTCTACTACAAACACAAAGCACCAACCTTTGTTCATTTGCAGGGATTTCACCAAACATAAACCCTAGATTGGGAAGGGGGAGGGAGGGCTTTGCTGCTCCCCTTTATATTATGTACCTATGAGGTTTCCTTCCTACACACACACTCTCTCCAATGTCGGTACTTTTGCTAAATTCAGAAAGAAAGAAAAATGACAAGCTGAGGCTGTTTCAACTCAAGATAAAGGCTTTCTGAAGTGTGCAATATTTTTGAACAAAGAAGTCTGTAATTATGGCAACATGTGACATCATGAGGTTATCATGTTGCTGCACCAGCAGCCACCCATAGGCAGCACAAAGTGGGGCTTTATCAGGGGGGGAAAGGAGGAAAAAACTTTTAGCAAAGTTGCAACATTTGGAGGCAACCCCCCCTCCCTCCAACATAGGAAACACAGAAGTTTGCTGGTTTGAAAGGTGAAGGCAATGCTTCTCCACTACATGATGTACATTTTCAAAAAGAACATGCACCCACAGAAATTATGGCTCACTGCAGAAACCTTTTCAGAGGACCCGAAAGCCTTTTGCACCAATCTGAAAACTGGCTTTCAGAGAGGAGAAAATATTTCTTCCACGAGGAATTTCGAACAGAAAATGAAACCAGAACCTGCTGCTCAGAAGGGGCAAGAAAAGCCAACCTCCCCGCCCCACCCCCTCTCTCTGCACTTTCCTCCCCTCCCCCACTGCAACGTGCCATGCAACTTTAACTCTTTAATCAGATTATGGCCTAATCCCTCCTCCTGCCCAGCTGCTCTGCCCTCGCCCTGCAGCAGGCCCCGGCGGGGAAGGCAAAGTTCTCCGTTGCAATCCCCGCTCCCCTCCCCCGCGTTTTTGGAAGTTTTGCGCGTGCAGTGGCGGTGGCGGGGAGGGGGCGAGGGGGGAGGAAATGGGAGAATAAAGCAATTCGCGTGCCTACTTTTTAGTGCAATCCAGGAGGATCCCCGTGAAGCGCCTCTCCCCGCAGCTCAAGGTGACCACCAGGGTGTCGTTGACCATTTGCTCCACCAGCACGGGTAGCCAGGAGCCGACCTGCAGCTCCTTCGCGTCGGCCTCCTCCATGCTTTTGCGGAGGAACTCGGCGGCGGCGGCGGCAGCCTCGGGTTGCAACTGGAGTGCGGCTGCGGGATCCCAGGCGGCCTTGCTCGGGCCGGCTCCCCTCCCCCCCAACCCCGCCGGCCTCTGAAGCTGCTGCTGGCGCTGCTACAGTGGCCGCTGCGATGACCTCATGGCTCCAGGCTCCCCCTCAGCAGGGAGGATTAGTAGGTGCGCTGACGTCACAATGCTTCCCTCCCGGGAACGTTCCACGACGGAATCCTGAAACAATTGGCTACATTAAGGTGCTGATTATAGAACAAGGGGGTGCTTTTGTGTCCCGCCCCCTCTGCCTCCCCGCCCCACTTTAAACGGGGTGACCCTTGAAAGGAGGACTGCCCTCTGCCCCCACACTTGTGCTCACAAGCACCACGCGCAAGACCGGTAACGTGGAGGGTCAAGTGACCGTCCAGAGCTAAAACAGCTCCCGTCTCTATACTGCAACGTTTTCAAACGAGCGAGCAGGAAAAGCAGATTAACCTCCATGCATTCCCCACCCCAACAGATAACAGTGGCTGAAAACATGAGATTTCCTCCCCCAAGCTAGATATTTACCTGGAGTGGGTGACACTGCAACACACGCCTCTCTGTGTCCAGTAGGTTTCCGAACAAGCTCACAGTTAAAGTGAATTATTTCTTATTTCCCTTTAGATACCTGGGTTAGGCAAGGGCAACCTTTTTTTTGGTTTGCAGAGGAGACAAAGGTTCTGACTACTTCAACACCTGGGGGCCCGTGTGTTCGAGTTGCCTTTAAAGTTGATAAATACATTAACACCACTTTCGCCCTTTCAAAGCTGGGAAGTAGCCAGGCATGCTCAGGAATGAGTCACATTGAGTTCAGTGGGGCCGAATCCTAACCCTGTCTACTCAGAGGTATGTCCTATTGAATTGCAAGGGGCTGATTCCCAGGTAAGTGAGGTCGAGAATACAGCCCTTACCATTTACTCCAGGTGAAGCTGTACATTTCAATGGTGCTTTGGGCAAAATGTCATGGGACAAAGGACTTGTGTAACCAAATCCCCAAACTTTCCGCCTACATGGACAGAAACATTTCCCACTAGCACAATTCAAAGTCCTCGGATTTGTTGGCTTAAAACAGACGGTAGAAAAAGCTGTGAGTTTGCATTTGGTGGGCAGGCCAGCCTCTGAGCTCCTTTTTTTCCTTTTTATAGAGTTTGAGGGTGGACAGAGTGTGATGACAAGAGGTCATCTTCTCCAACTTACATGGGAAATTTCCAATGCCAGCTGCAATGCAAGATATTTCATATGAAGTATGAGCTGTTCCCAAAAGGCATAAAGTCATCCCAAAACAGGATGCATGACTTTAGCTCAACCCGCCTGCATTTGGAAATACAGATTTATGACCTGCTTTCTTCTTTGCGACACAGATTCCACATAGCTCTCTGTCTTATTAACAGTGTACATTTACTCAGAAGTAAGGTGCTGCTTGCTTTCAGCCAAGCACCCTTAACCCTATATGTACTCACCTGTGAATAAACACAACTGAATACAGTGGGGTTGACTTCTGAGTAAACATGCACAGGGTTACATTTACAAGAATATTTTTTTCCCCCAGTGGTGCAATCCTATGCATGCTTACTCAGAAGCAAGTCTCAGGGTGTTCAACAGACTTACTCCCTCTTTGGTGTTAAGGACAGCGGCCCAAAACCAGATTACAGTCCACCCACTACTTTGTCTAGGCGCAACAGATGGCACTCTGAATGGGCAGTGTAGCTACAAAATCCTAACTTGCAAGGTTGCTACATGCAGCCAGTATTGTGCATATTCACTTAAAAGTAAGCCCCACTAATAGGATTTACTCCCTAGTAGTAAGTGTGCATACAATCATAGGCTTTGAATTGCTAATTTAAAAGGGAGGATAGTTTAGTATTCTAATGCATCTGTTCAATCTGCCTGGCACCTTGATCCACATAGGTAAGTAAGCAACACAAATTTATGTGGGCGGGGAGGGGGATTAGACTTCCAAGTATAACATGTTCAAGACCAGGGAACTTAAGTATCCACCCGCCTCCCATCACATCGTCAAATAAAATGCTTTTAAAAAACATGCTCCGTAAGAAAACCAGGATCATGATTCAGCAGCAGTCTTGCTTTTGGTCACAATCAGTGGAATAAAAATAGAATGGGCAAAAGACCAGGCCGCTCTCAGGGCCTGCTTTGGCAAAAACAACAAGGAAGTTAAAAAAGAAAAGAAAAAAAGGAAGGTTGATAAGTAAACACAGCAATTTGAACAAAAAGGGTTAAAGCTACTACTGGGTGTCTGTACTGTACTTGTGGGATTGGGGGAAGGGTTGGGGAAGAGATCCAAAGATTTCTTGGAATTGAAGGCCTCTGCCTGGTGTTGTGTAGAATTGCTTTCTGAGGCAACAAAAAGAGGGCAACTGCATTTGAGAGGGGTGCAAGGCCACCAGCTCCTCCTGCTCCTGCCACTCTTGCAATGGCTCTTTTTAGACAGAAATCTCCAATGCTGTCAAAAAACATCTGTTTACTAGCACAACCTTTAACACAGTTTATCACATGAATAACACACCTAGATGGGCTGCAAGCTGTATTGAAAGGCAGCCTTTCTACCTCAACATATACTGTTCTATCCTTTGGAAACAAAGGGGGGGGGGTGTTTAAGCCCATTCAAAGGAAGTAATTAGAGGCAAGCAATGAGGCCAAGATAACAACAACAACAACAACAGCCTTTAAAGCAAATTTCACTTCTTTGGCAGTGCAATCCTCCACATGCCTACTCAGAAGTAAGCCCTATTGATCTTAATGGGACATACTCTCAGGATTAAGTGGATTGCAACTCTTAAGCATGCTTCCCCCCCCCCTTCAAAGTACAAAGTGTTTGGCACAATTTGGAGACAGAGTAAAGAGAATGTATGGCAAACACCACCATTTTGATAAAATAAAAATGGGTGGATTACTTCGTCAACCCTCTTAATTTATTTATTTTTTAAATTGTATTTGAGTTGCATAATTTTGCTTTTGGCTCCAGGTATTCAAACATACTGAAAACAAATATGATTTAGAAATACAGTGTGGTGGTTATTTGAAACATTCGCTAGAGGCTTCTCTTCCTCCACCCCCTCCCCCAAAGCCCTGTTGTCCACAAACTGTTTCTGAAGCAGGGCCAGGCAAATTCTGCACGAGTCAGGAGAAACCTTACATCCGCCTTGCCACATTTCAAGCCTCGTAATTAACCTGACAGCAGATCTATTCAGGGTGCGATCCTAGAGCCACACTTACCTGAGAGCAAGTTCCATTGAACTCAAAGGCCTCAGTTGCTGAGCAGACATGTATAGCAGCACTGCAGTCTCAATGGACTTTCTCTCTGCAAAATTATGCTCCTGGGCTTCGCGCCCCCGCGCCCCCCCCCCCGCTGCTTCAAAAGCTCTTAGCCCAGACCGCAAGCAGGAGCATCGAGGATATTTATGGCCACGGTTTAATCATTCTCTCTTTCGGTGGGAAAATGATTTTGCTTTATTCGAAGTTATCCCACCGTCTTCTGCAGCCTGGATCGGATTTTATTTGTTGTTGTTATTATTATTACTATTATTATTAAGAGCGGCTAGAAAAACGTTAAAAAGGCAAGACGGGCGCAGGGGTGGGGGGAAGAGGCTCCCAAGCAAGTCTGAATTAAACCATATTCAAACGAGACTAATCGGAATGCCCGGAAATAACGAGGAGGAGAAAGTCTGCGGCTCTCACATTACCTGAGCGATCACTGTCTCTCTTCAGCCCCTTTAACCGTGACAATGTTTGACAATTCAGCGAAGTTACTATGCGCGGCGTTTCGTTTCCACCACGCTCCCCCTAGCGGCTGCTTACTGGCATTGCCTCGGTGGCCGCTTGGAGAGAGGAGGCGCCGCCACCTTCTCGCCTGACAGGCGGCTTCTGCTGGAGAGGCTTTTCTGCTCCGAGATTGTGCTCATACATGTTAAAAATTCACCTGTGCAATTCTTAGACCTCTAAATCAGGGGCCAATGCTCCTTCCGGTAAGGTTTATGTTCCTGCATTGCAGGGGGTTGGACTAGATGACCCTGGGTGCCTCCCAGCTCTAAAAATTCTATTATCCTATGTGTACTGGGCTGTTCTTACTGTTGGCCCCTTTTCTGTGGGAAAAAAAGCTTACTACGTTGGTGCTCCGTATGTATTCCTCTCCGGGTGCAAGGCTCTTCACAATCTGGATAACCTCTGAATGGGGCATATAAAAACACAGCTAAGCCTTAACTCTGCCTTTGCCAACCCGGTGCCCTCCAGATCTAGGGCTGATGAGCGTTGTAGTCGGAAACATCTGGAGGGCGCCACGTTGGCGAAGGCTGCCATAGGCAAGCAGGGCAGGACGCCACCTTGAATCTCAGGCACGCCCCCTCCTCTTCTGCCTGCTCCTGAACACATTCCTAGCAGAGGATTTGCAAAAGCACCGCCCGCCCGCTCCAAAACCCTCCAACAATAGAAGTAAAAGAAAACGGCTAGGCTACTTACTGCAGGGGTTGGGCAGACTTCAGGCTTGCGGGATCTGCTTTTTTCCCTGTTGCCACTAAAACTCTGGAGATCCACCCACGGGAGCCAGGTGCAAAATGCTCAGGCAGCGGACAAACGCTTAGAACTAAGTCGTGCACATGCTCAGAGCAGGACTTTCTGATCAATACCAGCAACCAAGATCACAAATCCTTTAAATTAATGCAGAAACTCACTCCTGGTTTCTCTCTCCACCCCCACCCCAGTCTTCTTCTTCTTCTTCTTTTAGTTTGAGGGTAGGGCAAGCTTTTTAGACAATTGGAAGCCGATTGCTTAATCCATTTGCAAATCACTCAGAGATCTTCTGCCCACCTCTAGCTATTGAACAGCAGATGATAAATGCTTGTCACGTGGGGGGGGGGGACCCGCTGCAGAAACTAATGAACAGCTAAACTAGTAAATAGTGGCTTAGTGATAAACTTTGAAATGCAGGGGCACATCCTGACAGCACTCGCCACACAAGGAATGTCACACACACACACACACACACACACACACACACACCACACCAAAAGGCAGCCTGCAGCATAATACCCAGTTTATTAGGGTCAGCTATCCTATGCACAGGGATGCGGGTGGTGCTGTGGGTTAAACCATAGAGCCTAGGACTTGCCGATCAGAAGGTCGGCGGTTCGAATCCCCGCGACGGGGTGAGCTCCTGTTGCTCAGTCCCAGCTCCTGCCAACCTAGCAGTTCGAAAGCACGTCAAAGTGCAAGTAGATAAATAGGTACCGCTCCGGCGGGAAGGTAAACGGCGTTTCCGTGTGCTGCTCTGGTTTGGCAGAAGCGGCTTAGTCATGCTGGCCACATGACCCAGAAGCTGTACGCCGGCTCCCTCGGCCAATAAAGCGAGATGAGCGCCGCAACCCCAGAGTCGTCCCCGACTGGACCTAACGGTCAGGGGTCCCTTTCCCTTTCCCTTTCCCCTGTGCACAGTTTCCTGGGGAGTCTGCTCCATTGAACACAGTACTGCAGGGCTTTTTTCCTGAGCTTATAAAATGTGTTGACATTCCTCTGCCATACACACAGCATCTTCTATTAGTTGTCTTCTTTCTTAGAATCAGGGAATTGTAGAGTCGGAAGGGTCCACAAGAGTCATCTAGTCCGAGCCCCTGCAATGTGGAGCTCCAACTCATGGCCCTGACATCTGCCGACTGAGCTAGATTCTCCCCACCCCCTCCCAGTAAGATTAAACCTTGCTACTGCTGAATTTGTGTCCTCACCTTCCTTATTTTGGTTTTTATAATGCTGTTTCACAGTTTTTATTATACGGTTTGATTGTTTCCATGCTATTTTTTTTAAAATAACCACTGCATGTACCAGGAGACACATTCAGCAAAGGAAAATAAATGTGCACAATCATCACAAAAACAAGGCAATCTACAGTTTACATGCTTTCTCAAAGTGGAAATGTTGTATTGTTTAGGGAAAATGTGTTGGCCTTTCCCCTAATTGCCCAGTATGCATGTAGCCACTATGCTATCATGTAGCCTTGTGGGAGTGACGAAGCTTTCTCATTCCAAGGATTCCAAGCTTCTGGGAGCCGCATACCAGATTTTTTGTGTGTGGATGGGGCCAGAGACAAAAGCGGGCGGATCAACAGATGTGACTGTACAGTGGGCACACAAAAGCCAGATGTTTCTACATGCATGCTCCATCCTCCATTCTGGCAGGCGTGATCACAGCTCATGTCCCAGCAAGGCAAATGTAAGGAGGATGCTGAGTAGGTAAGCAGGGCCCTGGGGAGAGTCCCCAAGGGCCAGACAGAGAAGCTGGGGGGGACGACACACATTTCCACACCCCTGTCACATTGCAGTTACTTCACGTGGAAAGTGGAAAGGGACAGGTACAGATTTTCCAAAACTCTGGGTCACACAGTGGATAAAGGCAAAGGACCACAAGGAGTGACGGTCATTGGTGGCTATTTGGTCATTGCGGTCCAATGTGTGTTTCGAGATGTCGTTCCCTGTCTCAAAGCCAACAGAATGTCATTGTGCCTAGGAAGCTGGGTAAAGAAGGAAACAGCGGTTAATATCCTGTTCCAGCTGAATCTGGTAACACCCGCAAGGGCATGTTGTGTGTACACAAAATACATATTACATTTGTGTAGGAAGGTGCTCTCTTAAATGCTGTTTCCATCTCCGCTCCACTTCCTGGTTGCAACTGATTTTTATCCCTTTTTGAGAGGGGCAGCTGCATCTCCAAATGCCTCCTGGCTTAATAGTCTTATGTCAAACAGACATAGTCGCAGCGTCTGAAGTGACAGAGCAAACTGATCCTTGACACTGTTGTAAGTGAAGCAGCAGAGATCTTTCCATGTGCAAATTAAGGGTTAATTCTATTAGGGTTAAAGTCAACTAACCAAGAGGGGTGGAGGTGCTGTTTAGCAACCAGGCAGAGTGGCATGATGTGTGCTGGGGTAGCTTGGCTGTGGCGTTTTGAGGGAGTTTTCCTCTGTATGTTTGCTTTAATGTCTCCCTGCTATATACAAGGCCTGAAGTAGGAAAGACATAATCTCTCCGTTCCTTTCTCCTCCAGTTATGCACTGCTTTGTTTAAAGCTTGCTCAGTGCGGTGTTATCAGGTCTTTTCTCTCTCTGGATTCCATCTGTTGATGTGGCTTTGCTAACGGACACCAACCAAAGGAGTGGCAATACCTGGGAAATTTGAAAGACCCGATCTTCCAGAATCCTCTTCCACACCCTCCTCCCTAGTGGATTTATCTGAATGGGAATTGAGCAAGATCGCAGCTGTGCTCTTGCTCAACGACTGCATTTCATGTAAATGCAACAGGGTTTGGATACAGAAAGTTCCTGGTGGATTGTGCCCCCGGCAGTCACCAGACCCTTCCTTTGAGGAGAAGCTCCATTGCTCGTTCTGAACGGGCTGCTCCATCGCACTTTCTCTTCTGTTGCTGCAGTGGAATCACATTCCTTGCGAGTCTGTCCATGTTGCTGCATAGATACTTGGCAGGTGCTGCACAGCACACGGTAATAACCTTCCCTGCGGTTGCTGTGCAGCCACAGCCATCAACGTTGCTCCTTAGCAGCAGAAAACAAGGCAACTTGCTTGGAGGGCAGCACATTTCACATGGACTAGCTCAAAACTCCAACGATGTCTAAACACTGTTCCTAAGCTACCACAAAGGGGACTTTGCAAATGTAGCATAATCCTGTGTTCCTCTGAAATCTTTTCTCACACTTGGCTTCCCTCTTTGGATTCAACCCAGAGAACACTTAAGAACAAGATCCCCGCTGCAGATTCTTGTTTTATGGATGATTTATACCACAGGCAACCGAGGTGGTTAGGATGGGGGAACCTGTGGCCACACCAGATGCCAGTGGACTACATAGCCCACCTGTTATGTATTCAGTGGTCTGTGTTTGCCTGAGCTTGAGTCTGGACTCAGGATTCTGAACTCCTGTGTTCTGATTTGATGCATGATGTCCAATCATAGAACATTTCAGAATTTGGGCCTCTGCCATTGGCCCTTGAACTCTGAGTCGTGATTCGCAGCTCGGAAGTTTAGACAGCCAATCACACTGGGAGTGGGAGTGGCCCAGACTTTCAGGTGTGTATATAAGCAGTTGTTTTGCCTCTGTTTCCCAGTTATGTTGTTCAATAAAGGTTCTTGCTGTTATTGCTGTGCCTTGCCTCGTGGGAACCCACCTACATTTCACCACCAGTGCTATTTTTCTAGAAAAAGAGGTGTCAGACCTCACCATGAACGCCTCCCTTGTTCTCTTATAATGGCAATGGCACTCACTCAAGAGGTGCCGGAACTGAGTTCCAGTGATCCCACCGCGTTTTTTTATGTGAACTGCCCTGTTATCCTCAGATGAAGGGCAGTATATAAATTTAATTCATAAATAATAATAATAAAACAAACCATTCCTGGGCATGCTGGCAGGAGCTGATGGAAGTTGGAGTTCAACAGCATCTGGAGTTCAACAGCATCTGGAGTTCAACAACATGTTCCCCATCCCTGTGTAAAGTGACTTCCAGCACGATCCCAAGCATGTTTACATAGAAGGAAGCCCCACAGACCTCTATGGGGCCTGCTCCTTAGTTCATGTCCTTAGCAGGACCAGTCCAACCCTCAGACAGAGGAAAGTCACTTCAAGCACCAGGTGTGGCGATCAGGTGATCGAGTACAGAGATAGTGCTGTGCCCCCAAAGCTAGCCTACTGACCTCAGGTGTGGTCAGTTCAGACCTCTGGCCAGGATGATCTAGGTCTCCCCTGGCAGCTTACTAGGGGAGGGGTTGTGTTTCTGAAAGAGGCAGGGGTCCCATTTACTTTTGCCTGTAGTCCTGCCCATGGCTGGCTTCAGGCCTGCCCACGGCCAGCATGTGCCTCCGCCCACCGACAGATTACACGCAAGGGAATGCAGCCTTTGAGAAAAAAAAATAAATGTTGCCCACACTTGGGATAGATAGCACTAAACTGAAGTGGACAGATAGTCTGGTCTGCTATAAGGCAGCTTCCCAAGCAGGTACCGGGCATTAGAATTCCCAAGAAGATGGCCAATACAATGCATGCAACTAGCACCCTAGGGACAGGTGCATCAACATTCCAAGCCACGAGAGACCTCTAAAAAAAAAAAAAGATTCATTTGTTCGTTCATTTCACTTGTACAACAGTATCCCATGCACAAAGTAATCATGCACGAAACGGCTTACACAAAGAAACAGTACTGTCAAACAAGTACAGTACTACCAAAGCAATTTCATAATAATGTACAGTCAAACCACAGTTCCCAAATGGCTTTGTTCTGGAACGTTTCGGCTCCCAAACGCTGAAAACCCAGAATTACCGTATTTTTTGCTCTATAAGACTCACTTTTTCCCTCCTAAAAAGTAAGGGGAAATGTGTGTGCGTCTTATGGAGCGAATGCAGGCTGCGCAGCTATCCCAGAAGCCAGAACAGCAAGAGGGATTGCTGCTTTCACTGCGCAGCGATCCCTCTTGCTGTTCTGGCTTCTGAGATTCAGAATTTTTTTTTTCTTGTTTTCCTCCGCCAAAAACTAGCTGCGTCTTGTGGTCTGGTGCGTCTTATAGAGCAAAAAATACGGTAAATGCTCTGGTTGTCGAACGTTTTTCGGAAGCTGAACGTCCAACACGGCTTCCGCTTGTGTGCAGGAATCAGAAGCTGCGCCTCAGTTGTCGAACATTTTGGAAGCCAAAAGGGCTTCCGGAGCAGATTACGTTTGACAGCCGAGGTTTGATTGTAGCAACTATTTCATAACATTGCAAAGCAATAACCACTATAATAACATACCAAAAAACCCACATTCCAATACTATAGATATGAGAAGATTACTTAGACAATGCACAGCATCCAATAGTAAAAGTAACAAGGGAGCTTCACAGTTTCACCCCACTCCTAGAAACACACCCACACCCTGCAATGGTGTTGCTCTCAGTCCCTCTCCAGCCATAGGTCCTTATCAGGCTTCCAAGGGCAAAAGGTGAGAGAGCTGGAAACACCCCTCCCATGATGTTACTCCCTCCAAGTGAGCTTCCCTGTCATACACTCAGGTACAGAAATACTAAACTGCTTGTGAGCTGTGCTTACAGGGGTCCACCTACCTGCAAGAGATGTGTGTACATTTGTGCATGACTGTCTCATGTATCTACTGAATGCTGGCAAGAATGAGTAATACAGTTCCTACGCCCATCTCCATGCCTAGTGTTGTTACTTTAATGAAAACAATGTGCCTGCTGTATATTTTGATAAACTAGACTAGCTTTTAGCTGGTTTTAAACTGACCTGAAAGCTCATACTTTCTGAGGAGTCTTTTTTTCACCTACCAAGGAAAACTGAAATCTACACTGAGCTTGTTTCTAAAGGCTAAGCCTATTTTTTTCATAATCTGGGCTGACTCTCTCCCACTAGCTTGATCTATATGATGCAAAACTATAATTATTTGTGATAATTATACTATAATAATTATTATTATTTTTACTCCTTCTCCAAAACTGAAGTTTAATATAGCTTGCTGTGGCCCCCTCTTGACTGTTTTACAAACAAATAAAGGTGGCATTTAAAACACATGGTTAATAACATCCTACAATGATATGAAAACAGGTTTTTTCCCATTGGCAAAACTGCAATCTGTTATACCTAGTTCTTGCACATCTTGCAAGTGCAGGAGGCTTGCCCGACCCCATTTCAGCAGAAGCAGCAGAAGCGTAAGCCACAGAGAGAGAGACCTATGGCCTAGATTGTAATGAATGGGGAACCTGCACATCAAAGACCTCCTGTGCACCACAGAGCACATGGGAGTCTGTATCAGTGAGCATTTAGACATTAGGTGCATCTGGTGTCTAAATGCTCACTGATCCAGACTCCCACGGGCTCTGTGATGCACAGGAGGCCTTTGATGTGCAGGTTCCCCATTCATTTCATGTTTTAGGATTAAGGTGTTAGCAGTATGCTTGCTGCCATTCTACCTTGATGACTGATAGAGATATTTAAATATATCAAAACATGTCTATATTACAGCCTCTAGATTTGCATTGTCACCTGGCAGCATCCCTCCCTACTCTTAATTAGCCCAACCCTGGAGATGTTTTTATTTTCTAGGAAACACCCAGTGGGTTGGATCCAAAAGGGCGGCTCCGATAATGAATCTTTCTCATCCTCCCCTCGCCCCATCTTCCACAAGAAGATCAAGGATACCCCTCCCACCCAACCAGCCTGGGCTCCGTCAAGGGGGTTGAAGTGGGAGGGGCAGGGGAATCACTTTAAATGAATGTATTTATTTGGGTATTACCATACAACTTCTTAAAACACATCAGTGCATATTCCTAAAACCAATTTAAAAGGCAATGCGAAGTTAAACACTGCATAAACTAACAGAACAAATGAAATTAACACAAAACAGCAAAAGGTACAATACTAAACTAAGCTCAGACAGATTGCACCTCTTCACCTCCCAAAGCTTGGTAAAAGAGGTATGTTTTCACCATCTTCTTAAAAGAGTATAATGTTGGGAGTGCCGCTTCTGCAAAGTGTCTCTGGCCAATTTTTGGCAATCTGTCCTCAAACAGTCACTTCCTTGTCACGGCTCATCCTGTTGTTCAGGAAGATCCCCTGACCCTCTGGAGAGGTTTTGGATGTGCAGGGAAAAGAAAAGTCTGCCCTCGCTGCCAGGCTAACCTTTGGATCCAGCACAATATTCTCTAATCATGTGCACACAGATATTCAAGGCAAGTTACGAGCTAAGCAATGTAGCATGATATGATACATCATGATCAAACATGGGCGGGTACTGACTCAATTCAAAATGGATGCTACCACAGGGAAAAAAAGCCAAAGTACAGTTGAAGGTTTTAGTAGCTGAGTAGGAGGATTGGTTAATATTTAGCCTCCAGAAAACTGCCTTTGTCACTCCCAAAGGCAAGGGAATGTTGGAATGCAGCTGCAGTGTCTAACCATTTCTGCATTACATCACTGCTCAGTCCAATGCTGTAGAGATCAATTCTTTTTAAGGACAAAGGAAAATAAGCAAATGATTAGAAATTGATCCCAGAATGGAGAAACCAAAGGAAACACTGTGACATGCAGAGTTAATAATGTGGCAAAATTAAGTTGCCCATAGCTGACACCGGCAAATGTACCTGCATTTTATTTTTAAGATGTGTTTTTATACACATACACATTTGGGAAATGTATCTAAACTTAGGCCACTCACTAAAACCAACAGCTGTTTGAGCATGTTGCAGTTAATTGATGATTGCAATTAGAATCAACTACATCAATTAATTTGCAATGAATGAGCCGCAACAAACAGTAGAATCAATGGCTCTCTCCAAGAACAAAAAACCACCACCAGATTTGTACAGTTGCAAGAAAAGGCACTTGTGGATACTTTGGTGCTCTCCTGATAAATTGTGAGCTGAGCAGTTGACCTCTTTGTAACTTTGTTATTCATATGTTGCAGTTCCTTGACGAGGTCAGTGGTGCTGTAGGCCTCCTGTAACCCTCTGCCCTCATATTTTACTGAGGCAATGACCCTGTTCCTGGGCTGTACAATATCTGAGAAATGTTCCCTAGGAGAAAACATTTCTCTACACAGAAACATACCAGGTCAGGGTTAGAACTGTTTTCTGTGCACAAGGCCTTTTTGTACGGAGGAGCGCTCAATGAAGTCACCCCTACTGGCTGCCTGAAGTTCTGTAGCTCTGATACCTTAGTGAAAAGTAGCCCTCAGTACGTGGAAGGTATCTTAAGCCACATCTGCACTATTAAAGCACTATTACACCATCTTAATGGTCATGGCTTCCCCCAAAGAATCCTGGGGGCTGTAGTTTGTTAAGGGTGCTGAGAGTTGCTAGGAGTTCACTGTTCCCTTCACAGAGGTATAATTCCCAGAGTTCCCTAAACAATTCTAGGAACTGTAGCTTAGGAAGCAAGGAGTTAAGACTCAATGGCCTATGCAGCAGTTGATGGTAGGTGGCCTATGATGGACAGAAAAAAGAGAAGGGGCATTCATAGCTGGGACACTTTGCCCTGGACGATTGTTCTAGCTGGAACCCTACGATAAGGGTTCCAGGGTTCCAGAGAGGCTGACCCTCTCTGTCAGCCTTCCCCAACATTGCGTCATAGAATTGTAGAGTTGGAAGGGATCCAATGGGTCATTTAATCCAACCCCCTGCAAGTTGGTGACCTCCAAATGTTTGGAACTACAACTCTCACCATCCCTGACTATTGGTCATGTTGCACCGGAATTGGGAGTCTAGGAAGGTTTGGAGAGCAACTAGGATGGAGAAGGCTGCTCTGTGCTGACCAATGAGTCACTGCTGATGTGTTCTGCAGGCAGAAAACCAGAACTGACCCATAATCAACCTTCCAGTATGATTTAAAGCACATTAAATGTCTCAGGACCGCAATACCTCAAGGACTGCCTCTTCCCATATGAACCTACCTGGACCCTGAGATCATCTTCTGAAGCCCTTCTTTGTGTGCCTCCTCCTCGAGCAGTCAGGAGGGTGGCAACACAAGAACGGGCCTTCTCTGCAGTGGCTCTCCCCAGGGAAGTTACCATGGCACCTTCACTATACAACTTTAGGCACCAGGCAAAAACATTCCTTTTTAACCAGGCCTTTGCCTGACTTGATCTACATCCTACACCCTTTTTAAAATGCTGGCTCTTTTCGTTTTTGTTGTATTGGGTTGTGCTTTTTTTGTTTTGATTTTATGTATTTGCTATTTTATGTGAACCGCCCTGGGATGTTCGGGTATAGGGCGGTATAGAAATTAAATAAATTAATAATAATAATAATACTAATAGTAATAATAATAATAATTCAGACTTGGATATGCCTTGTGAGTTTCCAGAACCAGCCACACGCCTTCTTCTGGATGTAATTATCAAAGCTTCCCTCTCTGCAGTCTTGTTTTAGGCGCTCACCTCCAACCACATCCAAAATGCTGAACTGGGCAGGCTTAGACATGCAATACACAAACCCATCCAGGAAGCCAAGATGATGTCATGCAGTTTCCCAAGCCCAATAGATGGGAGATCAGGAACAATTCTACACTGGGGGGGGGGGGCGCATAGGAGCTTTTTAGCCTGAGGACTGCATTGTCTCAGAAGCAGCATTCTGGTGCTACATGCCAGTGTCAAGCAGAGCCAGAGACTAAGAGAGAGTTGGCCAGAGGCAAAAGTGGTGACTCCTACCTTAGTACATTTCAGTCATGCCAAAAGGTAGAGGGGTTTCTACACATACATCTCTTAATACAGGCAACCGAGAGGCACTGTTACAAAGTTCAAAGATGCATTCCAGCTAGGCAATAGCACAAGGTGAGGAGCAGGGCTAGAGACAGGTGAGAGGGGAGGAGACAGGGAGAGGGCTGAAGACAGGTAGAGTGGCCTGGCCTACGGTTGCCGCATGTCCAGAAAATGTCCAGAATACTGAAAACGGCAAGCAGTGTCCGGGCGAAAATTGCCTAAATGTCCAGGGAAATCTGATTTTCCATAGAAATAGCTCAAAAAAAGTCCAATTTCTTTGTGATTTTTCTCAACAAATTTGCCCCCCCCCCCCGCTCAACTCAAGGTTCTCCATCCCTACTTTTCCAAGCACCTTTGCTGTTCAGGTACATTGGTCTATTCTGTCAGTGCTCGGTTAACAAACCAAATTATGCTGCGCCACCAAAACGCTTCTGTAGCTGGGATTCCCTGCTCAACAGCAATTTATTTAGCTGGAGCTGTGGATCCAAAGTGACCCTTGTCATCTCAGAGTAACTCTTGCTCATCCTTTAGCACTGGGAATGTGGCTCTCCTATTGACATGGTCATCTACAATTAAACAGGTCTTTTTTCCGTGACATTAGCAGGAGGGACAGCACAACTCTGGTTGTTTTAACTGTATCTTTCCCAAAGAGTCAGCTGATAGAATCTATGTCCAGAGGGCAAGGAACACGAAAAACTAAAACAATTACCACCCCCCGCCCAAAGTTTTATCACCAGGTTCTGTTGTTGCAGTAAACATTTTGTGATCCCTTTTCTTCCTTCCAAAGATTTATCACTTGGCATTTCCATTCCCTGTTCACCCCCATCCCTCATTTTCTAGCAAGCTAATGCTCCCCCTTTGCTGCATGAAAATGCTATCTCCCAATTGTTTTGAAAAGCTAAAAATTTCTCTCCAGCTACAAGGCCAGCACAATCCCTCCTGTTCGTTTTGTGGCTATAAAACTACAGCTACAGATGGATTTAGAAATAGGGATGGAACACCAGCTATTTGTGGAATCCGGAGGGGGAATAACAGCTGGTACAGCCACACCCCGGGATGAAGCATTTATCTGATCTGTTTAAATCTCAAATCCTTCCTTCTACCCAAGACTTTGCTACTGTGGCCTCTCCAGACTGGCGTTTTTTCCACAGGTGTATTTGGCTGCATGTTCTTTTCACAGCAGTGTATTTATTCTTCTTTATTAGTTGTGCTGCGATGCCTCCCCAATGCTACCACACTATTGCTGTCTAGGAGGGCTACAGAAAAAGGAAAGTGTGTGTTTGCTGGTGGTGGGGGAAATAAACCAGAACATTGTGGTATAAAAAGTCATGGGATTTGAGCAAGAAGGTATAGGATACACATTGATTGGAAAAGAGGCAGTGTGAAACAAACAAGCAACAACAACAACAAACCACACACCTTTGCAGGTGCCAACAGCATTAAAAGCAGGATTGTGTGTGACTGCCCTGATAGCATCAAGAGCACATCAGGTCATGAATGTGCAACAAAAAGGATGTCTTGTTCCTCGAATCTTCATGAAAAAATGCCCCTATTTCAAATAGGGTATATCTAGGAAGGCTGGCGAAGGTTCCCTGCTAAAGTGATATTTGATCTTCATCTCAGTCTAAGTGTGAAACATTGCATCGGGTTAATACTTGCGTAAGCAAGATGATTTATTTTCGAGCCTTAGCTCCTCAAGTTCCTCCTGTAGTTTCTAATCGTCCACAACCACAAAGACCTTGAAAAAATATTGCTGACAACAAAACTCGGGGGGCAAGGATTTGACTCTTCCCAAGGACATAGAAACCAAAATTGCATGTTGATCCGTAGTGAAAAAAATCTTGAAATAAAACATGATGGCTTTAATGATGAGTTACAAAACTGATCTGCCTAAGGAGGCACAGAAGAGCGGCCAGGTGAGTCACTTGCTGCTCTTTAAAACCTCCAGGAGGTTGAATGCCAATCTGATAACCTTCCAGTCTCTACAGCTGGAAATATGTTTATTAAGGATATTACCAATCACTGGGTTTTTTTTTTAAACTCTTCATTTAAAAGGTGTGAACTTTTCCTTTAATTAGAGAGGCCCGTTACATTAGAATTGTAGGATATCCTGCAATTCTGCTCCACTGGATCTTAAAAGAGATTGAGAATTACGACAAATATCTACGAGGCTCATCTTGGAAGCAGGGTTCCAGGAAGGTACGTAATATTAACAATAATCGGCATTAAAACCATGCAGTAACGGAAGGCACTTCAAAACCTTGTAGGCACATATTGAAACGGGGAGGGTGATGAGTGTGAAAGATTCCAATTTTTACGTTCCAAAGCAAAACAAACAAGAACAAAGGAGAAAAGGACAAATTTGAAAGCCTGGTTAAAAGCAGATCAACTGCAAAGCAAGCTGGTGTAGGTGGCTGCTGCATGACAAATTCTCTTTAATATAATTTAAAATGTCGTGTTAGAAAAGATATTTGGAGGCTTGTTGATAGGCAGTGGATTCTCTGGTGGTTGCACTTCTCCTGTAAAGGCAGTGAAACGATATTCCTGATTCAGGTCTCTTTTCAGATTTGCTAGCTGCTGTTCTAGGTTTTCAGCCTGTGGCAGGAAACATAAAAAGCATGAACACTAGAGTTGTTATCACATTAACAAGGCTAGTGCCCAACTATTCATTTGTGTCTCAGGTAGCTATCTACTGCTGTACAGTGGACCCTCTGGATATGAACTTAATTGTTCTGGGGGTCCATACATACCCTGAAAAGTCTTCATCTAGAAGCACCGCTTCTGTGCACGTGAACGGCGCGATAGAGTGCTTCTGCCCATGCGCGAAGCACGCAGAGCGCTTCTGCGCATGCGGCGAAACCCGGAAGTATACACTTCTGGGTTTGCTGCGTTCGCAACCCGAAAGTTACATTACCCAAAGGTAACATAACCTGAGGGTCCACTGTATTTGTGAAACTGGATTCCAAAGCTAAATGGTTCCTACACTGGTCCCCAAACCAAAGAACTGAATCCACAGCAACCTTTGGGCAACAAAGCTTCAAAGAAACCTTCTGCACAACTCAAAACTTTGCTGCCAATACCAATTTGAGAGGGGTAGCTGTATCAGTCTCTTGTAGCCAAAACAGCACGGGGTGTCTGGTGGCACTATAAAGACAAATAAATTTATCAGGAATTATCTTTCTTGGGCCAGGGCTCACTTTGCCAGAAGCATGGAAATGTTAAGCTCATTTGGCAGAGAGCTGCAAAGAGGTCTGACTTAATCTAAGTGAGTCTTGCAAAGCTCCTCTTGCTTCTTATGCAGATCAAACTTACGGATGTTTACTTAGAAGTAAGTCCCACTTAGTTCAATGGGATTCACTCCCACAGAAATGTGCACATGACTGCAGCTTTATTAACCAACATACAAAAAGTAAGATGCCCTAAGTTTTTGGCAGCACTTTAGCATAAATTTACCGGAACAAAAAAACTGTATTATCATGATATGTCAATTCAGATGTAAGCCCAAATCTGATTTGCTGCCAGATGAATGAGGGTTGGTGACAGATGACTAGCAAACCATAGTTTTGCATTGTATCCGAACTAGGGAAAGCATGTTTTGCAGAAACTTTATTTTATTTATGACTAGAACTGCAGAGCAAAATTTGAATGTGGTTTGCAATTTTGATTTGTAGTGTTACCTTGACAATATTGGTATTTCTAATCATGTCTTTTGCAAAAACGTCTGTGGCACACAACTGTCTCCAGTAAAAATCCCTACAGTGACACTTCATTGAATATATGTATAAGTTGTATGAGTAAGAATCATAAAACGGTAGAGTTGGAAGGGACCACTGAGGGTCATCTAGTCTAACTCCCTGTAATGCAGGAATATAATAATAATAATAATAATAATAATAATAATAATAATTTATACCTCATCCATCTGGATGGGTTTCCCCAGCCACTCTGCGTGGTTCCCAACAGAACATTAATAATGATGATGATGATGATAAAGCGATAAAACATCAAACATTAAAAACTTCCCTAAACAGGGCTGCCTTCAGATGTCTTCTAAAAGTCAGATAGTCTTAAGCATTCATGAGCAGATCTGGTAACAATAGGAAAGCTACGGTTTTGTTTCTGCTTGGGTACTATTTCTTGTTTCTACTTTTTTTTGTTTTACCTTACTCTGTGGACTTGTAATTTTGTCCTTTTTATTTTTCAACAAAGAATATAAAATGAGGATAGCCACGGTTTGCAGAAAAAAACAAAAACAAATGGAGCAACAAAATGTAATAATGCAACCTACAATCTCATAGTCTTGTTTTGCTCTCTCCATATCTTCTTGAGGGATCCCTGTTAACCTTTTCCTTCTTTCTTTCATCATTTGTGTGTGCTGTCTGATGCGATTCTCCACTTCCTTGCGTTTGGCTGCTCTGAATCAAACAGAGAAGAGTACATCAGGAATAACTTTCTGATAGTAAGAGCTGTTTGAAGTGGAGCGGTCTCTCTCGGGAGGTTGTGGACTCTCCTCCTTCCTTGGAGGTTTTTAAGCAGAGGTTGGATGGCCCTTTGTCATGGATGCTTTAGTTGAGATTCCTGCATTGCAGGGGGTTGGACTAGATGACCCTCGGGGTTCCCTCCAACTCTGCAATCCTATGAATTTTTCAGTATGTCCTCACCTCCATTTATGGATCTACTTAAAACATTTCATCAGCCCATTACTGTAATAGCATTTTTCTACAGATAACAAAACATCAAAAACACTAAACTGCCTGAAAACCCAGAGATTACGGTATTTCAATCTGTACACAGTGGAGCAACCGGTGTGTGTGTGTGTGTGTGTGTGTATCTATGATGGTGCCATTGTTTGAGAGAGCAAGCCACAGAAATATTGTCACATAGTTCCGACACAGGAGGAGAAAAGGAGACTGAGCCCCGGCCGCGCAGAGGTTTAAATCGGGTAAGCCACACCCCCAGTCGACCTGATTGGTCAGCTGTGGGGCATGACATGGCTGGGACTCCCAATGACGCGGGAGGCATTGACATGCCCCCCACCGAAAAAAGGCAAAAGATTTATACGATCTGAAGAGAAACCAGAGTATGCCCCCCACCGAACACGGGGAATACTCGTGGCCCGCCTGCAATCCCCCCCCCCAGGAAGGGGAGCGGTCTTTTCATTGCTGGTATCAATTGCTTTGTTATCATCTGCTGTTGAAGGAGAATATCTTAAGCTGATTAATGAAAAAGTGTCTGCCTGCTATCTTCAAGCTCTAAAAGCAATATTAAAAAGTTTTTCTACCCCCAGAAAACACCCAACTATGAGAAGCCTCAGAACACCAGGAAAGCATCTGCAGTGACTGATGTTAGTATGTTGCAGCAAAAACAAGTATCATGGTATCTGTGGTATAAACTTTTGTGGACTACACCTGCACCCGCACACAAACGCAGGGTATGAAGTTGTGGGCTTTTCTGTAAAGGATGGAGGAAAGTGGCCGCAAAATGTGAGGGCTAGAGTCTGTAACATTTCTACATAATGCAGGCTTAAAAGTAATTGGAATTACAGTCTTTAGGTTCCTCTCCCCGCCCCCTTGCCCCATCGCTAACTTGAAAATGTTGAGCCTTTGACTGAATCCGCAGCTTTTCCTTTGTCCTCATAAAAACAAAACATTGTAATCAGTTGTGCTGCCCTATTATGGAAGCCATATAATGTTGGCAATATAATGAATGTCACCTCCCTGCCCATCCACCCTCTTCAGGCTTAACAACTTTAGATCTTTCAGAACTTTCAGATATTTCAGAATATCTTACACAGGATCAACACATTTCTTTCTTTCAGAATATGACAGGTGTTTCTAATTTAGTATGATATTTGGGTTCCCTATCTGGATGATGTTTTAGTGCATTATGAAATAAAGATGTGAATGAGGAATCAAAACTGAAAACAAAAGAAGAGTAAGAATGCCTTGGGACCTTTTTTTTTTTTAAAAAAAAGGTAAAAATAGAGCTGGCTGATAATTGTTGCTAAGAAATCTGAAAGCAGGTGGGGCTGGAATGTGACAGAACTGCTATCCTGGTTCCCTAATGAGAAAATATTTGCAGTGCATCCATTAGTACAAAATGTAAATGCACCGTGGGGGTTGAATGAGTACCTAATGGTTTAAAACAGGCCTGGGGCTACAACATTGGCCTAGGGAGGGTGTGGTGGTGGTGGAGAAATACACTTTCTTTTGAAGATCGCATCTACAACTAAATCATTACTCATCTGCATTCCATCTTACAGTAACTTTGGACCTAACACAGGAGCAGAAAGAGAGGAAGGAGGTGTAAGAGGAGAGTGATGCTTCAGGTGCATTCCCAGTTGTCCAGACCCCATACACCAGATGCAGGGAACCTTGGGCCCTCTAGATGTTGCAGAAATACAACTCCCACAAGCCACAACAAGCATGGCCAATGGCTGGGTTTGATGGGAACTACGGTTTAGCAACATGCAGAGAACATCTTTGTTCTCACCTTAGCTCGTCAGTCGTTCTCATTAAGTTTAGGGTCATCTCCATTTGTTCATCTTGCTTGCTTGTTTCTTTCCAGTCTTCCGGCTTGTCGTGGTTCTTCATATTGTCTGTTGCGTAAGGTGCATTTCGAGAAACCTAGAGGAAAGGCAACATATTATGGCATTAAAATGTCAGGGGGCGGGAGGAGAGGCAGTAGCTAGGGCTGCCAAAAGATTCAGCATTGGACATGCCTGGGCTCCTGGGCTTTAAACTATGTCAGAGCAGGCAGAGTTTCACCAGATGCAGCCTATCCCATTACTATTGAAGTTACATGGTTAGGATATTTTTTTTAAAAAAGAGAAGTTTCACCTACTGAATTCCTTGTTCACCACAAGAGAAAGAGCAAGGGCCCAGCTCCGTACTGAATCCGGCAACTTCAAGTACTACTGAATCTATTCCCTCATCGCAACCTTTTGTTTGACTGTCTGTGGCCATTACTTCTGCCTCTGATCTCCTCCTACTGCAGCCTTCTATAAGAAAATTAACAAGAGCCCTGCAGGATCAAGCCAAATGCCCGTCTAGTACAGCATTCTGTTCTCACCGTAGCCAACCAGATGCCCGCAGCAGGACCTGAATGCTAGAACAACTTTCTGCATTTGTAGATCCCAGCGACTGGTATTTAGAGGCCTACTGCCTCCAGCAGTGGAGGTGGAGCATAGCCACTGTCGCTAGTAGCCACTGATAGCTTTATCCCCACATGCATCTGTCTAAGCCAGGGGTCAGCAAACTTTTTCAGCACGGGGCCAGTCCACTGTCCCTCAGACCTTGGGGGGGCAGACTATATTGGGGGGGGGGGGAATGAACGAATTCCTATGCTCCACAAATAACCCAGAGATGCATTTTAAATAAAAGGACACATTCTACTCATGTAAAAACACACTGATTCCTGGACTGTCCATGGGCTGGATTTAGAAGGCGATTGGGCCAGATCCGGGCCCCTTAGTTTGCTTACCCATGGTCTAATCCTCTTTTAAAGCCATCTAAGTTGGCTTTAAACTATGGAGCAAATTCCAGAGTTCAGCTATGTGCTGTGTGAAGCACTTTATTTGTCTGCCCTGAATCCTCCGACATTCTGCTTCGTTGGATTGCCCCCGGTTCTAGTATTATGCAAGAGGGAGAAGAAGAAAAAAACCTCCACTTTGTCCACACAGCGCCTAAAGCTGGGAGCCAGACCTTATAGGTAGCAGATAGACAGCAACTGTCGCAGCTGGTAACTGCTAGATGAAGCCCTGTTGGAGGTTAATCTCGCCACTTCTCACTCCGTGAGCAAAATTAGCCAGCACTTCAGGTAAAGAAGGAATGAATCGCTGATACCTGTCCCCATTTCAGCCTGTGTGGTACAATGCACGATTTACCCCGGGAGGCCTGGGTTCAAATACTCTCTCAGACATGAAGCTCAGTGGATGGCTTTGGGCCTCCCTCTGTCTACCAAACCTACCTCACAGGATTGTTGTGAGGATAAAAGGAGGCTTATCTCCTTGGAGGAAGAAAAAGTATGGTGCTTAAACACACACACACACACACACACACACACACACACACACACACACACCACTACCACTGCCTGCTTCATATGAAGATTTATTTCTCACCTTAATTAAAACAATATAGCACTATAGTAAATAATATAGTATATGTAATGAGCATACTCCTACCACTGAGCCAAACCCACAGCATGATTTATTGTCCCTGGAAATCAACGCTGTATTAAAACATTTCTGAAACCGCATTTTCTTAATAATGGAAGTGACTAAAAACTACTTAGTCTTTTATTGCAACTGGACTGATACAACAAGTGTTCTTGGGTAGGTGGGAAGGTTGTGGATTTGCATGCTCAGAAAGGGCATGTCAGTTTCATAGTCGCTGGATATGTCACTGGTGGTCAAAGGTGCTATTTCCCCCTTGCATTTCCCTCCAGTCCAAGTCAGAACTTTTGCACCTCCAGCCACACCTCACTCCTTTTAGAGAAGCCTGTTTCTGAACCAAAGGGCCAGTGGTAATGAGTGGACATTTGTGAACAGCCTGCGATCTCAACACTGGGCCCTGTGGCACCCAGCCTTGACCCCAGCTTCCAAATTGTTGGTACTGCACAGTTTCTTCGGCAACTGGAGGACATGGTGCGCTTATGTGGGAGGCAATACAAAGGTGACTTGGCTGACATCCAGGATACGCAGCTGCAAAAAGATGGTGTTTCCCACTGGAATTCGCCCTAGGGTTGGTGTCACAATCAAGAGGCTTTGGTGAAGAACACTCTGCGTTCCACACTTTAATTGCCATTAACTGAGACAGGGGAAGCAGGGCCTCAGATAGAACACTCCTCTTTGATGGTGGATGGCAGGTGAAGAGCCACGGGATCTGAATTTCCACCAGCTCCCATGAAACAGGGGACTTCATCATACACATCTTAGGATGCTCAAGGCTTATGAAGTCCTATCCTATCATGTGGTGTACCTCTACCTGCAGTGAGTCACATACCCTATTGCAATTGAACTTGCCTAGTCAGTTATTCTGTCCAAGGGCAGGTTTTCATCCGTGAGTGAATCTTTATTTCTTTCCATACGTCCAGGGGGCATACCTGAAGTGTGCAATCTCTGCCTCTTCTGATCTTAACGGTGACTGGAACACCATGGAGCTGAACATCACCCCAAAGCAATGCGAGGAGCCACAGGAAACTGACTGCCTCTTCTCTTACACAGCAGGCTGCTGCAAGCATTTAAGGAAGCCACTGAACCAAAAACCTAAACCCCCAAAGGGATTCTTTGCTCCCAAAAATAGCAAAAAAGGAAGAGGAAAACAGCTCTCTGTACACATCAACCAAATTACTAAAGGAAGAAAGAAACCACTGTCAGAATTACCGTATTTTTCCGTCTATAAGACGCCCCCACGTATAAGACACCCCCTATTTGGGGGGGAGGGGCTCAGATTGTTGCCAGTCCACCCTCGGCACAATCCATGAATAAGACTCCCCCTAATTTTTGACATTATTTTGACATAATTAGTCTTATACACAGAAAAATACGGTACCTCTTCTACCTGCGATCAATTAGAGAGCAGGCTGCTCTCCTTGCGACAAGAAAAATGCTGCATATGCAGACATCCCCAATATTAGAGGAAAAGATGCCTCTCTACTACTCCTCATCACTCACCTAGGACTTTAATCTGTCAAGTGCTTTACAGCCCTCATTGTGCTTTCCTTCACAACAGCTCCCTGACGATTTCCCATTTTATAGACAAGGAAACACCAGAGGCTAAGGGACAGTGATGCCAACAGGAAGAGGACAAACCTAAATCTCCCAGAAGAAAACCCAGTTGTCTACTCAGTGGACTACATCTTGGTTTTTGAAGTTAGCCAACAACAGAGCTGTGACCAAAGATGAAAGCCATCTTGAAACAGGCTTGTTAAATAGGAAGCAGCCCAAAGTGGAGGTTTCCCTATATGGGGGAGATTTATCTCACTCTGTCCCACTGGTAAAGATGCCCCTTATGGCAACAGCCATACTGTAGCTGCAATATGTAATGCAGATTTGGGGGATCAGTCTCTAGGGGAAGCAAAGAAGTCTGGAATACACATAGGGCCACGTGGCTAACAAAAGGCACTTTGTTTATATTTGCTCATTTTGTCAGGCCTCCAATACAGTGGTACCTCGGGTTAAGTACTTAATTCGTTCCGGAGGTCCGTTCTTAACCTGAAACTGTTCTTAACCTGAGGCACCACTTTAGCTAATGGGGTCTCCAGATGCCGCTGTGCCACCGCCGCACAATTTCTGTTCTCATCCTGAAGCAAAGTTCTTAACCCGAGGTACTATTTCTGGGTTAGTGGAGTCTGTAACCTGAAGCGTATGTAACCCGAGGTAGCACTGTAATAGAAGCAGAACTTTCAGATTTGACCTTGACTCACAAAGCTATTTCCAAAAAGAAGTCCTTGATCCTTCCCATTTGCCATAAAATAAATCACATTGCCTTTTGAGAAACAGCCTAAAAGAATGTGCCAGTGACCTTCAATGTGAAAGCTTTTGATGAAACCCAAGCTATCTCAAGACCTTATCAGTTCTTGAAGACTTCTCAAAGAATCCAAGTTTGTTTATTTACAGAGAAATGTGTTGTGTGACAGAGCTAGAATAAGCACATTTCAGTAAGTGAAGGTTTGAAAAACATACTGTCTTAAAAACAAAAGACTGTATTTTTTTGCTTTATAATACTGGCATCTTGGCAAGGTCTTAATGACTTAATAAAGTGGAAAATGTTAAACCATCTTTTTTTGTTAAAAATGCAAAAAGCTGTTAGTAAACAATGAGAACCTAGAGAATAAACACATCCGTTTTTGTACTCTACATTAAAGCATTTGTCTTCCATGAGAGTAGAAAACAAAGCTTTTCCATTCAAAGAAAGTGATTGTTAAACTACTCTGGGAATTGTAGCTCTCAGGGGAGTAAGAGGTCTCCTAATAACTCCCAGCACTCTTAATATATTACCATTCCCAGGATTCTTGGGGGTGGGGGGTGGGAAGCCATGACAGTTAAAATGGTATCATAGTGCTTTAAATGTATAGTGTAGATGCTGCCTCAAATGGAAGCTCTGCTCCTATATTCCCAACCCATGATGCATACTTCAGCCAGTGGTCTCCACTGACAGCAGCAAGAACTCCCAGTAATTCTGGGCTCCAAGATTCTTCTAAATCTAAGCGATACCAGCCTGAAGTTATTCTGTCAATATTATGAAAGTATTTCGTATGAAACTGCTGCACAATTAACAACTTTCCCCTCAGATATATTCTTTGAAACCAACATTAGTCTGAGCCACATGCCAGGATAAACTGGGGCAATTGTTGGTAGACACTAGACAGTTTAGCATTCTGTTTGTTTGTTTGTTTGTTTGTTTTAGCTCCAGAGTTTAGCAGAATGAACTTTGTTACCCAATGCTCCCTGATCAGCATCTTGCTGCAAGCTTATTCAATAAGTATACAGCATTAGCAATGTTACACAGCCCTCTGCTGGGCAAAACTTGGGTCCACTTATGAAAGAAGCTGCCAAGCTGCTGTAGAAACTCTATTGTGCAAACTAGATTATGCAATTAGCTAAACCCTCTGTGTTTCCCATGTTGGCCCGTTTCACTGCAAGCCTGGGAAGTAAACTGGAAATCAAATCCCACATTAGCTGTAAGAATCGCTTGGTGACCACTGGCACGTTCTTTGTTTGTTGTTGTTTAGTCGTTTAGTTGTGTCCGACTCTTTGTGACCCCATGGACCAGAGCACACCAGGCACTCCTGTCTTCCACTGCCTCCCGCAGTTTGGTCAAACTCATGCTAGTAGCTTCGAGAACACTATCCAACCATCTTGTCCTCTATCGTTCCCTTCTCCTTGTGCCCTCCATCTTTCCCAATATCAGGGTCTTTCCCAAGGAGTCTTCTCTTCTCATGAAGTGGCCAAAGTATTGGAGTCCCAGCTTCAGGATCTGTCCTTCCAGTGAGCACTCAGGGCTGATTTCCTTAAGAATGGAGAGGTTTGATCTTCTTGCAGTTCATGGGACTCTCAAGAGTCTCCTCCAGCACCATAATTCAAAAGCATCAATTCTTTGGCGATCAGCCTTCTTTATGGTCCAGCTCTCACTTCCATACATCACTACTGGGAAAACCATAGCTTTAACTATAAGGACCTTTGTTGGCAAGGTGATGTCTCTGCTTTTTAAGATGCTGTCTACACGTTCTTAGTTTCTTGACAACTCAGATAGGTAAAGGTAAAGGACCCCTGGACGGTTAAGTCCAGTCAAAGGCGACCCTGAGGTTGCAGCGCTCATCTCATTTTCAGGCCAAGGGAGCTGGCGTTTGTCCACAGACAGTTTTCCGGGTCATGTGATCAGCATGACTAAACCAACACTGGCGCATGGAGGACCGTGACGAGTGCCAGAGTGCATGGAAATGCCGTTTACCTTTCCGCTGCAGCGGTACCTATTTATCTACTTGCACTGGCATGCTTTCGAACTGCTAGGTTGGCAGGAGCTGGGACAGAGCAACGGGAGCTCACCCTGTTGCGGGGATTCGAACTGCCAACTTTCCGGTCAGTAAGCCCAAGAGGCTCAGTTTAGACCACAGCGCCACCCACGTCCCTCCATACTCAGAAAAATAAGTGGAGTCACACCACAGGCCTAGCTTCTGAGGTCACATGACTTCTTACCCCCCCATCTCTAGGTATCAAGCCTCAGAATTCCAGCTCCCATGGAAGCCTAGAGATCTGTGAATATAGCCTTCTCCATCTCAATACATGGATGCTGGAGGGCAGGATCATGAAGCTGTGTGACCTTGGGATAGAGTCAATAGTGTGCTCCTGCTGTCCCTTTGATTGTGTAGAGCCTCTTCATATTTAGCTCAGTGGGTAGAGCATGAGATCCCAGGGTCTTGGGTTCGAATCCCATGTTGGGCAACAGATTCCTGCATTGCGGGAGGTTGGTCCTCTCCAGCTCTGCAAATCTATTATTCACATAATTAATGTGTGAGGGGGACTTTTGTCTCCCAGCCTTAGTCCTTCCTGCTCCTCTGCTAAATGGGGATAATAACACTGACCTATCTTGCAGGGATATTGTCAGGATCACTAAGATAATACACAAAATGCTTTGCACAGTCAAAAAGCATTGAAAAAACTCAGTTGTAGAGTAAGTATTGCTGCATGTAACTATTACTACATAACTGTTTGGGGTGTTTCCTCCTGCTCTTTAAAGCAATTCGTATAAATGAAACCTGAACGCTACTAATAAAGGAAGCAGCACGTTAACCACCCTGCCACTTTCTCCACCCACAAAAGTAATGGTGATATGCTGAGCAGCACTTTCTCCCATGCTAGGTCAGAAACTCTAACTTTCTCATTGTGCAATCCCTTGAAAGACTACCCAGTGGACAAGATGACAGAAGTGGAATAAAGGAAATACGATCCTATTTGTTCCTCTGCTACTTGCATGGTGATTTGCATTGTCAGCCTGCAGGCTGGATATGTGGCACTCGAGTGCCCTCTTGTGTTTTAGATATGTATTCATCCACACCACAATGCATTTGTGTGTGTGTGTGTGTGTGTGTTTGTGTGTGTGTGTACATGTGTGCATACACTAAGCAAACGAGGCAAGTAAGAACAGAGATTCCAAATGCTGGCAGAATAAGCATCTGAGCTACCCGGAGCTTTCATTCAGGCACAGGTGATCAGAATAAAAGAGAAGGCATTTATGAGGGTATGAGTCAGTAGTTATTAATCTGATGCAAAAGAAGCTTCTTCAAATAAAGAATAGCAGGCTTGAATGGGAGGGATGCTTGTATCACAAGCTTTTTAGTCAGCGTGGAAAGATCAGGTTAACCTGTCCTCGCCCTGTCTCTGTTGCTGCTGAAGCCTTTAAGAGATGCATCAGAATATGATGGAGAGAGTATGGTGAGTGGAAGAGACCATGTGCTATAGGCTTTAAGAAACTTGGTTACCATTTCCTGCATTTAGAATAATAGAATTGTAGAGTTGGAAGGGACCACAAGAGTCATCTACTCCAACCCCCTGCAATGCAGGGGTCTTTTGCCCAAAGTGGGGCTTGAACCCACAACTCTTGAGATTTCATGCTCTAATGACTGCTGATTAAGACCTGACTCCAATCAATATTTTTAAAAAAGCAAGTCTGACTTTTGACTTACATATTCTAAAATAACATAAACAATATCAGTTGCAATATAGTCTATTGATTGGTATTGCCTATTTTTTTGAATGAAATTAAAATGTTACCATGTTAATATTCTCAATGTGAATTGCTTTTTTTTAAAAAAAAAGAAAAGAAAACCAATGTAAAAGAGCAGTAGTCAACGAGCTGCTCTAAAGGGGTTTCTTTAAAAACAATGCAGCTTTCTCTTGGGATCAGGATGACAGATTTTTCTCTCCTGGATTAATTGTCATATCCAGCCTACATTGGCTTTGACTTGGCAGAGGCAAAAACCTCAGGAGGCATCCATCAATTTTAACAATCCTATTTTAAACGAAAGCTCTTCTGCTTCAACGCCTCCAAACAGCTTGGGCAGTCGCAGTTTTTGAAAAGCTATGTGCCGAATGTTTCGACACCTACAACACACATGCCCCCCTCCCCCCGACTGAGCCATGATGCCATTGCCTAAGTGTTTACTTAAATTTGCACCTGCTTCCTCCAAAAGGCTGAGCAGCAATCGTTCTAGACAAAATCTCTACTGGAGAGAAGTTTGACGGTGGGGGTTCAATATGTAGGGGGCTGATCTTTGTAGGACCCTGCCTTGGTACCAAAGGCTGGAGCGGATAATCAAGTGGCAATTCATATCCCTGGAATCCTATTATTGCAAAGATGGTCTTGCGCTGCTCTCTGAATGCCAGTGAAGTGATTGGTCCATGTAGGAAATGCTGCAGAGTCAAGGATCTGATAATGTACTCTGTACCCTACTCACATCAAATGTTTTGCACATCAGTAATCAAAGCATGGTTTCCTTAATAGCATGCCTGCATATAAATAATGGGATCCGCATGTTTGCCGTTTCACTGAAACTCACCGATTGTGCATTTACCCCTCACAGAGCTACAGTCCCCAGCACCCTCTAACATGCTATGGTTCCCAGGATTCTGTGAGGGGGAATCTATGTGCTTGAAATGTATGGTGTAATGTAAGAAGCAGTCCAATTGTGTTTGGAAGTCCTCCTCCTCATTCTGCTGATAAAGTTCTCTCCTGATGGTATCACTGCTTATCAGATTAGATAGAATAGGTGCAGGTGTAGTTTAAGGACAGAAATGGCACCCTGGTGCTAATGTCAGGAACCAGCCAGCGTTTGAATTGGTTTACCAACAATCCTTGGCACTTTGCCTGTGACCTAGATAACTGCCCTCTGGTGGGAGCAGAATCAACCTCATGTAATCCTGCACAGTATCTCTGACTTTGGGTCGCAAAAAACTTTTTAACATGAGGCAGGGGACGAAAAGAATTTGGTGATTAGTAGGGCAGGACTGGATGGTTCTATTCTACACTTGCCTAAAGTAAGAGGACGTTTCAACTGTAAAACATCTATGGGTTCCCTAGCAGATAAAGAAGCTCCTTAGGATGGGATTTCAAGACAGCTGATGGAGTAACAAACAGTAAGCTGTCGGGGATGGGGTGACAACTGCACAGAAAAATAGAGCAGCTAGACCAAGGTTAGTTAGCATACCAGTGTCAGAGATGAGAATCAACTGCAGGTTTCTACAGTGCAGCTGCTGTTACATACCTCAGTGTCTTCTTTATCAAATGAGTACGATACGCCATTCTTCTCTTTCATCATCCTGCTCCGTCTCCTCCATTTCTGAAGCACTTCTTTATCTCTACCAAAAGAAATGAAATAAAATTCTATCAAGCTCTCTCTGTCTCTCTGCAGATGTTGAAAGCAACATGTATGTGCTACAGAGGTGCTGAAAAGTTGCACTTGGAGATATATTCAGAGAGAAAGAACTGCATTTGATTTGTATGTATTAAGCTATAGATAACCTACTTTACATTCCATAGGTGTGATCTAGGTAGATGTTGGATCACAGCAAATTTAAAATGATCATGTCATTCAGACCAGGAGTACTCCCAAACAGACCCTCCATGCCATACTCAGGTTTAGAAAAAAACACACACAAAAAACCTCTCATTGTGTTTCTAAAAGGTGAAATGTGATGTTGGGGAAGAGTGGGGAGCTAGGAGCATCGGCTGCATCAGGTCCTCAGTCTGGCAATTCTTATCTGGAGTCTAAAACCTCCAGCAAAGGTATTTACCAGTCCTCCTACCTGAGATCGTTTTAGCTGATAATTGAACTGGGAACTTTTTCAAGAGGAATGGGGCCTTGTAGCATGCATGTGAAGATGGCACTGAACAGTGACAGGAGACGGCCTATGTCTTTGACAGCACCTTGCCAGTAAAAAAGCAATAAAATGGAAGCTGCACAACAGCCTGAAGAGAAGCACTGTGTGGGTGTGGAGCATCTCTTTCTAGCTGCGGTTTTCCCCATCCCTCCAAGTCTGCCCTCTCTCTGGACTATCAACCCAAGCTTGACTCATTTCTCAGCCTGCTGGGAGAAACTTGGCTGGTGAGGGAGTGAAAATTGGTGGGTGTGGAAGAGTTTGGCACCTTCTTCCCACCTGCTGTTTCTGTTCTGGAAGAAGTCTTGCCCTTTCCCATTGCTTGTAGGGCTGCCGCCACCACAAGAAGCTCTGCCCAGAGTAAATGTGAGTTAGGATCATTGCAAAGGAATGCAAACCATCAAAAAGCAGAGCAAAGCTCCTACAGATTCCTGTCTACAGGCAAACAATCTGCAATGGTTGTGCATTCTGTCAAGTAGGAAACAGCCATGTGTGTGTGTTCAGAACAGCATGGCAATTTCCAAATAACTCGCTAATAATTCCAATAATAATACTTGCTTTCTCCGCTGTTCGATTAAAGCTTGTTTCTCCTTCATGTCCTTTAGTGCTGCCAATCGGCACTGCTCTACCTTCTTACTCTGAATGAGCACATCGTATGATGAAACTGCAGGGAACAGGGTCTTCTTGCCTCTTGCCAAAGTCCTTTAAATTTTACATTAAGGGTCAAACAAAACAATTGTTTAACATCAATAGCTGAAAAGAAATGGCACTATATATAGAAAATATCTATTCTATTTCCCAGACTATTCCAGCTTCATAAAAGATAGTCCCTTTAGTTCAGAATGCCTGGTTCTCCAGGCAGAACCTTCAACACAATAACACAACTTTGGCCTGTGGGGGACTGAGGAGATAGTTACAGTAAACACACATAACAGCAACAAAACTAATTGCATTTAGAGACCATATGTTATTATTTTTACACTATATTAAGCATGTATCAGTTGCACACTTACTGCAATGTATGCATGTAAAGAGAGTGTACACAGTCTGCCACCTTCTGGTTTTCTTCAGGAAAGGGGAAAAAATACAGGAACTGTGTTTGTGCCACACAACACACTGTGCTAAGAATGTTATTCATTCTCCAGTGTTCCTCTGATATAGCTTGTGGGTTAAGTGCCTTTCCTGCAGTATAATCTGTCAACTATAACTCTGGATTGTTCAACATGTACTTTTGCTGTCTCCTCTGTCAAATGTGCCACAATTTATTTCTCACCTAAGGGAAAGGTAGGCAGCTGTTTAGCCCATCAAGCAATTTATAGCTCTGTGCAAGCTGAAGGGTAGTTAGCTTGTATATTGGTTATATGTCCTCAAGATCCTACAATGTAGAATTATACTCTGAAACACAGGGTTGGCTTTTGAAGAATTATGCAAGAATGGTCTGAAACGATGGCAGCATCTTCTCCTGGAACCTCTGAGCCTTATTTATTTGCATTTGAAATGTGGCATGCTTGAAGTTTGAAAATACAGAAAGCAAACAGCTAGCACAGCTGTCACAATAGCATAGGTGAAGGGAAACATTCAACAATTTTAATTACGATTCAAGGATCTCTACAATTGTTTCATGTTTAAAAATTCAACATATTCTAATTCACATCACGCGGTAGACCAGTCTTTGCCATCCTGGTGCCTCCCAGATGATTTGGATTTCATCAGCTGGGAGGGCACCTGGCGGGTGAAGCAGACAAGAGTAGAAATGCAAGAAGAAAGGTGCTAAGTGATGTGCACTGTCTAGGATAATATTAACAAGGTTTCATTCACAACTGTCAAACCTTCATTCATTCACCCAGGACATTTGTACAGCTGGCTGATAAATTAATCACATTTACCATGTGTTAAATTATAATAGTGATACTTATTTATTGGATTTCTTAGGCACCCTTCACTATAAGATCCCAGTGCAGATGACAACAGGGTAGGTTATTAAAAATATATAATATTTAAATCAGTAAAAACAATTTATTGGTTATTTGTGCTAGTTTTGGATTCTAGTGCAGATAGCTAGATACGAGTTTTATATTAGTTTTTGTACACTGCTTAGGGAATTTATAGAAGACAACCAGCAAATATAAATCATAATTTGATTTTTAGCCTGTTTTTCAATTCAGAAAAATCCCAAAGGTGGCTCACATAAAATAATAAAATATAATTACCTGCGGACTCTTTCTATCCCTTCCAAAATTCTGATTCCCTCACCCACCTTATGAAGAGTTTTATGAAAGGCTCCGATTTCAGAGGCCTCTTGTGGGGTATTAATTACGTAAATGCAACTTACTATTTACATGCATTTTAATATACTAAATATATTTTTCTCCATAAGAAACTTAAAAGCAGAGCAAGTTGCACAGTGCATTTTGTTACCTGCATGAAAACATGGATGATTTACGAGAGAGCTTCTCTTTAGTCTTTGGTCTTCTTAACGAAGGCATGGATTCATTGGGTACCATTTTGTTATCCAGGTACTCCTCTCTTTCATCTTGTATAAGTTCGTTTCTTAGCTTCTGAAACCGTACCATTTCCTCTTCATTAGGCCATCCATCTGACAAATCCAAACTGGATTTTGTGAAGTCTGTCAAGTTTAACTTTTCAACAGGAGGAATTTCTATTGGAATCAAAAAGAGGTGAGTGTAGTAAACTCATTGGTGCAAGCAGTCATGAAGGGAAAATGGCAAAACAAGACCTGGTTATTTTCTCTCTTTCTCTCTCCAGAATTAAGCATAAAAAGCAATGTGATTCTACTCTTGAAAGCCTGGCTTGCTTTTCTCAGCCACTGTTCTGCTCACTATTACAGTGCAATCATCAGAAATGACACTATAGTACTGTACATGGAAATGTTTTCTATGCTGGCAGAGAAAACAGAGCTTGATGAAAAGAAAAATAATACATTTTGCAGTTCTCTTCACTCTGCCACTTGTTTTACGTTAGAGCCTGATGGATTTGTTACCCTGCCCCTTTTCCTTCAATCCATGCTTTATGATCTTAGTAGGGTCATTAAAAAAGATTATTTTGGAAACATCTTCCTCATCTCCTAAAAAGGGAATACTATTAGTTTATTTTACATATCCATTAGTCCCTGTTCCCATTTTCTTTGCATGGTGAGAGGATAAGGTTTCATTGATTCTCGTTTGCTGGTTTGCTATCCTGAGCTCCATTCTGGCAGGTAGGCAGCAGCAGGTCTTGGGGTCTCAAATTTCAGTGGCACCCTGTGCAATGCCAAAATGTGGTGCCCCTCTGCCTCTCATACTGCATTCTACATCACAGTTGCAATATCCTCGGCAGCACCCCCAAGGCTCTGGGCCCAGTGTGACTGAACCGGTCATATTCCCCTAAATCTGCCTATGATGCAGTATGCCTTACCACCAGAAGTGCTGAATCCCAAAACATTGCTAGGAACCTAGAAGGCATAGACCCTACACATCTTTCCTACTTCCTCTGACCTCCCAATACCTCTGGCCTTTCAGTTCTATACAACCTCCATGTTTTCTATTTCTCTGTATCTTGAATAGGCAAATGTCATACTTGGGAAACAATATACCTGGATGAAGAATAATGGACCTGAAATAATAGCTTGGCATTTCACCATTTTAACGTATGATGAGACCAAGTATAGCACGTTCTTCTTGTATCTGATACAGTCATGGCAACAAATTTGCTACAAGGGGTGAACACTAGTTTTAGACTTTGTCCTCATACTTTCTCTGAGCATTCCAAGGTAATGTCTGATTAGAGGACCCTTCCTATCATCTGATGCACCGCTATTGTTTTAGGTTGCAAATCTAATCTGTTTTATCCAAGAGCCATAAAATTCAATACGACTTACTTCTGAGTAGCCATGGTTAGAACTGCACTGTTAAAGTAGGCAGATTATGTAGATTTTCTCTTAGGTTTTCCACAATGTGTGACTAGGAAAAACAGTTATGGCATGTATGTTGGGTATGGCGTGTATTTCCTACAGAGCTCTGGGGGGGAAAGTTCTTTAAGTCCTTAATGTGTGACTACTGTATATAACTCGAGCTGGGAAATAGCATGCAGTTCAATCCTAGGCATGTTTATTTAGAAGGCAGTCCCATTATGTCCAATGGTCTCTCCCCCTATAATTGTGTTTAGGTTCACAGCCCAGGTTACGAACCATTGTTCCTGGAACGGCGCCAAACAGTACAGGAAAAGCAACAAAAACCAATGCCATACCATACTGGTTTGGGATTGAGGGATGCCTCTTGCATTCCCTTCCAAATTCAAAGAGTTTGAAATTTTGAGAGTAGTTGATGAGCCTGAAACCTGCCAAGCTGATTCCAGCTAAGCATGTTCTATTGCTAAGCAAACTAAGGTGAAATGTTTCCATAGGGGCTAGTTGTTAGGAAGGAGGGCTTTCTTTCCCCACTTCCCGCATCTCTGTGGAGGATGTTGTCATCATGCTGTTTGGGAAGAAGTTACAGGGTTAGGTTGAGAAGCTGAGAAGACACTGCTGAGTTGGGCTCTGAAGATTTGATAATATTCTTGCTGTTCCCCATAAGGTTTTATGGAAGAGCAGGAAATTTTGGATTAACTGTAAAGAATGGTTTAATGCTGTGTCTCCACTTATGCTCAGCCAGTATGTTTATAAATAGATGCAATTATTACAAAATGTTATTAAGCCTCCACTGACCTCATTCAAAAGAAGCCAAATTTGAGCACATGGTGCACACCTGAAGCCTCACTGTTCAGGGTTTGGGGATGCATATTAACATTATTTTTTGTTCTGAATAGACAACAGTTCATAAGTACAGTATATCTTGACGGATCCTTCCACTTTTAAATCACTATTCAATATTTTATCTTTCGTTTAAGACACAAGATTCAGGATAGGCTGAGTTTTCACACATTTACTAGAATTAATGAATTTATAGAATGTTTCTGTTCTAGCAGAACAGAAATTTGGGCAACATTTTGATTGAAATACGAGGTATAATTCTTTAAAATAAATGCTATATGAGATGGTGGACCCAGCATCAGGTGGAAGACTCTAAGGCTTCGTTCAGTCACTTAGTTCAGGAATCTACAGCAAATGATTGCAAATCAACCCAGAGGAACACTTCTGATGCAGCAATTCTAGCCCCATTTACTTGGGAGCAAGCCCTACTTAATTCAATAGAACTTACATCTTAGTAGGCTTGGTTAGAACTGTAGTGTCGGTTACCAGCTAAGAAAGTGTATAAATATGAAGAACATCATAATGCCACAGCTGAGCTATGATCAGGCAAGCACATATAACCAAGCAACCAGTAGCCCTTGAACCTCAACAATGAATATCCAGTAAAATGGCTAAGGGGCCCAGCAGGAAAAATGGGAGTTCTTCTGGAAGGTATAGGATGGACAGAAGTGCAACAGCTCTCACCAGGGAGAGCTTCACGGGTTGGGAAGGAATAGAAAGTTGAAAGAAGCCCTCAGATGTATAGAGACCTGTAGATTCCTGCAGTCATGTGCAGGTTGCCTTGGGGCTCCTGATGTTGCTGGCTCTTTATACAGTTCCTTCCCAATTCCTGGCGAAAACTTTGTGCCTTGTTTTTGAATGCTGACCACCCATGGTTTTCCCAGCATGCAAATGGCACCAGGATGTAGCAAAGTAGCTGCCCTTTATGGCATGGATTTAGATGAGCAAGACTGTAAAGCCTGCTGTTTTATTAAGATGCAAATTAAAAATGCACATGTAAATAATAAAGTTGCCATATTCTTCATTTACATGCTTAACGTGAGCAACACCAATGGAGTGTGCTTAGGGCTTAGCTGTACATGTAACACAGACTAGATTACCCTGCACAATTAATACGATGTAAATGCCAGAGAAAATATGTATCAGGTAAAAGGGCAACACACACAAATCCCAAAGTGACTGGCATATTAAATGCTTACAGGCCTGGGAAAGTCTCCAGACACATTCAACCTGCACTTGAAATCTCCCTGCTTATAAATGTCACCAAACCTAGAAATATTTGTGCATGGAACAGAGAACCCCTTGAGGCTTGGTTTTTAATTTAATTGGCCTCCTGGGTAGAATAGCAGATAATTTCTATTCATTTATGGCAACTTACTCACAAGCATTAATAGACTACACAGAGCTTTTTAAATATAAAAGGTTAAGAGGAGAAGAATCTGATCCAAACACGAACTTGTGGCATCAGTTCTTAAAGTATTTGAGTATAGATTAGGAGAAGAGCCATGGTTCGAAAACAGAGCCATAGCCATTCAGTGTAGATAATACTGAGCTAGATGAACCAATGATGTGACTCAGTACTAAGAAGCTTCCTAGGTTTTTAACCTGTGGCCCTCCAGAGGTGAACTACAGCTCCCACAATCCCTGACCATTGGCCATGATGGCTGGGTCTGATGGGAGTCCAATAGTATCTGGAGGGCCATGCCTTAAGTCTGTCCTCTATGCTGTTTCCCTGATCTTAATCCCCGCAGATGCCGCTTTTAGCTTTGCGAAGGGGTCTGGGGTAACTTGTAGGTACCACAATACAAGAACAGCACAAATCATATATGCACCAAGGAAGGCAATTAGACAAGATCTAATGCATATTTTAATATATAATTTATTTTCTAGACACATGGCCATAACAAGCACTGATAAAACATACAGTATTTTTCAGAAATATTTACAGTGATTTTGAAAACAAACATTGCATGTGTACAAATAGATTTCAGTTAGGATAAATATAAATACCATCTGACTCTACATTCTTATGCTTCCATAACTGATCATGCAATCGGGTTTACATTTAAGTGCTATGAGGAATCTCATGCCTTCAGTGCATTTCAAACACAAACTACCTCACTATTGCTTTTTAATATTATTTTGATCATTAATTTGCATATACAGTTTGAGCAGTGTCTACAGTACACTCTTCTTATGACAGACACATTCATATAAATGCACTGTAAGCCTAAGAGGCAATGAAACAGTGGGGAATGATCACACAGATCCAATATCTCTGCTTTCATAATACTGCTGCAATTTTGATTCCAAATCATATTTTGAGATGCTGTAACAAGGTAGTTTTCTGATACTTCCCAACCTAAACATTTATTTGGTGGGACATGGTCTCAGAATCAGGCCATTAGGGTCATTATACTTTATGCAAAATGATACTTTTTTATCTCGAACAGGCAGCAGTTTGAGCTAAGCATAAAAGGAGTGCACCATATTTTACAACAAACATTGTACACATATATAATACAGAGGAATTTCACCTCTACTTTAAATAGGCTGTTCTTACATGGTTCAGTCCAGAAAAATTCTAAGACATTATGGATAAATATATATAAAGCGATAAATAATAACATCTATTTAAACATCTATGCATATGATCCACTTCTACGGTTCAGACTATTGGCAGCAATATAAGCATTCAGTCTGTGTATCCCAGGATATTCCCGAGCACTTCTGGATTTAAATCGAATTACATCTATAAATCACAAAATTAAAGAAAAATGTATTATTTCATGTATGACCCTCAGAAGTTCAGGGGTTCAAAAAAAGTATTTATAACGTAAGGGTTAAAGAATCACTAGTTCTGATCCAGCACCAATGGCACTATATTGCTAATTCCACCTAATGGACAGGGATGGAAATGGGTTGGGTTTGGGGTATAGGTACTTTGTTTAAAAAAAGAAAAATACATAAGGATACATAGCATCCAATGTGGGAGGGGAAAAAAACATGCAACAAAACAGAGAAAGAAGTAGATCAACTCGTGGGGCAGTAAAAATAGAGTTGCACTTGTTAGAGAGTGCAAAGTGCAAGAGAAATGCTATTACAGGCACCATCCAATTGATGCACAGTACACAAAATAATTATTCTAATAGAACTGTATTTTCTCAGAAGCGTAATACTGTGGTTTGACTACAAGGAAAATGCAATTTCCCAGGAATGGAGCTGCTTGACTTGGGGTGGGACACGGGGGTGGGGGCAGACTTTAGTGGACCATGCCCACTAATGGGTAAAAACAATCTTGTAAAACAATGCAGTCTGGATAGGACCTTATTTGATTACAAAGGATGGAACAATTTGTATACATATTTACAATGAATTGGTTCAGGCATCACAGCCAAACCATTTTTTTGGCTCTTGAGGCCATCATTTGGAATCATATGGTTCTTCCAACTTCATCTCCTTGCACATACAAATTTCCTAGTTTTTGACAACTATGGATATCCATATACCAGAATGTGAATCCCAGAATTTGGTTTCCGGGCAAACTATGGCTTGCTGTCAACACATATTGCTCTATTTGGACATCACAGCAAACTATGGTTACTATAGATCAAGAGGTGCAGGAGGAAACTCAAGCACATGAAGGAGAGAAGGCAGTGCATGAGCCTGAGGCACAATCCTAATGTCCAAACCATGATTTGGCTGCAACATCTGAACTAAACAGATTACAGAAATGGAAATGAAAATGAAAATATGTACGAAAGAATGAACATCAAAATGTTGTTGCCCTCTAACTTGATATGTTCTGCTAAACTCACTAAGGCAGCTCATCTGTCTCCACAAATCGTTGAAAGCTTTCCTGCGATCTGGTGGTCTGTCGCATTTTCTTTTATATTCTCTAACAATGGCCTTTGCTTCTTCTTCTAGTGGAGAAGGCAAATCTGCGAAATACAGAATTTCAAGGTACGTGTGCACTTTATAAGTGGCTAAACTGGCATGGAATGACTCTTTACAAATACTCTATGAAGAATATCTTGACCTGGGAATAGTCTGTTCTTTCGGCGACAGATAAAATACGAGTCTAGTTGTGCAAAAAGCATGCTTTTCCTTCAGGCGTAGTATGTTTGCAGCGAGAAATCACATGCTTATACAGTATGTCCTTTTCCAGTTACAATCCAGTTATATTGGAGCAATATGATTTTGTGGAAAAATGAAACATTGACAGTCTAAAACAAGGATTAAAAGTGTGTTGTTTAAGCAGGCACCAAGCTGATGCTCCTTTTCCAACTCTTTTAACAAATTTCTGCACTGATCTAATAAACATTCTGTTTCCCTGAAGGCCAACAGCTTATGGACACATCAAACATTACCAGTTGTTAAGGAAGATTTATGCCACTTTCACAAGTCACATCACACCATTTTTTAATTGTGAAAAATAAGAATGCAGCATTTTAAGTTTGAATTCTAGTCCCAGGAAATGTGCTTATTTAATGTAATAGTCATGTAGATATTCATTTTCCATAAATCTGCACCACAGAAAATCTGGGCGTGGCTTCTCCTGCACTAGAAACTGGTGGTGTAGCAAGGTTCACATATAAAGGTCCTGCATATATTATGGGTATGCAGAAAGGAGAAGTTTAGTGATTGGAATGCCTTTAAGTAGAGATGTGGAAATCTGCACTTATCTAAACTGATGTTTCTACGTAGCCATTGCCAGGAATTCTAATGACTGCTTCGATCTGGAAACTGAAGCATGACTGATACAATATCTTCAAAAATGTTAATAGGTATTACATCATGAAGATACAGGAAATTAACAAAACAATTAAAATGTCTCTCATGAAATCAGCCTTCCTCTCCAAGTCTTGACACTCAATGTTTAAACCTCCCCATGGCAAGTAATTATTTCATAAAAATGGGAATCAGAATAGCATCATAATTCCAGACTCAAGACTTATTTTGTTTCAGGAAAATGAGTTTTTGGGTTTCCCCCATACATTAAAAAATAAAATAAAACCAGAACAGTATTATTCAAGTCAGCATCCATTATCAATCAATCTTATGAAGTGGGGTTTGATATAACATAAACACTTAAACATTAGCTTTTGACTGTATGCCATAAATACAGTGAAAGATTTCTTCCTGGGCAGGTATACATTTTAAACACTTCTGACTACGCAGTCTGAATGTGAATGTTTTAAATCCACAATGCATTGCTCTCAGTGGGATGCTTATGCAGATGAACATTTCTATCCAAATAATGGTAATTATATGCAACTAAAGCTGAACCAGATGACAATTTAGAAAGTTTGATTTTTGAATGCTTTTTCAGGATGCCACAAATATCGGTACTAAGAATTCAGAACAACTCTTTCCTCATGTCTTGCCAAATGTAAGACACCTCATCGGTTCTGAACTATGGAACTAATATAAAGGCAGGAGATAAAATACAAGCAGAAGCTTCATATGAAATATAATCCACATGAGAACCACTTATGACCATTAATAAGTGCAGCTGAAGCCTATTTCACAGCTTGAGAAGTCACATAAACATGTACACTGAGGCTCTGTCAGAAGACAAATTGTCTTCAATGGGTATAGTGCCCATTCACAATAATAGGGGGTGCTAAGACTATCTAGCACTCTTAAAACCTGAGCCGGCACAGAGAAGGCTGATGGGCCAGCACTATGACCCACAGGGGTAATTTGGGGTTTCTGTAAAACAAGAGAGACCAACAGGGCAAACGAATGAATCCTCATTCTGCTTCCAATGTACATACCACAATGAGATGTAATGAGGAAATATACATGGCCATACTATCCCAGCCTAATCAGACTCCACAAAGTTAACTAACTGAATCATTAAATTGACCCTTCCTGTTCTTGTTAGGATGACAGCAGAGCCTTCCAACACAAAAACAGACTAAAAATAAACTTTTAACCTTATGCCATAAAATGCAATAATTAACTTCACATCTATGACTTCACAACCTGACCCCTGAACTATATATGTAGAAAGAACAGTTCTTATCTATTTATTTTTCTCTAGGCGGACACATCTTTTCTTTTAAAAAAGCATATTAAAGTTACTATACCTGGAGTAACAGGTTCTCTATAGTCAAGGTTCTCACCACTCATCCTTTGAAGGAAGGATAGAATGGCTGGCAGGCCCTTCTGTATCACCTCAAGAGGAGGAAATTCTAGGGGACAATGCCTGAGATTCAAAGCTGTAAGTGAACTTATGTTACCTGCCAAAAAAGAAAAAATGGTTTAAGTTGACCACCACCAGTCATTTGGGAACATTCAATGCAGTGGGTGGAATTCAACACTAGGTCTACCTAGAGCAGACCCACTGAAATCAATGAACATGAATAAGTTACGTCTATTAATTCCAATAGTTGAATTCCACCCACTGCCACGTAACGTTTTTGTGACACATTTTATTCAGAGATGGTCAACATTCCTAGGGGGTTAAAGACAAACACAAACATATTTATACACTCGATAATGTAATGCTTCAGCAGCAGCTTCTCCTTCTACAACACTACTGTACCAGGGGTGCAGAATCATCTTGCTGTTGAGGAACACTTTCCCCTCCCATGTAATTTAAACATTGAGGGAGAAAAGCTGCATGTTAGGGGTAGGTGGAGCCAGAGCCAAAAGTGGCAAGACCAGGACAAGGCACACATTCTCTCTCACTTGCACACCCTTTTCTCCCTCTGAGCTTTTCCCTTTCACACTGTTTTCCCTCTTTGCTACCAGTATGCTACCAGTAAGTGTATGTGGTCCATGGGCTGCAGGTTCACCACCTTGTACCAACACAGACTCTGCTGCCCTTTCTCCTTTCTGCCCCAAAGCATTCTCCAGATCTTATTCCCGCCCTGCTCTCACTTTTCTCAGCCCCCTGTTAAGTAGCTGCCTTTTCTTTCCCCCCTCAATCTAATACATAATCAGTGGAGACTTCCTACTGATAGGTCCCACAGATAGTTCTATTGCTACTGTTGGGCTCGGGTCTATTTTCTGCCCAGGCTGTATCAGCTTTTCCTGTCAAACCTCTAGATCTGTGAGCATGGGCCTGGGAAGGAGATATAAAGAGGTGGCTGACAAATGGAAATCTCAGGTGGCTGCTTTCTTGATTACCTGCGAGCTAGACATTTGAAAAACACAAGAGCTACATATAGCTTCCAAATACACAGTTTAATAGATCTTAACAGTACTTTCAGAGAGCACAAAAAAGACGACTCATTCAACTGTTTGAAGCCAAAACCAAAAAATGACATGGGGCAATTCTTGGGCTTTTGGAAAATACATGCCTCTTATTTCATACCAATTGCAATCAAACTACTCTGTGATTTCCCAGAAATGAGGTTAAAATGTTTGTAATGCTACCCTTACATATTATTTTAAGATGCTTTTAGGCACTATGGAAGGATCCCAGATCAACAGTATGTTTGTCATGAGGGCAGATGGTATGACCTAATTTTGTATTGCCTGAAAGTGTGGAGTCAATTCTCATATACAAACACAAAGAACAAGTTAAATACCATGACAGTCTCAAAGACAGAATGTAGTCTCCTGTTCCTTCACAGAATTGGAAATATTGTAAATACCAACTTCTACTGAGCAAAGTGTGATAATGTGTGATCTAAACATGTTTTTAAAAGCTTTAAGCCAAAACTGAATACAGTATAGCAAAGCTACAGTTAAAATTTTGCTTTTAATCAGACAGGGGAGATTCCTTAGAAAACAAGAGACCCAGGCCACAATTCTGAAGTCTTCAGTTGTCTTATTGAGAAAGTATCATTTATTCAAAAATGGGACATGTTTAAGATATATTTACAAAAACATAACAGCGGTGTGACATCTATGGCTGCATTTGAGTGACCCCCATGTAAAATAATAACAAAGAAATAAGGAAAAATTGAACGATATGTGGCAAGAATGTATTAGAAAATATGAATAGATGAAGGTAATAATTATAAGTACACTCGATATTAGAAATGGTAAATACATTGGGAGTTGATGGGAAGTCTATTACACTTTAGTAAGAATGTTGAACAAAAGAGATTGTATAAGATTGAATCAATTTTTATCTGTATATTTATATAAGATTATTTACATAAGATCATTTTTTGTTTATATAAGTTTGTTTTTGTTATTTATGAAACTCAATAAAGCATTGAATGGGGGGGAGAAAAAGTATGAACCCCCCCCCCGAAGTCCAAAAATAACTTGCTTTTTAAGCCAACAAACCGCAATGTGAGAGATTCTGCAAAGGCTGCAGAATATCTTAAACTCTTTCCTCCTTCTCTAGAGCAAATTCCAGTGGTGCACATGGGTCTTTTGCATGCACACACCTTTGCACATTGGGATGATAACCTATTTACTTAGATTTATAGCACCATATCCTCCATACTAGGAGCAAATAAAAAGTACTGTAAAACAAATGGTAAAAAGCTTCCTGTCTTAAAGGTTCATAATCTAAAATGCCAGCATATAATTCCAAAGAAGGCCACAACTTTATTTTGACATAAGATAGGCAGAGACATCACTGGCAGCCTAATCACTAAAAGAATACTATTCTGCACAGAAGCTGATAAGGGAGATAGGGAGGTTGTAGACAACAAGCAACATAATGCAGTCATGCTGCCCCAAAGTCATTCACCTGTGTGTGCAATTGGTATGCACTAAGTGCTTAGGTAACAAAAGGACAAAAGTAACAAAACTGGGGATAGGGCATCCACACCCAATGTAGTGTTTTGGCAGGTATGATCCAGACCACCCATCAACCTTCCCCCTATCCTCAAGTGCTTCTACTGGAGGGCAGGAACTTCCCTTACCACTAGCAGAAATGTGGGATGTCTTACTTATACCCAGCTTTAATTATGTATTTTACTTAAAACCTTTACAAATCACCCTTCCTTATTAAAAGCTCAAGGCTGCTAACAACCAAATAAAAATGTAGTTTTATCAATTTAAAATATCATAAAATCTTCAAACACTAAAAACAATACTACATGTACAGCAGAAATTCAGCCCCTCAATCTCACCCAGCACAGAAATCGGCAGGCAGCTGGAGGACACTTGCAACTAAATAAGCCCTCTTCCTGCCCCCAGAAAAACAGTAAACTTTTTTGTAGCTAGTATTTTTTGTGTGCTTATTTACAAGGATAGATGAATAAACATAATGCATAAAAATCTCCATAGTCAGATCATAGAAATAGATATGTTTGCACTGCTGCAGGGTAAAAACCTATAATAATACTTTTTGGAAAATGGAAATGCTATTCATATGAATACACTGTTTGGTAAGAAATATTTTTTACACAAAACAACTGCCTATTTTCAGGTAAACAGAGCTACCATCAGTTTGGGGAGAACAATATGAAAAGTGTCAAGATCCTGATAGCAGTCAATAACAGATTTTTCTCACTGCCTCGAAAATGATATTTTAAAAAGTCCATTCACAGCTTGAATGAACATCATTCTTTCTTTTTCAGCCTTACTTTCTGAGAGTGCAATACTTAGTATTCTGTATGAGTCTATACTTTATTCATGACTGCATTATGCAGCATATTTGCACATAAATTCTTTCCATGAAACCAGTTCTGGAAGACAAATATTGTTATAGATTGTTTGCCTTATTCTAAATTGCCAGCAATTAAAAGCCATTATGAACGCTGTAAAACAAACTTCCTCTAGAGGATGGTCCTCTAGAAATTTTAGCTGTAATAAGAATGGTAGTCTTGCTGTTCCCAGTGTGGATTTTCTGTTCCTCTTTGTCTTCTTCTTTTCCTAAGCTCTCCTCACCCACTCATATGGGAAATTCTGTGTAATGTAAAAAATCTCTGCTTGCCTGCACACACACATCTACAGCCCTCCTATGTCATATGGTAAGGAATGCTTTCTTAAGAGGATACAAGGCTGTGATTTTATCATGACTCTCAAAGTGCACAAAATCCCCATTGTAGGAGGATGAACAATGTATAGATTTCTTTCCATGTAATATCCATGACTACTATACAGCAATAATGTAAGATATTCCTTAAAGAAATATACAGTGAAGTTTATACATTAGAAACATTATTGTGTGCTGAAATATGACATACTTTGGATCAGGAGGGTCCATATTTGGCAAATTGTAACAAGCAGAGGGAGGGGATCAAACTTTCAAGCATCTTTTGACAGTTGACCCACCAGGGATATGTCCATTATGTTCTCACAGAGCCCAACATATAATTGGCTTTCAGGAATATGGATGCTACATAACACATGAGTGGCTTAAGTTGCTCCAGGATGCAGTTCATGTTTAACTGGTGTGGTTCTACGCCGCTAAAAAGGTGATATAGGGGGTGCCACTATACTGGACCCAGAACTAGTAGGAGGCCTCGATTGAGCCTTCATTAAAAAAAAACAGTTGCAGAGCAATCAACACCCCCCCCCTTTGTCAGGTTGGATTGAGCAAGGGCAGTGCTTTTTTTCTGGGGGTACGTGGGAGTATGAATACCCCTAAACATTTTGTGAATCTAAGTTTGGCCTCATTGAGGGCCAGTATTTTAATATGAGTAGGAAAATGAGAGTACCCCTAAACATTTTTTTAGAAAAAAAACACTGATCAAGGGTGTTGTTGGTCCAGTTCCGACAGCTAAACTGGTTTCAGGTGGCACTTCACTGATACAGAACTGCCCCCCTCCACCTGCTGAATGTGTGGGTGTGCTGCTGGCATGAGACCCACCACCAACAGCCGGTAGAAGGCCCTAAAACAGGGCATTCAGAATTGGGGAGGGGCTAAGCTTTCCTGGGTTCCATTGGATCCTGAGCCCGTCAAAGCTGTGGAGTGACACAGTGGCGTAGCGTGGGGGGTGCAGGGGGGCCGGCCGCACCGGGCGCAACATCTGGGGGGGGGCGCTCGCACTCGCAGCTCTCTGCCCCTACCTGGCTCACTCACTCTCTCTCACTGCAGTGCTGGCTGTGCGAATCCGATCCGAGCTGCTGGGTCACCGCCCACTGTGGAGGGGGTGGGTGCCAGGCGTGCGGTGCGGAGAGAGAGCAAGGGACTATCTGGGGGAGGAACAGTGCAGCGGCTGTCCAGTGCAGCACTGAGCGCGGGAGAGAACCACACCAGACCAGACCAGGCAGCAGCAAGAAGAAGCTGGCAGCGGCGGCAGGTTAGGGGGCGCAAATACTTTCATAATAGAATTAAAGTTACAAAGCAAAACATGCAGACACCATTAGAAGTGCTCCCTTGTTTCAGCCAACAAATCAGGTCAGAGCTGTGATTGACAAGTGTTATGGAGAAATTCAGAGACACACACAAATTGAGAAAACCCTAAAACAGCTTCAGAATCACCCAAGAAGTCCGCTTTGCAGACAATTTAGAAGGTACTTCCTGGTTTGTTTCGAAGCTACACTTTGGTCTTCCTTTGTATGTGTGTGACTCTAAAGACAGACAGTGTAGAAGGGACTGCCTGGTTCATTGCTGAAGAGACTTACTGGCTCCTCTTGAAGCAGTTTCTCATCTTCCCTGTGAGAGAAGTAGTTGTTCAGAGAAAATAACTGAGAAATTCAGAGTGTTAGCGCATCTGTGCCTGGGCAGTAAAGGTAAAGGGACCCCTGACCATTAGGTCCAGTCGTGGCCGACTCTGGGGTTGTGGCGCTCATCTTGCTTTATTGGCCGAGGGAGCCAGCGTACAGCTTCCGGGTCATGTGGCAAGCATGACTAAGCCGCTTCTGGCGAACCAGAGCAGCGCACGGAAACATTGTTTACCTTCCCACCGGAGCGGTACCTATTAATCTACTTGCACTTTGACGTGCTTTCAAACTGCTAGGTTGGCAGGAGCAGGGACCGAGCAACGGGAGCTCACCCCGTCGCGGGGATTCGAACTGAGCTCACCCCGTCGCGGGGATTCGAACTGCCGACCTTCTGATCAGCAAGTCCTTGGCTCTGTGGTTTAACCCACAGCTCCACCCGCACCCCTGCCTGGGCGGTAGCTTGTCCGTTAAAAAACAAGAAGTACCAGCAAAGAGAGGAGTTCGTGTTCTTTCTAACACATATTTAATTTCATGCTACAGTGGTGCCCCGCAAGACGAATGCCTCGCAAGACGGAAAAACCGCTAGACGAAAGGGTTTTCCGTTTTGAAGTTGCTTCGCAGGACGAATTCCCCTATGGGCTTGCTTCGCAAGACGAAAATACCTTGCGAGTCTAGAATTTTTTTTTTCGCTTTCCCCCCCCTTTATCTAATCTGCTAAGCCTTTAATAGCCTTTAATAGCCTTTTAGCAGCTAATCCCCTAAGCCTTTAAGCCTTTAATAGCCGCTAAACAGCTGATTGCGCTAATAGCGCTAATCCGTCAATGGGCTTGCTTCGCAAGACGAAAAAACCGCTAGACGAAGACTCTTGCGGAACGGATTAATTTCGTCTTGCGAGGCACCACTGTATTTTAAAAAGAAAATTAAAATAAATTCCAAGTATGTGACCATTAGAAAAATTACCATACAAATGCAAACGCATCAGCAGTAAATCCATACTGCAAGTGGTGCTATTATGGTTGAGAAATATGAGTAATGCCGAGTGTCCCACTAAAGACCCTAGCATACATTCTGAGCAAGATCGGGCTTTGTTTCAGATGGCAGGGCAGCTGGGTTAAAAGAGATTTAATATTTTCATCAACCCATGCCCGGATGCCCGTGCTTGGATAATTTCAAGATGAAATTGTTAAAAAGCAAGCAGTGTATTCTAACATCATTTGTTGTGGTTAATTGTGTATACCTCATAATGATGGTAGCAATGGTCATAAAACAGGTCAAAAAGCTGCTCATTAAAGGATCTGAACCTTTAACTTGAATATACTCATTTAAGTGTTTTACTAGTGGCAACAGCCCATCCCCATGAATCACCCTATATCTGTCCCTTAAGCGGGAAACATATGAGTCACCTCTCCCCACTGTCTTGCTGCTACAATTAACATAACAGCTCCTGCAACTGCAATATTCTAAAACAAAAAACAATACACAACCCAATACACAAAGAGGCTGGTTAACAGTACTGGGTTATCATACTCTACTCTTCCTCAGTTCCCCTCCCCCCATGATTACTATTGCTTGGCTGGGGCTACTTTAAAGGGCTGTTGTAACCAACACTATCAATGTTGAAAGACTGATGCTTCAGCTTTCTCTATTCTGGGATTTGCCATTACAGTGGTACCTTGGTTCTCAAACTTAATCTGTTCCAGAAATCCGTTCCAAAACCAAAGCATTCCAAAACCAAGGCACACTTTCCCATAGAAAGTAATGCAAAACGGATTAATCCATGCCAAACTTTTAAAAACAACCCCTAAAACAGCAATTTAACATGAATTTTACTATCTAACAAGACCATTGATCCATAAAATGAAAGCAATAAACAATGTACTGCAGTCACACAATCAACCAATCAGTAGCTAAACTGGGCTCCACACAGTCACAAAAACAAAACAAAAAAGAGCCACAAAAACAAAAACGCAAAATAAATAGCAAAAACAGACAGACCTCAGCGTAACACTCAAAACGGAAGTGTGGCACTCAACCTGGAAGCGTAACACTCAAAACAGAGCATGTTCAGCTTCCGAAAAAGTTCGCAAACCGGAACACTTACTGCCGGGTTTGCAGTGTTTGGGATCCAAGTTGTTTGAGTACCAAGGCGTTTGAGAACCAAGGTACCACTGTACTAGTGCAGGTAAAAAAAGGAGCTTCGATCCAACCTCCTCCTGATGATCCCAACCAGTAAAGGAAATAAGAGTTTCCCAGTCAACCTCTGAGGAACTATTACAGAATTCTGAATCAGATTAGTCTTGGTCCTAACAATCATTTACGTCAGATCTGTTGCTATTATATATTAATTAAATTGTGGTCATGTCACACTGTGCCTCTACATAGGTGCATTGTGCCGTGGTGAAATCTGTCCAAAGTTCCTTACTATTCAAGAGAGCATTTACAATAAATGTAAATTACTAAAAATTACTAGGTTCCCTTAAGCATTTACTGGGGAGAGAGGAGTACTTACCAAGCTCAACAGGCAATCTTTTAATAGGATTTCTTTCTAACAGCAGCGTTTTCAACTGCCTTTGCAATAAAGAAGAAAACAAAATGTAAATATAAAATAAATCTAAATGAAAATGTCAAAAATTGTTTATTCTCTAATTTATTTTATGAGCCTTTCACAGAAATAACAAGACAAGGCTGCTGGATCAGGCCAATGGCCTATCTAGTCCAGCATCCAGTTCTTGGAGTGACCAGCCAGATGCCTATGGGAAGTCTGCAAGCTGAACATGAGCACAACGGTCCTCTGCACACCTGCAGTTCACAGCAAATGGTATTCAGAGGCATACTGCCTCTGACAGTGGAGGTAGAACTATTTCAAAGAAACAGAATTATACAGGTGGATTCCAAAAGGGATCTTATGGTTAGTGTCAAAAAATAGAAAAATGTCACGTCCTTCAGAAGTTAGGTCACTTCACTTGGGTTCATCAGATAATGGATGCAGGTGCTGCAATGGAGCAGCATTTCTATATCAGACAATGTTTAAACTTGATTAGATGACCAGTTTCAAAATACTTTTAGCCATGTCATTTTAGGACAGATACTTCCAAATAAGCAATATATTTTTTAAGGTTTTTGGGCCTCAGTCAATTCATTTAGTGACTTTTCAGTTTATTTATAGTCAGTATAATATATAAAGGATGGAGGGAAGGACAAAAAAATGGGTATATAAAAGCAAACTACAGAGTTCCATTCCATAAACTGGCGAAGCATGCAAATGCATTAAGTTCCAAGCAAAACAAATGGGTCTACATTATCTTGAAGCTTGTTACACCAATAAATGCACTTCATTTTCCCATTTGACTTTTATTATGTTTGTAAACTTATGCATACATACAATATCCCAAACTTTAATAATCCATTGTTCCAAAGTTGGTGTCTTTTTAAAATTCTAACTATTATAACAAATAGTTATGTCACAAACAGTTAACAGATGCAGGACCAATTCCTTATCTTCTGCTAGTACATTTATATAACCAAACAACATGGTTAAGGGATCCATTGGCAATATATAGCCAGTTATTGCCTCAATTTCAGTACATCTTGACACTGGAATGTACCTTCAAAGAGGCTTGCTGTTACTTAGCGATCACAGGCTGCTTCTTTGAAATTCATTTTGAGGAAGCAGTTTGGATTCAAATCGCTTCCTACATATGTCTGCAAAGGAAAATGTGTTCCATTTGGATGGGAAAATCTCTACTGTGGTGGTTTTAACCTTGCAATTGTGCATTTGTAGCCATATCCATAGTTGTCCGACATCTGACATCACTTATGTCAGGTGTGAGCCAGGCGAGTGTTGTTGCAAGCAAAATGAGACCTGTGCCGGACCAGCTAGGTCTCTGGGCCAGAGTTTCTACACCACTGTTCAAAACAAAAAAGTGACCAATTTAAGCACACTTTTTTTAAAAAAAGTGACTAATGTAACACGTAGTTTGGCCTACAACCAACCGTGTTAAATCTATTTCTTATACTATAGTTTCTGATGTCAATTTAGGAGAAATGGAATAGTACTTAATTTCATAATGGGTATGTATTGTTCAACATACAGAATAATTTAAAGAATGATAAACAAGTAAAAGGGCAGAAGACTTACTTGTGGCATCCAATTCCAGGGGGAAGCTCTTGAATTTTGTTGTAACGCAGATCGAGCCAAACAAGGTTTGGCACATTCTGAAAGAAATCCTCAGGAACTATGGACAGGACATTTCCTTCCAGATGCAAATGCTAAGACAAATATATATATTATGCACACACACACACACACACACACACACACACGAATATGCAACGATTGCTTGGTGTATAATTCATGTGTTATTAATTCCTTAGAAATACTCAAAAATATGTAAAACTTTAGAATTATTCAAGAAAGTATATTGGAATAATGAAATTATACTTCTAATTTGTACACAAGAACACTGTTAAGTTTTTATACTTTATAACTGAGCTACTCTTTACTGATTGGATATTTTAACAACTGTTATTATGTGTGATAAACTTACTCTAAGGTTAAGTAACTTGTATATGTCATCCGTTAGATGCTGTAGATCTTTTCTACTCAGATCCAGAGAGATTGTAGAATTAGATTCAAGCTTGTCAAGAGCCTGGCAGATACGACTTGATGAACCAGAATCAGAATCACCTCTCCTTTTGTTTTCTGCATTATCACCACCAGCACCATCAGTTTCTGAGGAAGTCCACTTTTCTTCCATTTGATGAGAAACCACTTGGCCTAAACCGGAAACCTACACACTCATCATCCAAAGGTAAGCAATAAGCTGAAAAATAACAGATTTTTTATATATATATAGAAAAATTGGAAGGTACCAACAACTCCCCCCGCAATGTGCTGTAACAGAAGTATATAATGCAGGTAAATCAACCACCTAAATACTTTATACTGTCTGTTCAGACAATCAGCTTTCCAGACCAAAAGGAGTAACTTCTTTCTTTACACAACTTGGGCAGTAGCCCCATTAGAGCATTGTTCTTTGTATTTCCAAAGATAACAATAAAACTAAAATAAAAATAATCTCAATGGTTAACCTCCTATCTTAGAACATCAAACAGAAAGCTACATCAAATAGAAGCATTACAAATGAAAATAAAAGACAGTAAAATCCACATTTAAATCAGCATGAGTAACAGGATGACAAAGTATTATCTTAAGAATAAAAAAAATTAAGTGTACGAGAGGATGGGGAAAGAGGACTGATGAGAGTGGCAATACTTGTAGCAGTGGGGTTCTGAACACTAACAACATCTCTTCCCTTTGAATAAATCAAGGGGAGAAATTGGTTCTAATGCTCAAAGTACCCTGGCCCCAAAAAGAAAACTGCCCACCAGCCTGTGCATCCCCTACATACACGTGTCAAAATGCACACAAACCCTCGTGCCATCATCACACGTGACAACACACCTGCGATTTCCCTGGATGGTCACGTGCAACGTGTCAAACGCCCCCCGCGCTGGGGCTTAGATAATAACGGGAAGAAAACAACCAACAACAAAAACTAGCAGTTGCATTAAGGGTCCACATGGTGACAAAGGAGGAGCCGGGAAGTCGGCAATTCCCCCCCCCCCCCGCCGCGCGCGCCCTTTTCCTATTTCTGAGACTTTTGCATCCCAGGATCGTGGGTTCGAGCCCCACGCCGGGCAAAATATTCCTGTCTGGCAGGGGTTGGACTAGATGACCCTCGTCGGTCCCTCTTACGGTTCTGATTCTAGGACCTTTTCTCTCCCGTCGTCGTTTTTAATGCGGCTGTGCGCTCAGAACGAAGGCGGCTCCTGAGTTCTGTGGAGTTAAAAAGCAGTTTTCTCCCCACAGAACCTGAAAGTCGCCTTTCCCCATGTCTCTCTCCCCAAGCCTTCCTCTCTTCCCGCTTAAAAGGCCCGCAGCAGCCAGCCAGCCCCCCACTTCCTCACCGACTTCTTCCCGGGGACTGTGAAGGCCGCCCAGTGCCAGAGCGGGGCGACCTCCCTCCTCCTCCTGCCCCTCTCGCCGCGAGCTTCCTTTATGCCGTGGCCGAAGGGTAACAAGCAGGCCGCTAGGCCGCGGTCGCCATAGCAACCCTCAAGCTGCCGGGAAGCGCCGGGAGGAGGAGGTGGAGGCCTCCCTCGGCGCCGCCAGGGAGAGGGAGGCCCGCGCAATGCAGGCCAGGCCGACCCTGGCTCCCTCCATATCCCAGCCTGCTTTGCGTCCCTTTCCCCCTTCCCGGCATCTCCTCCCCCTTAGGTGGGATGAGGGTGTTTGAAGGATGGTACACAGAAAACGCACAAAACATCCAGGCAGGGTGGGGGGAGGGCAGGAAAGGGGGGAAAAACGTCTCCTCCTTTTTCGGCTCTTCTCTCCCCCTCTGGATGCTTGCTAGCTGTTTCCACCCCGTTCTTATGAACTCCAAATATTTCCCCCTTATTCATTTCACGCAGCTTCAACTAACCCATCACAGGCGGTGCCGGATTTACGTATAAGCTAAACAAGCTATAGCTTAGGGCCCCAAGAGAGTGGCCCCCCAAAAAAATTTAAAGGAAAAACACACACCTGGATGAACATTTTCAAAGTACAATATAAAAAAACCAATAAAATAAAACCTACATACAGCAACAGTGTTTTGTGTTGTGTTGGCTCCTATGAAATACAAGATAACAAACAAATCAAATAAAACCTACATACAGCAACAATGTTTTGTGTTGTGTAGGCTCCTATGATGTAAGTAATGGACCCCACCTGCTAGCCTGCTCCCTAAAATATCACTGGTTTGCTCATTTCTATATATATAGGGTGTCTACATTCTGATTATGAATCTTTGTAAATTGTGTTTCTAAAGGAACTTTTGTTATTCCCAAATGCTAGGGCATTTCCTTTAGGCATACCTTTTGAGACACAGGTTCTACAGGCCCACTTTAACAGATTAATTTATGAGGCTGTCAAAATGGTACAAAATAAGGTGGTTGTGAACTACTGTGGTCAAGTGATGCTGCCGCCGTGATCGCTCAAAAAACTCCTACGTTTCCATTCGTTTCTAACACAACCCATACCATCCACGTATTGTTATGTAATAGCTCCTCATCTATTAGCATACAATACAAAACTGCAGCGTATAACTCTAGCAAAGATTAGTGAGGAATTGCATCAGTCTGAAATAGGATCTATTTCCTTCCCCGCCCAAGAGGATTTGTAGGGATTGGTAAAAATCCATTACATGGCTAAATGCAGACAAAGAACATATAAGACATAACCAACTTACATTAATCTTAGATAACTGTTAAGTAATCTATGAATAATTTGATTCATACTGCCCCTAATTCTTGCAAGATGGAAAATCAAATTGCCAATATGGCATTGCCAGAAAGAAGCTATTATAAAAATAATTCTGATGCAGACAGTAATTGCTTTGTGAGAGGAGGAAGCAAAGTGCACACAGGTGAGAAATTGATGATGGCTAATGCCATTGTTTGCACCTTATCTTTGTGGGGATTTCTTTCTGGATATCCAGATTAGCGTTAAATGCAAAACTAAGAAAATGCTAAACTTTCAGGTGTACCTTTGGGGCACAAATTAATTAATTCCTAAAAATATTGTACCAAATACTAAAATATTCCTAAATGTGGAATAAATGAAAAACTGGCTGTTACCTTTCACTCAGCAAATTCTCCTTAGCCACTGGCTGGCCTCCTGTATGTCTGTAATCTCTCATTCGGCAAACTCTCTACGGCCATTGGCTGGCTTCCTGAGATATCATATAATGTTCTTTAGGCTTCAATCCTGTACATGCTGGGAGTAAGACTCATTGAACGCAGTGTGGCTTCCATCTGAGTAGATGTGGATAGGGTTCTAAATGTTGTGTGGGAAGTTATAGAATGCTGTCAAATGGTGCAATATCTGGGAATAAAGTCAGTGTGCCTGAGAGAAAAATTTCATACATGGACAGTGTAAATGAAAATGCAGGTAGGGTCAGAAGATAGTGGCATGGCTGCTGGAGGCATTAATGACTAGGAATACGAGAGGAAGGAATTTTTTGTTGTTTTCTATGCTCCTGGAAGGAGGAGCATAGCATCAGTCTATAAAACAATTGAACTCACTAGAAATTAACACCACCTCTTTGAAAAGGGGAAAACTCTTATATTTTAATGTGCAGAGTGATGTAAGAACAGGCTGTTATAAGTATAGTAGTAGCAATTTCTGTTATAAGTACAGTAGTAGCAATTTCTCGTGTATAAATTCATTCCTGTCACTCATTTGTTTAGTCAGTGAAACATGGTTTCAAGTGAAACATGGATTAAAATGTAACAGGAGCAACATGCACTGCAAACCAAGTAGCAATTTGGAGACATTTAAGCTACTCTGCAACACGATTGTTTGTCTTGTGGGTGCTGCAGTCACCAGTAAGTAATTGTGGATACTTTATTAAAGTATTTATTAAAAACAGTAGCACTCAGTGTAGTAAGTAGTCCTTATCTCTTCAGCTGTGTGCTATGCTAGGGATAGTTTAGACCAGGCTTCCTCAACCTCGGCCCTCCAGATGTTTTTGGCCTACAACTCCCATGATCCCTAGCTAGCAGGACCAGTGGTCAGGGATGATGGGAATTGTAGTCTCAAAACATCTGGAGGGCCGAGGTTGAGAAAGCCTGGCTTAGACACTGGTTTGTGCCTGGCAGTGCTATTTTTCTTGAAAAAGAGGTGCCAAAACTTACCATGAACACCTCCCACATTCTCTTAGAATGCAACGGCGCCCACCTGAGAGGTGCCAGAACTGAGTTCCGGCTGGAAAAAAACCCTGGTGCCTGGTAACGTCATGAGTCACAATTGGATTACTGTCATGCATGCTATGTGGGACTGCCATCAGGTGTCGAGGGTGCTGAAATGAATTCCTGGTTGTGCATATATTACACCTGTCCTGAAGAACCTGCATTGGCTGCCTATTAGCTATTGAGCCATCTTCAAGGTGCTGTTGTTAACCTATAAAGAAAGCCCTGAACAACCTGAAACCAGATTACTTAAAGAAATTGGTTACCTACAGTAAATGAAAGGACAGAACTGCTGTGAGTAAGCAACACCTTGCTTGTCTTCACAACAGTTTTCACATATATGCCGCCTCTGCTTTTCAAATAATCTTAAGAAATAATGCATAAGAACTGTAAGCAAACTGTAGACCCCTGGAGTCTCTCGCTGCTTGGGGATGGTATGTGACAATATATTGTGGATAGAGTTCTCATTTTTGGCTGTGACCTCTGCAGATGGATATAATAGTATTAATTAAAGAGCAGGCAAAGAGCTGTCACTATTATCGCCTTCTAAGATAGAACTGGCACTATTTTCAGAAACACCAGTGGCAGGAAACGTGAAGTGCGATGTGTGCTGTTTTCCAAAGGAATTGCTTGCTTGCTCAGATGTGAAAATGTAAGCTGATCTGAAGGCCATTTCCCACCTCAGTTTACTATGAAAAGAAATGGATAAACCTTCCAAAGTCACACCAGTGTGTTTTAAATGCATTCTTAGAAAACCCATGAAAGCCAAACATTCACTAGGACCCTTCCAGGTGCATGCTTTGTACACTTTCTTGTCCCTTAATATGTTATTTTTTGCCCGGTGGCTAATTTCTAAGAAGAAATAGGGGTTCAAAACTACTCGCTAGCCATTCCCTCTTCCCCATAAGCACTTCCCCTTAATCCATGCATGCAATGTTCCTATGACCTTTTTGCTCTTGGCCTGGGTGGGTGGGGCCCTGATTCCCTCTAGCTACAAAAGCTGAGGTTGCTGCTGAAGCCATATTGGGTGTCTCTTAGTGTAGCTGCAGGTTGTTAATCCTGAGCTTTGATAGTGGCTGCCTGCCATGAACTACCATTGGCAGGATTGGCAAAGCAGCAGCAGGTATGTTACATGCTCATGATAATATTTTATTTTCTTGTTGATTTTTTTTTAATGTGCATTTTATATTTGAGTCCCATAAGGCGGCAAGCAGGCATTTGTACGCTGCATCTCTGGGGGTAGAATGCATAACGGGAAGCTTGCCAAACTAGTTCCTTTTGGCTGGCTGTTTAAGTAGCACAATTTTGCACATCGAAATAAGTTGCTCTGTGCCACAGAACAAATGGGTGGGCCTTTCCACCATGCCACTCACCTGGCTAGTACTTGGAGAACAATAGGGTTGGTGCGGGGCTTGAAGTTGGATGACACAGAGACACAAAGACTTGCCTTGCTCTGTGCTCAGCCTTCAGCAGCTTCTCTGGAAACCACTGGGGAAGCAAGATCTGTTGGGGAGCTAATGCTGTGATACTCTCCATCAGGCATTGGCAAACTCAGCCCTCCAGATGTTTTGGGACTACAACTCCCATCATCCCTAGCTAACAGGACCAGTGGTCAGGGATGATGGGAGTTATAGTCCCAAAACATCTGGAGGGCCGAGTTTGCCTATGCCTGCTCTCCATCCTGTTCTCAGGTGTTGTGTGTGTGTGTGTGTAAATAAAACTATATTTTCTAAAAACACCCACAGTCTCTGCTGACTGTGGAAACAAAACCTGAATAAGAGCAGGAACCTCTACACTGCTTGGAGACTGGGGTTGTGCGCATCAATATCTTGTGCATGTATTTCTAATAGGTTGGTTATATTAAATGATGGCTTTGCTTTAGCAAAAAGTGCTTCCACCTGTGCAAGTTGGGACAACTGATCTTTGCCAATCCCTGATACCTATTCTGATACTTAGTGTGCAACTTTCTTCTGGGGGTGGGGTGGGGGGTGGAAGGCTAAATTAAGTAAGGAGCATCAGCAAAAACCAGGTGCCCCAGCTTGCAGGTGTTGAAGGCACCACTGAACCCCACTTAAACACACAGACACACACACACACACATGCACATACACACCCACTTTGCCCTGCATGGGAAGTAGCTTCCATGTTCATCTAAAAGGTATATTAGTTGTACAGATTGCAAACACTGTCTATTTTTAAATGCTGCCTAAATATGTTGACATTTTATGTTTAGTAAATATTGCTTTCTTAAGAGCCAGAATGTCACAGTTGTACTACTCACACAATGTTTTTATCTCCACAATAAACATGTTTTACAACATTTGCCGTTTTATAAGGAAGAGCGTTCGTGTTGCAAAGGCAATTTTCATTAGCAGCAAAAGAGAATATAATGCTGCTTCCAATTATAGGAACAGAAATTTGTACCAAACAAACAAACAACACTCCCCCTCCCCCAAGTAAATAATTACAATGCAAGAGCTGTCAGGAATATTTTTGCTTCCATGACGATCAGAAATCATTACCCTATCTTTGAATGAAATGTCAG